TTTGAGTAACTGCACTCAACTTACAAATTTAGAATTTGACATAAGGTAAATTTATTTCATTTATAACTTTTAATAAAATTATGTCAAACCATTTTATTAAACTAAATTAAAAAAACTTTGAATTTATAAAATGTCTTAAATTTTAATTAAACATGATTTGCATTTATAAAAGCACAAATTAAATTGGGGATGATGGAACGTTAACTATTGGTGCAGCACTTGGTAACTGCAAGTTCCTAACTAATCTCAAATTTTACATTTGGTAAAATTATATTTTATTTATTTATTGATTAGTAAAAATAGTTTGAATTATTTTATATATTTTGAGTTAAATTTCAAAACAAATTTAAATAGTTAATAAATTGATTTATTTTATTTGAAAAGGGGCAATAAAATCGGTGATAAAGGAGCATAAAATATTGGATTAGGTTTGAGTAACTGCATTCAACTTACAAATTTAGAATTTGGCATAGGGTAAATTTATTTCATTAAAAACTTTTAATAAAATTATGTCAAACCAATTTATTAAAAAAAATTTTGAATTTATAAAATGTCTTAAATTTTAATTAAACATGATTTGCATTTATACAAGCACAAATTAAATTGGGGATGATGGAGCTTCTACTATTGGTGCAGCACTTGGTAACTGCAAGTTCCTAACTAATCTCAAATTTTACATTTCGTAAAATTATATTTTATTTATTTATTTATTTATTGATAACTAAAAATAGTTTGAATTATTTTATATATTTTGAGTTAAATTTCAAAACAAATTTAATAGTTAATAAATTGATTTATTTTATTTGAAAAGGGAAAACAAAATCGGTGATAAAGGAGCATAAAATATTGGATTAGGTTTGAGTAACTGCACTCAACTTACAAATTTAGAATTTGACATAAGGTAAATTTATTTCATTTATAACTTTTAATAAAATTATGTCAAACCATTTTATTAAACTAAATTAAAAAAACTTTGAATTTATAAAATGTCTTAAATTTTAATTAAACATGATTTGCATTTATAAAAGCACAAATTAAATTGGGGATGATGGAACGTTAACTATTGGTGCAGCACTTGGTAACTGCAAGTTCCTAACTAATCTCAAATTTTACATTTCGTAAAATTATATTTTATTTATTTATTTATTGATAACTAAAAATAGTTTGAATTATTTTATATATTTTGAGTTAAATTTCAAAACAAATTTAAATAGTTAATAAATTGATTTATTTTATTTGAAAAGGGGCAATAAAATCGGTGATAAAGGAGCATAAAATATTGGATTAGGTTTGAGTAACTGCACTCAACTTACAAATTTAGAATTTGACATAAGGTAAATTTATTTCATTTATAACTTTTAATAAAATTATGTCAAACCATTTTATTAAAAAAATTTTTGAATTTATAAAATGTCTTAAATTTTAATTAAATATGATTTGCATTTATAAAAGCACAAATTAAATTGGGGATGATGGAGCTTCTACTATTGGTGCAGCACTTGGTAACTGCAAGTTCCTAACTAATCTCAAATTTTACATTAGGTAAAATTATATTTTATTTATTGATAACTAAAAATAGTTTGCATTATTTTATATATTTTGAGTTAAATTTCAAAACAAATTTAAATAGTTAATAAATTGATTTATTTTATTTGAAAAGGGGCAATAAAATCGGTGATAAAGGAGCATAAAATATTGGATTAGGTTTGAGTAACTTCACTCAACTTACAAATTTAGAATTTGTCATAGAGTAAATTTATTTCATTAAAAACTTTTAATAAAATTATGTCAGACCATATTATTAAAAAAAACTTTGAATTAATAAAATGTCTTAAATTTTAATTAAACATGATTTGCATTTATAAAAGCACAAATTAAATTGGGGATGATGGAGCTTCTACTATTGGTAAAGCACTCGGTAACTGCAAGTTCCTAACTAATCTCTTATTTTACATTTGGTAAAATTATATTTTATTTATTTATTGATAACTAAAAAAAGTTTGAATTATTTAATATATTTTGATTTAATTATCAAAACAAATTTAATAGTTAATAAATTGATTTATTTTATTTGAAAAGGGAAAACAAAATCGGTGATAAAGGAGCATAAAATATTGGATTAGGTTTGAGTAACTGCACTCAACTTACAAATTTAGAATTTGGGATACGGTAAATTTATTTCATTTATAACTTTTAATAAAATTATGTCAGACCATATTATTAAAAAAAACTTTGAATTTATAAAATGTCTTAAATTTTAATTAAACATGATTTGCATTTATAAAAGCACAAATTAAATTGGGGATGATGGAGCTTCTACTATTGGTGCAGCACTTGGTAACTGCAAGTTCCTAACTAATCTCAAATTTTACATTTCGTAAAATTATATTTTATTTATTTATTTATTGATAACTAAAAATAGTTTGAATTATTTTATATATTTTGAGTTAAATTTCAAAACAAATTTAAATAGTTAATAAATTGATTTATTTTATTTGAAAAGGGGCAATAAAATCGGTGATAAAGGAGCATAAAATATTGGATTAGGTTTGAGTAACTGCATTCAACTAACAAATTTAATTTTTAGCTCAGAGTAAATTTGATTTATTACTTTTGAAAAAAATGATGTGAAAGCTTTTAAGATGTTATTTAAAATATCTTTATTTTATAAGTAATAATGAGGAGTTTCTAAAATCAAGAGAAATTATCAATTGTAAAAATATAAAGTTATTGAATATAAAGTAATTACTTTTTATTGTTTAAAATAAGATAATTTTAAATATAATTTTTTATTTATTTAAAAAATAAATTTATATTAATTAAAAGAACATTGCCAGAATAAAGAAATAGAGAAATCAAAAGATTATCTTAAAAAATAAAAAGATTAGTAAAATTAAATATTGATTGAATTTACTAAAATGAATAATTAAATATTTATTTATTTATAGTACATAAAAAAAATTGAATATTAAAATTGTACAATCAATATATTTTTTGTTATTTAATTACATTTTAGGAAATGTTATTGGTTAAATATCACAGATTAATTATCATTAAAACAAATAATTAAAATCTTTTATATATTATGGTTTTTTATATGTTGGAAATTTCATAAAATAAAACTGATTTCTTTGTGTATTATTAAAAAGATAATAAGCATAGACCAGAAGCTCTGAAAAGAGTTGTACTACTACCAACATTTGAGCAATTTGGGTTGATTTGAAAATGTGTGCAAAAAGGCATTCCAAAAAAATAATCCAAGTCTAAATTGAGAAACTAAAAGCTATCAAAGGTTAGAGCTCAATTCATATAAAAAAAATAGGCCTTCAAAAAATAAATCACAGATTTATTTATTCACATACAAAAATAAAGAATTATTATGACTATTATTTAATTTATAATAAATTTTGTTTTTTTCTTAAGTAATTATTTTTAATGTATTTCATAATCTAATTTTTTTAATTATTTTTTAATTTATTTGATAAGATTTTTTATTAAATTTAAAAAGTAAAGAATCATAAATTTATTTTTCCTCAATTAATTAATTTATCAAATTGCATTTGATTTTTAACATTTAAAATCTATTGAAATCAAAAAAATGGAGTAAATTAATTTACCAAAAAAAATTTGTAGAGAAAATTAAAATTAAAATTTTATTTGAATTAAAAGATTATATATAATAAATTAATTATTTATGAAGATAATTGTGATATGTATGATATAAATTAATTAAAAATAGATTTATCAATATGAGTTTAATATGCTGATTTTTGGCCAGTGATAAGATTTGACTATAGTATTAATCTCTATTAGTAAATAAATTATTTTGTATAAAGCTATGATGTTTAAGAAATAAATAAATATATAAATAAATAAGAGTATCTTTATCATCGATATTTAGATAGATAAAAATAGAGTTTTATTAGATTAGTCAAAAACAAAATTTTGTAATTTTTAAAGCATAAATTAAAATATAAAAATGTAAACCAAAAAAAATTCATAATTTAGATTTTTTTAGCTTTTTTTTTGTGGAAAACTTCATTTCTCTTCAATTTGATTTTAAATTCTAGTTACTTAATTTTAGTAATTAATAAACAATGTAAATTTAAATTTTTAACTTTCACGCATTTTACGTCACATAGTTGATATATTTGTAAGTATATATTGTCAGCTTATATCTAAGAAAATTTATTTATAATATAATCAATTGTAAAAAAGCAAAAGTGTAGTATAGAGAATTCAAAAAAATGAGCGAAAATAAGGAAAAATCATAGAAAAACAATGAAATATAGCAAAACAAGAAAGCTCCGATTCCCAAAAAATCTTCTTCAATCATAGTTTGCAGAAAAAAGAGTGAACAACAAAATTAATTCAATTACGAATTCTTAATGCTAAGAAGGAATCCTAAGCTACCTTTTGGAGGAATGCATTCATATCCAGGTGGTAATATGGATAAAGAAGATAGCATTTTTACTTAAAAAAGGAAACCTAATTCTTATAAATCAAGCTAGATTGTTTATGATTGGCAAGATACTCTAATTTATACTGGAGTTAGGGAGCTATTTGAGGAGATAGGAGTTATTCTAGCTTAAAGAAATTAGGAGCAAAAAATTGTAGAATTAGCTCAGGCCGAAAAGCTACAATTTGAAGACATATTCCAAGCAACATAACCAGATTTAAGGAAAATTTGCAAGCCTTTTATGAGGATTATCACAATTTAATCCATGCCAAGAAGGTGGGATACTTAATTTTTTTTAGTTGAAGTAGAAGAAGATGGATCTAAATTGAGTGGAGATAGTTATTGCATATTTAATGTACTTAAGTTTTAAAAGACTAAAAAGATTGAGGATTTGTATGATACAGATGATTTAGTTCTAGGCCAAGATGAATCTGATGATTTTAGCTGGGAAAATCCTTAAACTGCTTTATAAAAAGTATATTTGTTTACATTTTATTTACAAAAGCATTACATATAGATAAAATCAAATAAATATTATGAAATGTAGAATTTATTTTATTTAAATTAAATATAAAGCACTTTTAGAATAAAATAAAACTGCCAATTCCTCAATAACTGATTTGCAATCTCATGCTATCTTTCTAAACTACAGAATAGATAAAATAATTTTTTAGCTAAATAGATGAATAGAGTAAAAAACAGGACATTGAAAGCTAAGTAGACTATTTAAGAAAATATCCTTTGACTTTTCCAACAATTTTAGAAATTAAAAGAAACTAGAAAAAGTCTCAAATGACCATGTGTGGTGATGAGGATTATCCTATATAAACTATTCTTGAAAGAGAAGAAGAATCTCCTTTTAAATAAGAGTTATCTTAAGCTTACAAAAGTGTTAGGATAAATAAAGGATAAAAAATGTAAATAATTTCAGATTTTCAAACAGAGTTGTAAACAAATATTAAATGTGACTTCTTATCTCCTTTAAACCTCCTAAGAACTTTAGATTTAAAAAATTTTACTACTTAAATAGAAACTTAACCAAAATTATGAAGCAAAAATGTTAAAACTTTATTTGTAGTAACAAATTTATATTGTAGAAATTAAATCTAATTATATCAATCAAAATAAATCATTAATAATCCCTAAATTAATTAATTTAATTTTAAGTAGGATATGTTAATAAAAAATAAGTTATCTTAAGTATGAAGAAGCATACAAACAAAAATAGCAGAAATAAGATATATATGTTACAATAACAATAAGACATCATAAATATTTTATTGTTTTGTTTATTTTTACATAATATTTTTAAATGCATGCTTAAAAAAAAAATTTTCATATGCAAATAGTGATTGATTTTTATTATTTTTTCTCTAAATTAAAAGCAAATTTGAACTCGATTGCCTCTCATCAAACAATTTATATTAATAAAATAAACTTTAATTTTATAAATTATTTTTTATTTTATATTGAAAACAGGAAATAGTTTTCAAATAGTCTATGTTACTTAAAAATTAATTATAATTTAAAGCAACATTTTTAACTCAAAAAAACTAGAAAAATTTCTAAAATTAAACCTCTAAAAAAAAATAAATTTCTTTTAAATACTATTTAAAATTTAATTTATTGAGTTTTATTGAAGAATATTTGCAAAAAAAATTAAGAAAATCTTTAAAATTTTAAACTCAATTATGAAAATGAAGGTATTTATATGCTTAATAAATACAAAAATGTATAAAATAAATTAAATAAAATTATTATAAAATATTAATTTTAATATTTATTCTGATGTTCAATTATATGAGCGAATATTTATATTATATTCGATTCTATCACTCTCAAAATTTTATTTAAATATGGGATATAGAGTGAAAAAGCTATGGGAGTGGTGGGATATGAATGTTTTGATGATGAACTGTGGCTTGATAAATTATTTATGAAATTTTAAAATGTGGTAGGGTAAAACTATATATCAATCAAATATTCAGCTAATATTTCAAATAAAAGTGTTGATAAAAATATATTTTTTTATTTTATTTGGGAAAAGCGAAAAAGAAGAACTATAAAAAAATTCATACTTTTTTTATATATAAATTCAGTCTATCAATCAAACACTATTTTTATAATTGCTGAAAATTGATTATTTTTTTTTTAACAAACCATCATTAAAATAGATAGAGAGATTTTGAGATTTGAACTAAAATAATTACATTTTCCTAATCAGAAATACTTATTATAATCTGCTCCAATCTAGTGGGAAAATAAACTAAATTGAAATTTCAAATTTTGATAAGAGTGAGTTGTTTGATTTATCGAAGAAAAGAATCCTAAAAATCAAAAAATTAATCAAAATTAAATGAATAAAATTTAAATTTTTTGAGAGGAATAAGTTGTGGATAAGATTGATTGATTGATAAATGAAAACTGTTTTTAAAATAACACAAATTTAAGAGTATACATAAATTAACTCTTTCAACAATTTCATTAAAATTTATTTATGAAAGCAAACAAATACACTTTTTTATTTTTGATAATTCAAACAATTTATCTATCACATATAAATATGACAATAATATCATCAGCATAAGATATTACTTTTTATAATAATTAATCATGTTGGAATAGATAGTTTTTAATTATCAAACCTACAAAGTCCAAATTCAAAAAGAACTTTTAATTTTTAGTTATGGATTTTTAGAAGCGCTTAATAGAATATTAAATATTTAATATTAATATTTCTATTTGATATGCACCAATCAAATTTTGCTTCTAGAAAATTCAAATTATCTATAAATTTATTATCTATCAATTTACTTATCTATTTATTTGCTTGTTATAAATTTATAGAAAGAATTTAGCTTATTTTCTTTATTGCAATCTTAAAATGATCAATCATTCAATAAATAAATAAATAAAAGTGTTCGAGTTTAAAAATTTAGTTAAGCTTCGAATTCATTTAATCAATATTAATATCAAAGCTGGAATAGAAAACAAAATCATTTCAATTAAGAAAAAGTAAAAGCCTTCACATCTAACAGTAATAAATTAGTCATTTTAGGGGTTTGTGGCATTCAAAATGGGGAAAATTTTAAATAAATTGAAATTAATTTGATGAACAGATACTTTTCTAATGGCATGATAATAAAAAAAGCACATCCTCATATTTCTAATTGCTTGAAATAGATAAAAGATATAGATAGATACCACTTAATTTATTCTTAAAATTAATGAAAATATAATTGGTCCTTTAAAAGTATACGTATTATTAAACGCAAGTATTATTTTAAAATCAAAATTTAGTTTTTAATAAAAACAAACTTTATTGATTGATTGACCACTTTATGGGGTTGGAATTATAAAGAAAAAATGATGTTTTAATTGAAAGCTAGAATAGATAAAAATGTAATAGATAATCAATAGTTAGTAGATGTAATCTAACCTTTTAGACATAGATAAATTTATTTATATTTTTATTCATTTTTAGTAGGAGTTAGTTAGTTAGTAAATAAATAAATAAATATATTGCTAACAGTTGATTGATTGATTAATACTCTTGATTAAATATTTTATTTAAATTTCATATACATATATATATATAAATAAACAGAGTTGTTTTTATAGTACAAAATAATTTATTTTTTGCAGGTTTAATAATAAAATGAGGGGATGAGTGTGTTATTTATTTTTTTATTTAATTAATGCTTAAATAGGTGATTGATTTTTTTATTATACTAATCCGTATAATAATTTTTAATAAGGCCATTTGTATTTTTTTCTTTTCTTTCTTGGTTTTTTTTCCTTTTTTGTTTTTGCTTTTTTTACTTTTTTGATTGAAACATGATAATTAATTGCAGTATATTGATTTATTGTTTAGAGGTTTGTTTATTTGTTAGTAATTTGTTATTCAGATTTTGTTAAATTATAAGGTCCTTCCCTTTGGTTCAGAAGACTATTTATGGGTGAATGAATGAATGATTATTTATTTTTATTTAAAAATATCTGATTTATTTAAGATGTTTTGTTTATATTTTAAGGATTTGTTTATATATTTTAAGGGTATTTTTGTCATATTTTGAGGAAATTTGAATAATAGTAATAATAATTTAAAGGTGTTTCAGCTATTTCAGTTCAGATTTTTTGTTGCAAAGATTTGTCTTAAGAAAACCAAGGATTTTGAAGGACTTCTTAAATTGTTGGTCTTTAAGAAGGGTCTTACTAGATCATATTGGTGATGAGTTATATCATTAAATACATATCTTGTTCGTTTTACTCAGTTGCCCAATGGTTCAGCATTCTTTAGAATTTTTCTTAGCTCCAGAATTCTTGGTACCTTTTTTCGAAGATGAGTTTGTAAAGAGGGTCGTTTTGAGTAGCTCCTCTGCAGCTGAAAGGACGAAGTTAGAATAAAACGGCAAAGAAGAGTGTGCCTAAATTAAATATGTCAGCTTTTTTCTCATCAAATCCAAGAACATTATCAATTTGTTCTTTGTTTTTGGCTTCGTTGAGAAAGGTTATGATCTCTGGGGGCTGGTAATCGGGGTTACGAATTTTCCAGTTTTAAAATAATGTTGAGCTATTGTGATTTTCATTGGAATACTCTCTTGCTGTTCCGAGATCGGCAAGCTTTGTAAAATATTAACCAGTTGTGTCGTCACAGAATATGAAAACATTATCTGCTTTGATATCGTTGTGGGTGTAGTTGGAGTTGTTATGGAGATAATTGAGGGCCGATGTGACTTCTAAAAGTATTCTTTTGGCGAATGACAAGCAGAACTGTTTGTGCTAAGAAACTTTAGCTAATAGTTAATGGAGATTGCATTCGGCTAATTCCATTTCGATTGCACAGCAAAAGCTGTTAGGCTCGATTTCAATGTTCTCATATAGTTAGAAAGCCTTGAGGATATGAGGATGATCCATTTTTTATAGGACATTCCATTCATCTTTTAGCATTTCACACATACATTTTTAAACAAATTAATCACATTTGTGATTGTGAGAAATGATAGAGGAATTTTGATCCTAACCAATTTAATTAATTTGGTTAGTTTATTTTAATTTGGGATGTAGTTATAATTTTAAAGCACGATGAAGAACTTAATTGTTTTCATCATGCAGAGAATAAACATAAGAAGAATTAGTCCTGCCAATCATCTTACTTTTTTCAAAGGAAAAATGGAGAGATTTATTGGTGTTTTAGGAAGGGTATTCAATGTATGAATTTATATGATCGTAATTAAGATTTAAAGAATTTGGAATATCAGCGTATGATTAAGGAATGATAAACTCATGGCTATTATTAGAGAAATTAATGAAATTTTAATTAGAGAGAGAAGAATAATTGAAGTGAATGTAGTTATTGTTATTTGTAATAGAATTAATATTATTTGTAATATTTATTGAATTATTGTTGTTATTTTAGCTATTTTCAATAGTAGCGATGTTACTCACATCAGTAATCGTTTTATTATTTTTAGTAGCAGTAATATTTTTTTTATTCACATAACTACTTGAATTCTAAGATTTGCATTCGATATTCTAAATATAATTGTTATTTTTTTTCAATTAATTAAATTTCTGAATATCGCAGCTGGTTTTATGTCTCCCACAACTGAGTTGTTTGTCCTCCTCCTCCTGCTGATTATTTTTCTTAGATTTCTTGTACGGCTTTGAAACATCTCTTGTTTCAAATTGCTGCAATAAACTAATTGAAAATGAAGGATTTTAGTAGAGGAACGAGGGATAAACTCGTGAATCTTAGTTATTCCCATTATTGATTGTGTCTAAAACATTCAAATAAGACTCACTTGGAGACTATCTCTTAGATTTCTTTTTCATAAAAGCGGGATTTTTATGCGTAGCTAGAAGGGGAAAGAAAATGAAAAAAAGTTTTAGTTTTTGGTATGCGAAAAGCTCGCGCTGCTGAGAAAGAGTAGGGTGGTGGGTTTGAGTAGTTTAAATTACTCTTTTTTACAAAAGTTTTTTATGAAGGTGGAATCCTTTGTTGATTATTATGTTTTACAGATTTTTTTATTATATTAGTTTGACCTTTTCTTGTTTTTAAAAGATCATCAAACAAGCAAGCACTAATAAAAAAAAAACAAGTACAAAAAATTTCTTAAATTACTAATAGATAAATTGATATACCTGCTATTTATTTTATCAAGTAAAATGTTAGAAAACACTAAAAGAATGCAATTTCATTCAATAGCATATTTGCTTGGGTATATTTTTGCATTAATTATTAAAAATCTCTTTTTTAATTTGCATATTTATTATTCATCCTTCCTTCTGGATTCTACTCATTCTAGATAAACCCACTCATTTCTTTATTTTTTAAAACTTGCCTGAAAAAAGAAAAAAAGAAATATAGATAAATAGTTTTTTTGATTGATTGGTTGATTGATTGCTTTGTATAAAGTCGCAATTAGAAATTTGTAAAGTTAATATGAAGTGTCAAGTAATTTATTTGAATAGATATATAGATATTGCTTTTAATAACGACCTTAAATTAATTCACTTTAAAAAATACACAAATCATTAACTCTTAACTGTATTTAAATTTCTTTTGACTCCTTCTAGAGCTTATTTATTCCTTCTAATTATAAATATTAAATAAAATATATTTGTTCTTGTTATCTTTAAAAATTAAATATGATTTTGCATGAATTCTTACAACAGTGTAGATAAAAAAACTTGCTCATTTATTCTTTTGTTTATTTATTACTTGAATAAAAATTGCAAATTTAAATTACAAAATAGAGGATTTTAGAAATTTAGTTAGCAATGATAATAATAAAATAATGTGCATAGATAGAAGTCTACTCGTAATTAAAACTGTAATTGATTAGCATTCACGTTCTACTAAAAAATTTATTTACTGAAATGAATAAAATTCACTCAAAACAGCACCAATTTAAAACAAATATAAGAAATTAGTAATACATGCTAAACTAAATGTCAAATCATAACATTTACCTCTATAAAAATTACCCTAAAGCTAATAGTTTGAATGTTGCAAAAAATAATGATTAAGTTGGATATATGCAACAAGTAATGAGTAAAATGTTATTAAATTAATTTATACTGCTTATTTGAATTTTGTTCAAAATTAGTAAATTTGGTTATTGGTTAGTTTGTTGGGGGTAGGTAATTAAATTCATATATTCATTTGTTGAATAGTAAGTTCGAGAATTAGAAATTATGTTTTTGTTCAAAATAAAATAAATAATGTTTTTTTTACTATTGAGCAATAATCGAAGCAAAAAAAAAAAAATGTTTGGCTGCATCGTTAATAATGTTCCAATTATCATATAGACAATTAAATAAATAAAATAGCTTGTTAAAAAGTAATAGCTTCTATTAAATCTCACAAACAAACTCATTGATTTATTCATTTACACATATTTATTTATTTATCTATCTATCTATTAATTAATTAATTAATTGATTGATTGATTTAATTGGTGTATTTATTTATAAATTTCTTGAATAATTCAAATTCTTCTATCTTTATGTATTTATTTATCATCTTCTCTCCCCACTCTACTTCAATATTATACAAATATCTATACTGACTGACTGAAACAAAAACAGATAAGAAATAAAAAAATAAATCATCATTCTCAAAATAGCTTAGGCGTTTATAATTTTTCTGCTCATACTTTATAAATATTTTTTATTTTAGAAAATGAATGAATAGCCAGCATTTATTTATTTTTTTAAATTTTGATCTTTATCAAAAGCATTTAGTTAATATTTAACTTATTTGATCTCCATTTGCCTATTTTTATCTTGCTAAGCTTTTATTTAAAGAATTAAAAGTCATGATTTTGTTAATCTTAATTAATATCATCATCATCAACTAATAAATCAAAGTATCTACGCAATTCTTATAGCAAATTTTTTAATATTTTTATCTATCTCTATTTTTAAATATCCAAATTATAAAATGAATCGGATCATATATTAGTCAATTTCAATTCATCACATTTCTTTTTAAATTAAAGGACTTAATATTAACTAACCTGATTCAGTTCATAAGATCCATCTTATTTTTCACTTTGCACGTTAAAAATAATTTAAAATATCTGATTCTAAAAATAGTTCGAAATACCTAACAAGAATATAGAAAAGTGAGTTATGATCAAGTTAGGATTTTATTAGACACTAATACTGATAATTATTTTAGTGCTTTTTATAGTTTCAAAGGAAGACACTTTAGGTTAAATATTGTTTCTACTTTTGAAAACTAACTCGGTTATAATAAATTCTTCTCCTCGCCAGGTTATTCCTCTGCCTCATTAATTAGAATTGTTATAGCATCTACTAGCTACAAATTACTTATTCTTAATTACTTTTTATTTGTACCCTTGTTATTTAATTTGTTTGCTCTTTTCTTATCTATATATTTAGCTTGCTTAATTAATTAATTAATAAAATAACCTTTTTTTTTAATTAGCTTGCTAAGTAGGTAGGTAGCTAAATAATTTAAAAATCTCCTGTTCTAATTAATTAATCTACTATTAAGTCTAAATATTAATGTTTTATTTAATAAATTTATTAATCTACCCTTTGACTCATATTCAACTTAATTTTAAAACCTTCTTATTAATTTCTTATAATTTATTAGCATATTTATATAAAGTGCTTAATTTAAAAGGACCTTTCAGTTTGTAAAGATTTATAAATAAATAATTTTAATAGCCAAAACAATAAAAGAAAATTTATAATTCATGGATAGTTAATAAAAGTAAATCTAAATGGAACTGGAGAATGACAGCTTTTCTCAAACACAGACAATATCTGACAAATTTAATAGTTAAATAAAGCAATCTGTCTATTATATCAAAGCTTTGTAAAAACAAAAAGATTCAATTTAAAAATACTTCCAAGATCTGCTCAGCGATACTAGCTTGCTCACTTTAGAAACAAAAATAAATTTACAAATGTAACAAAAATGGTTCAACAAATTCTTTGATGGTTTTTGTTTAAATGACGATGATTAAATTCAACAACACATGAATCTCAAAGAAAACATCTTCAACTAGTACTCAAATTTTCTGAAAGACTTTAAATGCTCTTTTTATACAATTTTCATAAAAGATCTTAAATATTTACCTGATATTGAATATTTCTACGATTCTAACTCTAAAATTGAAACACAACATAATAATTAGGACTAAATCGCTTACGAATACGATAGTCTTAAATTTATTATTGCTATAAGTCATCTCGTTCTTTATATTTATTACTATTTTTTACACAAACATAAAATGATCTATCTGACTAACGAAATGTTTAATGCTCAGCCTAAATTAATTGATATTGCTTCCATTTCTCATATTGACTATATCATTTACTTCTACGAAAGTAATACGAATTTTTCATTTATAATCTATCAATCTCTTGTTCTTCTTTTTATAAATTTGATAGACAGATTGCTAATAAAAATATAAAACATAACATTCAAATAATTCAAATAAAATCTTTTATTTAGATTTTTTTAATTTTGCAATAAATTAGATTACAGCGAAAATGCTTTCTAGGAAGAAGGTGAGAGTCTCGAAGATAGCTTCAAACTAGAGATAGTCGACTATGACATGGAAATTGACCAGTTTGATAATTTTTTGGAAACAATTAAGCTAATTTCTGAAGTCGATGAAGATATAATTAAATTTATTCCTAAAATAGAAGATTTATATGGCTTTTTCTTAGCTAAGCAGCAGACCATTTAACTGTGGAAAGAAAACAACCGAAAGAAGTAACAGCTGGAAAACATGTTTTATGATGTTGTTGAAACTTCTATTTTAAGCATGTCAATACATAATAATAAATACATTGATAATAAAAACTTCAATTAGTTTTATTTACATCCTTATATTATTATAAATAATCTTGCTTTCAATCATTTTGTTTCACCCACAAGGATAGTGCAAGAAAATATGAAAGAAAACATTCCATTTTTTGACACCTTGTATTCTATTATTTTAGCTTAGTTCAGAAAGATATTCTTAAAAAATTGCTTTATTTCTAATGACTCTTCAAAGCAATCAAATAAAGATAAAACCTCAATCCAAGCTACAGAAGAAATTAAAATATCTCTAAAGCAAAGTAAAAAATCTACAAGCAAAGAGCCATAAACCCGCTAGCAGCGCATGGAACTATAAAAATGTCTGAATTTAATACAAGAAACAATTTTAGCAACTAAATCATCTGTGCACAGCTTTAGCAAGCTAGCAGAATAAATTTTCTTAAATATAACATGAAAAATTAACTTAAAAACAATAAAATAAATCTGTAAAACTAAAATAATTTATTTAACTCAACTAATAAATTAAACCTGCTTATTTTATAAAAACACTTCAGTAAATAAAATATGTAGATGCATGCATATTAACTTTTATCTCAAACATTTTTATTTTTTTACATTATACTGATTAAAATAACTTCATCAAAATAAATTTATTTTTATTTTAAGATTGATTAACTTTGCAAAATTTCAAAAATATTTCTTTTTTGTAGGACTCTCATGGCTGATTGGGAGATCTTTAAACAGTCCGCTTTGTGTTTTTTTATGATTTGGACAAAGAGAGCAAGTTGCTTTATTAATTGCTATTTATTCTTTCAGTGGAAGATTTTCAGGAGCAAATTCTTTATTTAAAGATTTAACTTGGCTTACTAGCAATATAGAAGACTATTGCAAAGGAGGAGCTCCTACTTAAGATTTTTCTAGCACAACTTAGTTTTTTATGCTGTTGAATTGAGGAAATTTCTTTTGAAGTTCTTCCAAAATATGCTTTTAATCTGAACATTATTAAGTTGCTACATTTGAGTTTTCACATTATCCTTATTTACTATCGCTCTATTAAACTGTTATTTGCTATGAGACAGAAGGCTAAACTCTTGAAATAGAAGGAGGACGATTCTTTAAAGTAGGAAAACGATTCAAAACCTCTTCAGGGACATTGTCTTAATTGTACCTTGACATCTTATAATTAGTTTTATTGATCTAAATGCTATTGTTTTTTGATAAAATCAAATAAATTTATAGTTATTATTAATATTATCAATAATAAGCTTAATCAAATGAAATACCACACTTTTATCAATAAAAATTAATTGCTTAAATATTTATTACTTTAAATTAAAAACCAGTAATAAACAAACAAACAAACAAATTCAAAGTACAAAATTTCTTAACGACTATAAAATTGTAAAATTTTAATAAAATTAATATATGTAATACATATTTTATATTTGATTTATATTGTTTTTTTAAAGAAAAATAGGTTTAAAATGATTTTATATTTTATTGTTAGCTCTTATATAAAATTTAAAAGTATATTTCCAATAATTATATTTATTCTATTCTTGCTTATTATTGTTTTGTTTTTAATATTTATTAATCTTTATTCAAATAAATCAAAGACAATGTAAGAATTTCAGTATAAATTGCAGTAGAAATTAGTCTTAGTTTTTATTTGGAAGCTCATTTCAACTGAAAGATTTGAATCCTAATCAATATTAAATATTTTTTACATTCATTTTTATTTTGAAATGATAACTAAGAAAAGACAAGCTTATTCCAACTTTTTATAACTTTGTTAAAATAGTTTATTCTATTTCTTATTTATCACTTATTTATTTATCACCATAAGAAATTTATTTTAAATACAACTAATCTTTTTGATTTAAGACACTTGATTTTTATTTACAATTTTTATGATTTATTCATTTAGTTTTCACTTTTATTATAAATTTAGCATAAATTGCTTAAGAAAATTAAATAGAATAAATATTTAAATTAATAAAAAAGAATAATTCAAATCAAAAATTATAAAATAGATGAAAAGATTTTTACTAAAGATCAAGTGATAACTTTAAAACTTTAGTGTAATTTGGTAAAGCAGGACCTAAGCTTAATTCATCGTTTAAACTAATTTAAGAAAGGCAAAGCGGCTCGAGTGGGCGAGTCGGAGGGTCTTAGCATTAGCAATATTAAAGGGGGTTCGAATCCTATACCACCCCCTTGGAAAAATTCAATGAAAATACGAATGTTGTACCCAGCTAGTGGAATTTCAATACCAGGATTATAAATATATGTAGATTTAGGCTATATATTTATTTATTTATTTTATATGACTTTTATTAAAATTATGTTACCTTTATATTGTTATTAAATGAAATTTTTGAATTTTTCACTTTATTTAATATATGTTTTTTTTTTTTCTTTTATTTTATAAGAATTAAAATGGTTTGTTGGTATTACAAGGTTTTTCTGTATTTTTATTGAGATAAATATCTTAGGTTTATATAATGTATAGTGGAAATAGTACTCTTTTATTTAAGATATCTCCTTCTCTCTCTCAAAAAGAAAAAGAAACCAGAGAAACTTAAAAATAGCTGATTAAAAATCATAAATTTATTCTTTTACTTTTTCTAAAAGTTTAATTAAATTTTTACTTACTTTTGATTAAATTTCTGATGATTAAAGTAATTAGAAATGTTCTGATCGATCAGAATAATTTAATTTTTATTATACATATTAATTTTTTTGTGACTATTTTATTTAATTAAAGAAAATATTTCAAAGATAATTAATTAATCATATTAAGTATTAAGGTAATTCAAATTTGATAAACAGCAAAAAATGAGCACTAAAAATATTAAAAAAAATAAAGTAACAAAGCTGAAAAATAATTTTGATAAATTAGAAGATGTAATAAATATACTATTTTTATTTTTTATGAAAATTTATAATTTTATAAATAAAGTTAATCAATTCTTCATCTTCTCTTCAAAATCATACTTCTCTCTTAATCAGTCTAAGGTAAGTAAATCAATATTTATCCAAACTTTTATATCATAAAAATGTATTATTTATTTATTTTACTGTTAATATTTTTTCCTTATTTTTAAAAGATATTTAAAGATTTCAGATTTAGATGCTTCATAGTTGGCTTCTGTTTTAGCAAATTGCCTTAATTTGTCAACTTTAAAACTAGAACTTCCGTAAAAATAGTTTATTGCTTAAATTAATTTAATTGCAAATATAATTTAAAGAATTTACTCTTATTCAAATATTTTAAATTGTTAATTTTTTATAACTCTAGCATTTCTTTGTATTTATTTTGAAAGTTATTTTAAAATTTTAAAAATATTAAAATCAATCAAGGGGTAATTAAATAGGGCAAAATGGTGTATCTGACTTAGGTTTATCTTTAACAAAATGCACCAATTTATAAAATTTGGTAGTTAAACTTAAGTAGAAAATTTAATTTTATTTAAATTATGTTAATGAAGGATTAAAGATATCTAATTTGATATGTTAAATAAATAAATATCAGTTTCTTTGTTTTTTTTGATATTTATTTAGGATATTTCTATTTATTTTTAATAATAAGCAAAATATATTATTGTTTCATTTATATATAAAGCTAGAATCCAATTGGTTCAAAAGGCATAGAAGGATTTATGTCTGCACTCGCATAATGCAGTAATCTCTCAACTTTAGAACTTTATCTAGCGTAAATTTAATGCTCTGTTTTAAACACATTTATTAAAAGATAGATAGCAACAAAAAAATATAAATAAAATAGTCAAAATATTAATAAAATCTTTCTAATTAGTTTATTACTTAATTAATTAATTAATTGATTAAAAAAAATATCTTTTTAAATTAATTATCATCTCATCTATCTCATTTGATTTAATTTATTTGTATCATTTTTAAAATATTTTTATATTATTTATTGAATTTAAAGTGAGAATCAAATCAATGGCCAAGATTCTTAATTTTTAGGTTCTTGTTTGGCTAATTTCTAGAATCTTTAAAGTTTAAAGCTTAATTTAAAGTAAAATTATCATTTTATTAAGATCATTTTTTCTTCATTTAGTTTACTGTTTGTTAGTAAAAAATATTTTTCTTTCTAAATTAAATGCATTTTATTGTTTCTTATTTTCTAAAAAAATATATTATTTTTTATCAAAAGCGCAAACTAAATTGGCAATGAGGGTGCTTTGAATTTAGGATTAGGTTTAACAAAGTGCATCTAACTCTTAAATTTAGACCTTAAACTTAAGTATTTATTTATTTTTGTTTATATTTTTATTATTTGAATTAAAATTAGCTTATATTTTCATTATTATTTTACCAATAAAAAGTAAAATATAGATAGATAGCTATTTATTTAATATCACTTACTTACTTTCTTTTTTATAAGATTATCATATTTTCATACTAATATAAGCATCATTACTTTTCCTTTTGTCTAATTTATTCATTCATTCATTGACTTATTTTTGATTTTTTTGATCTAAAATATTAATAGATATAATAAAATTGATGATTAAGGATTAATAGATTTAAGTAACTCTTTAACGAACTGTTCTAAATTAACAAAACTTACAATTGAACTTAAGTAAATAATTTAAATAATATATTAATTATTAAATTCATAAACCTTAAATATTTTAAATGTGTATTTAAAAAGTTTTACTATCTTTAAAAAATAAAATCAAAATTAATTTTTATCCTTTAAAAATAATAATAAATAAATAAATTAGTAAGTAAGTAAGTAAGTAAGGTATATTAAAAAATTCTTAAATAATCTTAAAACATTTAAAAAGCAATCAATGCAAAAATAAAAATAGAAATAGAAATACTAAAAAACAACAATAAACAGACAGATCTATAAAGTTTTTTTATTTATTTATTATTTCTATATTAATTTTTCTTTTTTAGCTTCTATAAATAAATCAATTTATTATAAAAAGTCAAAACTATATTGGAAATAAAGGTTAATCTTGTTTAGGTTCAGCTTTAGCACACTGCAAAAACCTTACTAACATTAAACTTAACTTTTTGTAATTTTTTCATATTTTTCTTTTTATTAGTGATCCAAATATTATTTAGATTAATTAATTAATTGGTTTTTTGTTAAAAATCTATTAGTCTCTTCTTTATTGTGCCTGATTGATTATTAACATTTATTTCATATTAATAATGTTTATTTTTTAGTTCAATTTAATTACTTAAAATATTTTGATGGATATTTACAATCTGAAACTTTTTAATTAAATTTTTAATATATTAAAAGCTTGAATTAAATAGGAGGTGATTGGTTATCTGAATTAGGTTCTGGTTTAGCTAAATGTGTTAACCTATCAAATTTATAAATTAATGTTTCGTAAAATAATTGATTTTTATTTGCTTCAATTATTTAATTTAAAGTTTAATAAATCTCTCTAAAAAGAAAGCAATATTATTATTTAATTTTTTTTCTCACCAAATTTATCTGATTTCTTTTTCTGTATGAAATCTTAACAGTAGAAATTCATTAGAAAACAACGAGGGTATTTCTTCATTTATGACTTCTTTAATGGGATGTTCCAATCTATCGACTTTACATATTGAGCTTGCGTAAAAATTCATTAATTAGTTTTTGTCTATATTTTAGAGGGCTTGCTTTTAGCTCTAGCATTTGATAAATTTGTTTTGATTGGTGAATATTTGATTAACTTTTTAAATGAAAATAATTTTTTTTCAATTCTTTAATTATTATAAATGCTAGCAATTTATTTATTTAGATAGTTAGTTAGTTAGGTAATTCTAATTTATTAATTAATTAAAAGGTTCTGCTCCTTTGACGAGTTGCAATTTCACAAAAAGCTTTATAAAATAAAGAAATTAGTGTAATATTAAATGTGGTGTTGATCTTTTTTCTAAAATTTCTTTATATTTAAATTTAATGGAAAGAAATAAAATTTAGTACCAATTCTGTTTTTGTGTGTATTACAAAAATAATATTTTTTATTTAATTTCATAAAACATATTAACTTCATTAGCAAAAAACTCTTTTTATTTTTATGAACAATCTTAAATATTCTATTTAATATTTATTTATTAAATTATTTAGATAAAAATAAATAAAGATATTTTTTTTAGTATTAAATTAAAAAGTTTAAATTTTTTTCAAAAAATAAAATTAATTTTCAAATAATTAATTAAGAAAATGAAAAAAAAAAAAACTATCGATTGTTTTATTAAGGTAGGTCTAACTGGAAATTTTAAATTAATTTAATTATAGAAAATAATTTTAATTTTTTTTTTAATTTGATAAAAATTTTTAAAATATGTAAAATGTGCCCCTCCTAGTAAAACATTTGGATAACTAATTATTTATATGTTAGATTTCTTTTGAATGCTGTATAATAATTGTTTTGATTGTAAAAAATTGTTGGGGTGTTCAATATCTAAAAAATCAGAAGCAAGAACATATCAAAAAATAGTTGATCAAAACTTACAAATATTTTAAAATCCTATTAAAAATAGTTTGTAGCTCTTTTATAGAGTGAAAAATCACCAAATCAACCTCTAAATTTTTATTTATTCTTTATTTGTGTTGAAAAATTCAACACCATGGTTGAAAAACCTTGGTAGAATTTAGATAGTGCTTTTTATTGAAATTTGATTCATTTATTTTTCGTTAAATTGAGAGTACAAAATATTATATAATCAAACATATTATTTTCAATTTGTCAAATATTTAATATTTATTCATCCTTATTCATCACTTGTCTATCAGTAGAAATTTATATCATAGACAACTAATCTTTTTGATTTAAGACAGTTACTTTTTACTTTCAATTTTGATAATTCATTGATTTAGTTATAACTTTTATATAATTTTAAATCAAAATAAATTACTAAAAAAAAGCCTATCTATAAAAAAAAAGTAAAATAAATCAAATAAATAGCTAATAAAAAAGTTAGAAGAACAATATTGTTTTAAATTCATTTTTATAAACAGAAATATAATAATCCAAAACAAAAAATTGTTTTTACCCTAGTTTAAGTTTCAAATTTGAGAGATTCGTGCAATTTGCTAAATTAAAACATAAGCTTGATGCTCCAATTTCACCAATTTCGTTTCCGCTTTTTAAATATTGAAGAAAAAATATTCAATTAATAAGTTATTTAGAAAGAGAAAATGAAGAAAAACTTTGAAATTATAAGAAATGAATTAAAATAAATATAATAAAAGCAAATGTCGCTGAAAATAAAAATGAATAAAATTAAGAAAGATTGAAAATGAAATAAAAACTACAACAAAAAGTAAGTAAAAGATAAAGAAAAATTAATAAACAAATTAAAAGAATTTAATAGCTTTAAATTCATTTTTATAAATAAAAATATCATAATCCCAAACTAATAATCTATTTTTACCCAAGATTAAGTGTCAAATTTGAGAGATGAGTGCAATTTACTAAAGCAGAACTTAAACCTGATGCACCAATTGCACCGATTTTATTGGAACTTTTTAAATATATATTTAATATGTTATTTAGTAGGAAAAAATAAATGAAGAAAAACGACGTAATAGTAAGAAATGAATTAATAAATAATTTATAAACAAAAATTTTGAAAATAAAAAAATTAGTAAAAATTAAGAAAGACACAAAAAGAAAAAAAAACTACAAATAAATCTAATAAAAATTAATAAATAAATAAATTAAAATAGCTTAATTATTTTAAATTCAATTTTATAGATAAAAATATCATAAATTAAAAGAAATAAACTAACTGTTTTTACAGAAGATCAATATTCAAATTTGAGAGATTAATGCAATTTGCTAAACCAGCACCTAAGCCTGATGCACCGATTGCACCAATTTTATTTCCACTTATTAATAATGCAACTTATAAGTTATTTAGTAGGAAAAAATAAAGGAAAATATGGAATAACAAGAAATAAATTAATAAATATAAAAATAAATGAGTAAAATTAAGAAAGATAGAAGAAAGAAGAAAAAAAACTTCTGCAAAAAAAATAAGAAAAAAGATAAATAAATAAATACTCAAATTAAAAGGGCTTTATTTTTTTTAAATTAATTTTTATAAATAAAAATAACACAACCCAAAACAAAGAAACTGTTTTTACCCAAGATGAAGTGTGAAATTTGAGAGATTAGTGCAATTTGCTAAAGCAGACCCTAAGTCTGATGCACCAATTGCAGTAATTTAACTGTAACTTTAAATATTTAAGGAAAAAATAAATAAAAAATATGTAATAATAAGAAATAAATTAATATATAAATAAACTAAATAAAAGCAAATATTGAAAACAAAAAAATTAGTGAAATTAATTAAGAAAGATAGAAGAAAAAAAACACCAAAAATATAATAAAAAAGAAAGAAAGAAAAAGTATATTTAACAAAAAGCTAATACACAAACTAAATCAGCTTTATTGCTTTCAATTAATTTTTATAAGTAAAAATATCACAATCCAAAACAAACAAATAAACTGTTTTACCCAAGAATAAGTGCTAAGTTTGAGAGATTAGTATAATTTGCTAAAGCAGGACCTAAGCGTGATACACCTTAATCCCCAATTTTACTGTAACTTTAAATATTGAAGGAAAAGAATATAATTAATAAGTTATTTAGAAGGGAAAAATGAAGAAAAAATATGAAGTAATAAGAAATAAATAAATAATAAAAGCCAATTTAGAAAATAAAAAGATGAGTGAAATTAACAAAAATAGAAGAAGAAAAAAAAACACAAGTACAATAAGAAAAAAAAAGATAAATAAATCTTACAAAAGGCTGATATGAAAAATGAATGTAAGAGAGAGCCAAATAGCTTTAAATGCAATTTTATAAATAAAAATATCTCAACCCAAGACAATTAAACTGTTTTTATCAAGTAAAAGTGTCAGAAGGAAAAAATGTATAAAAAATGAATAATGAATTTAAAAAAATAGTGAAAATAAAATTAAAATAATTAAAAAGACATTTTTTTATTAAATAAATTGAAAAAATAAATATGGATGATAAATTATATTAGAAAAATAATATTTTAAATAAACTGAAAGTTAAATATATAGAAAGTATTAGTAATAATATTTATAAATCAAATATACTTCAGATTAAGATCGATAATCTAATTTGATTTGTCAGAAGACTTTATAAACTTTTTATGTTAGTAAAAATAAATTTAAAGTATATTGTAAAAAAATAAATAATTACTTCTTCTAATCCATAGAAATATTTTATCTCTTATATCATTTATTTATTTTCAAAATTATTCAATGGCAATTTATGTAAATTTAATTAATTAATAAGAAGTGGAAAAAGAACAAATAAATTACATGAATTTATAAATTTGAATTTAATAATAGGAATAACAAAAAAGCTAGTGTATTATAGTGTAGTTTAGCATTTCATTATTAAATCTTAATATTTCTATTTAAAATGTATATTTAAAAATATAGTAGTAAATAGAGATTCGATATAAAAGATAATTAAAATGCGAACTCACTTGAATAAAATAAATTTTTGAAGTATTTATGAGTATTTTTGTAATTAATTAATTAGATTTATTTAAATATTTTTTAAAATCTTCAATTAATTTTTGAATTCTATTATAAAATTATTTATTTATTTTTACTTAAATTATATTCAAACACATTAGCCATTCAAAAAAATAGTGATCTCAATTCACTAGATTTTTGAATGGCATTTGGCTATTTAATTATATTAAGTTATCATCTTTTTTAATATAAATTCATTTTCTCATTTCTGATTATTTTTAAATCCTTTAGTTTAACTCAAAAAATTAATTTTTAGATTTTTAATCCATGTTCATCATTAATTAAGAATAATATTAAAATAATTAATTTAAAATATTTCTTGATAAGTAAAGCTAATGGAAAATAATATGCTGATTTATAAGATTTAATTTTTAGATTTATTATTTTTGAAGATGTTAAAGGAGACATCAAAATAATTTAATATCATTCATTTATTTTTTATATAAATATTTATATCTTTAATTTATTTAAAATAAACTAATATTTTTTTTATTAATAAATAAATAAATACAAATATTACAAAAACAAACTTACTTTTTACTGATTTTTTGTCTTAATAAAAATAAATTTTCAACATTTTACAACCTGGTGTTAAACGACTTGTTTTAAAGTATGAAAATTTAGATAAAATACATACAAATAATAATATTTTACTAATTTAATAATATCTAATCTAAATTAATGAGGGTTAGTTAACTAATAGTATGTAAATAAATGATGAAATAAATATTTATATTAGTTTGTTTATTTTCATTATATATTTTGGGAAAGTAAATAAAAATAGTATTTTAAATATAATATAATTCTATAAAATATATATTAATCAATGTAAATATAAATAGCAAATTGATAAATTAGATCGATTGATTTAAAAAATATCAAAGCATAATCTATTAATTGATAAGGCTGATTAAAAATACTCGCAATTTTAAATTAAAGAGTATTTCTTTAAAATAGAACTAGCAATTAATATAAATATAAATAGGTACATGATTAATTAGATGTAAAAAATTAATAAGGTAGATCAAAAATACTCAGAGAGAGTAAGTAGGATTATAATTTTTGGATTTAAATGGTTATTATAAAATTAATCTTTATTTATCTGTCTATCTATTCTTATTATAGTGTTTATTTATTTATTTTTAAGTATGAATTAAATATTCTATTTTTTAAATATCTATTTTTTTAGCAATTAATTAAATTATTGAATTTTTTTTATTTTTAAAAATTAATTTGAGAAGATATTTCTAAATTTAATATTTGATTATTCAAAATTTATTTTAAAATTGTATTTAGTTAATTATTAATTAATATTTATTTTTTCATTGAGTTGAGTGACTTATTTGTTTGTTTGTTTATTTATTTATTATTTTTAATTAAAATTTTGTTTTTTTTTCATTTTTAGATCATATTATTAACAATTTCTTCAACTAGCTCCTCAAAAACTAAATCAGCAAGTTCCATGACTACTTCTGCTTTTTCGTCTTCATATAATTACCACTTGTATTCGTTTTCAAAAATCTAAAAAAAAAAATGATTTGTTTTTTAGATAATATTTAATTTAAAGTAATTTATTTACCTCTGTCAATAGCATTTTAGATAGTCTCTCTTCTCTTACTTGAGCTAGGTATTCGTTTTGGGGAGTTAAATTTTCTAGAAGTACACTTAGAGGTGGAGGATTTCCTTTTTCGTCTTCTAATGGGATGTATTTTTGCACCTCATCTTCGTTAACAAGACCACATAAGTAAGAGCCCCATTCCAGAACTCTTGCTTTTGATTTTTCTAAGATGAAATTTAAGTTTTTGGATGTGGCTTTTCCTAAGATGAGATTTTTCTCAGACTTAGTCCATGAGTAAGGAGGTCCACCCAAAGTATAATAAGGTCTGAAAATATTTAAAGCTTCATTAAATGTATCGAAAATGGCTTTGTTGTGAATGTGCTCGAATTCCTTAATAATCTGTTCTTTCTCTGTTTCTCCATTTCCCTAAAAAGTTAATTTTTCAAAAATTAATTAATTACAATTAATTGAAATAATTTTTACAATAATATTTTGTTCAAATTCAATGAAGAGCTCTTCACTGAGTACGAAGGGAAGTGTGTTATAGTCATCCATATTATTGTTATTTCCTTCGTCAGAGCAAGAGCTATCAACAAATGAATCATAACCATGAATCAGCTTTAGACGCTTAGAGGGAGCAAAACCAAATGGAGTGTTCAAGTTGTCTAGGAAATCATCCATATATCTCTCTTTAAATTTTATATTAATTTATTAGATTCAATAGCTTTAAATATTTTTTTTACCTGTAACATAACTGAAAAGTCTATCAATGTAATCAGTTATTATTTTTAAATTAGTGGGTATACCAAAGCTATCACTTTTATCTTAAGCAAATAACTTTTAAAGTTGTTCCTGTATTCTAGAATCTATTTAATTAAATGTTCTCCATCTATCTTGCATTTCTGCTAACATTTCATTGCGTTCCTATTATTATTTTATTTTTAGCATTAATTTTATATTCTAAAAAGTTATTCTTTAAGATGAACGAACTTAAGGATTAAAACAAATTATTTTTTTACATTTTTTTAATTTATTTAAATTCTCTATTTTAATTCAATTTATTTTTTTTAAGCAGTAAAAATTTTATTTAAATTAAAGTTGAAATAAATTTAATTAAAAGAAAAAAAATTTTTAATGTTTATTGAATAAAATTGAAGGAATTGAGAGAAGAAAAAGAAATGTAGTTTTTTTTGTTAGTTTAAAAAATCCTTTCAATAACCAAGTGCAATAATAGCAGTAAATATAAATTAAAGTTATCTCTTTCTTTATTTTTTTTTAAGTAATATTTTAGTTAATTAAATCTGAAATTACCATGAACTCTGCTGTTGGGGAATAAAATTGTTGTAAGGCAGTATGCTTTTCACTGTCTTCATTGAATCTGAGCTCATCCATTTCATCACCTTCGCTGTTGGACTCTTTTACTGAGCTAGTTGCATCTCTTGGTGATTTTTTAGAAGGTGAGCCTTTAGTTTGATCTTCTGAAGATATTTAGTCTTCTTTTAATGCAGCTCCTGCTGATTAAAATTGGTGGTGCTCTTTTGAAGTATCAGAAAGAGGAGAGAAAGGGAATGAAGCATCTTCGAATCTGGGAGAGGTTTTCAAACATTTAGCACTTTGGCTTCCATCCCTTTTAGGGAATACAATTTTTTCGTTAATTAAACGATCGAAATTTTATTACTAATGTCCTAATGACTCATTAGAGCTACTGAGAGTAGGTATTTTTAAATTTTAAGACTCGCCATTTGTGTTATTATGGGAACTTTCAAGATCATTATAATCAAGAACCAATTTAACTCCTTAACCAGGCAAAACTTCTTTATGAGAAGAAGGAGATTTCTTATGAGGAGTTTCTCCTTGAGACTCGGTTTATTTTGCTTAGCTTGGAGAAACATCTTTGTAATGCAATTTTTTATCTTTATCAACAGCTCCTTCAGTGCTAACGTACTCATCATCTTCATTATTGTTATCATCCTCTTCGTTATCATCATTATCACCATCTGCATATCTCTTATTGTATTTTTTAGAGATTTAGCTCTTTTTAGATTTTTTATCTTGTGCTGACTTAGATTCTTCGTTTTCTCCTTCAGCTTTTTCTTTAACTTCAAATTTATCAATGATTTTAATATTATTCTTGCTTGTTGGTGTAGCAACTTCCTTTAAGAAACACTTCAAAGCTTAGCAACTAGAAAGATTATCACTGTAGGTGTCAGAATCTGATCTATTTGAAGCACCTTCTTACTCAAACTTCCTCCTGAAAAGATGTTCCTCCTCAGAAGCAAAGCTGCTTCTGGAGTCGAATTTTGTTGGATTGCTTTTGAATCTTTAAGCTAATTGGATGTCTCTCTATGTTTTTTTGATGCTCTCCATAGCCTTTAGCAATCCTCTCTCCAGAGCTTTACGAGTTTAATGAATTTCTTCCTTCTCCTTCTTGACCCAAGTCTCAAGTTCAATCTTCTTATTGTCATAAGTTCTAGGAGAGACGTGGTTCTCACTAAGCATTTAGTTCATTGCATGCATCTGTAATAATTAATATTAAAATTATTAATAAATCAATTTAAATTACAAAAAATAAAAATTAATTTATTTTTGTTTGACATTAATTGTCGACTAAATTAAAAAACATTTATTTTAATTCATTTATTGAAAATATTTTTTTATAAGAAAAATTACCTATGATTTGTGTCTCATTTCCAAAGCTTATTCTCTTAGTTTTAGAATTTCATCTATGTTGTCTTCGCTCATGATTTGTTTTAGCTTTTTTTCAGTAAATTCTTTAAAAGAATCTTTGTCAAAAATAGAACTGGTGCTATTGTTGTTTATTTTATCATTATTATTAGAATGAGGGTGTCCTTAGGAAGATTCGAAGTATTCATTTTTCATTTCTTACTATAGCTCCTTGTTAATATTTCTAGAAGATCCTTTACGACTACTACCCTTTGAGCTAAGATTCTTAGAATTAATTTTATCTTTTTTTTCCTAGATTTATTCTTGCAACAAAAGAGCATATGTATAGAGCTTATTTAATTCTTCTTCTTTAGGAGAAACTGCTTCTAAACTTTTATTCTCATCACTTTATACTGACAATGTATTTCTTAACCCAAGTCTTTAATCTTTTGGTGAGTGGAATTGCTTTAAAATAATTTAAACAATGTTAAAGCAATATTGATATTTCTTTTTTAATTACTTTAGATCTTCTCATTTAATTAAATGATCTTTCTGACTGAGCTTCAGAATTAAAAGAGTGAGATTTTTCTCTTTTACCTGAGTTATTCTTTGATCCTGCTGATGGTCTTTCAACACTTTTGGTCAAATTTAAAGGAGTTTTTGTTTGGTAGTCATCAGTAATGCTAAAAATTATAAAAATTAAATTAAAAATATATCAAATTATTTATTTATCTATTTTTTACTTGATATTCAAATTGTTGTTTGCGTTGGGAGTATCAACTTATTAGTTTTTGTTCTCCTCTTAATTTTTATATGAATTACTTTCGTTATTATTATTGACTGTTGTCTTTTTTTAGTTTTCAGAAATTACCTGATTTTATTTCTTTTATTCTTCTTCTTCAATTACTTAGATATCAATTTATAACTAATTGCTATTTTTAATGTTTTTTTTTGTTTACTCTTGCTAAGGGTTTTATATTGCTTACTATTATGGTGATTATTGTAGTTGTTATTCTTGTTGTTATTATTATTATTATTATTATTATACTTATTATAGTTATTATATTTATTGCTGTTGTTATACATCCTATTCTAGCTATTATTGATCTTCTTCCTCTTGTTGTTATTATAAATAGTGAGTATTCTCTTCTTCAAATTAATCATGATAATTTAGGTCCTTTTCTTTTGAAAGATACATTACAGAAAAAATTAAATTATATAAAAAAGTAATTTTTAAATAAATTAAGCAACTAAATAAATAAAGATTAAAGAACAAAATAAAGTACATTCCATAGGGTCGTATTATGGTTGAGGGAAGTTTCTAAATACAGCTTCTATTTGCTCAATAGAGAAATTTTGGCTATCATCTTCATTGTCGTCTATGCAGAGTAGCAATCTGTCCCTATTGAGTGGAGTGAGTTCTTAAAGAATCTAAATAATTAAGTCTCTTTAGTTAGGAGCATTAGATGATGTCAAAGCGTTTATTTTCTACTGAACAGTATTCCAGTTTTCTAAATCTTCCTCAGACATCACATTCATTAAATATTCAAATTATTATTAAGCTTAAAATTAATCGAATTCTTCTTAATCCATATTCTCATAATCTTCCTCCGTGTTAATTGGTTAAATTTATCCTTTCTTTTCAGACTTGCTTTAGTTCAAATATTTACCACCTTTATTTAAATATAATAAAATTTTTAAATTAGTTAGTAAATTAATTTAAACATTTCTAAAAAATATTCAAAAAATCTTAAATTGATATTTATAAACCTAAATTTAAGATTTAAAATCAAGCATTTTAAATGAATAGAAATAATTTAAATTAAAAATTTTATATTTTAAATTATAACTGTTTAATTTAATGATTTAAATTATTTGAAAGATCTTAAAATTTTTGTTTTAGTTTTTTGTTCATATTGAAATAATTATCAAAAATGAATGATATAATCAAATTTTATATTTTATTTAATGATAAAAATTCCTTCCAAAATTTAAAAGCAAATAAATAAATTTTTTATTTTAAAAATATAAATTGGGATTTAGTTTTAAAAATAAAAATGAAGATTTTATTTCTTTCTTTCTTTGTTTGTTTAGTTTTTAATTTCATTTGAAAAATTACCTGATTCGCTTTGGTCTTGATTTTGGAGTTGAGTTTAAGAATTTAAGATAGTGTCTATTTTTTAGAATTAAGCTTCATCGTTGCTGATGACTGAACTTTTTATTGTTGAAATGTGTACAAACTTTTCGTTATTCTCTTGATCTCCTTGGAAATCAAATTATTCATCTTCGTCTTCTGCGAGGTTATCGTGTTACAAAAGGTCTTCCTTTTCTTGTTTCATAAACCATTATTTATTCAAAGTGTCTTCCTTAGCTTAATATTGCTTATTTTAATTTTCTGCTTGCTAATTTTAATTAAGGTTTTTTATATTATCAGGTTGAGCAATTTGTTTAACTTAGACTGGTGGTTATTCGATCTAGTTGCTAATAGATTGAGGCTACTTTTAAGCTTCTAAACTTTAAGCTTTCACTTTGATTGATCTACCTGATTGAGGAGAATGTTGTTGCTGTTGTTGTACCTGATCTGGGTAGTTATTTATTTGATTCTGTAACTCTTATTATTATTGTTGTTATTGCATCATCATCATGTATTTATTATATTCTTCCTCATTGACTTCCTCAACATACTCTTCGTCTTGGTATTCTTCTTCCATCATTTAGTTAGGATCACGGAAGTTGCCATTTTCGTCGACCTCTCCGTTTTCTAGAATCTCTAAATAGTATGTAAGAATCTTACGAGTGAAAAAGCCTCTCCATATTTTTTAGATATAAGTAGCAGCATTGTTGAAGATTTCTGTAGCAAGCATTTCTAGTTATTACTCATTCATCTCAGGTTCCTCAAAGTCTTGATTCTGTTCATCTTCATACATTTATTATTACTAGTTGCTTTTCTATTTTTGTATCATCTAATTATGCTACTCTAACTCATCTTCTGGAACGTTAAAGCTTAATTCAGTCTGTTAATTATTAAGAGTAAACATATTGTCATGCTAATTCTCATTTTCATTAACTTTCAAGCTGTCATATTCTTTAGTGGTTTCATTTCTTTAATATTATTGCTAAACCAACGAGGAGACTTGTTATTGTTAAAATTGCTAACTCTAAGAGTTTTCTTAAGGCAATCCATCAGATAATCTTTTTTATTAAGAATTTTAGTGATAGCTATCATCTTAATCAAATTATTTATGCTACATTTCAAGTTGTTTATAAAAAGCTTCATTTGATTTAAGCAAGTTGTTTTCAAGCATCTAATCAGGCTTAATATCACTATCCTTAATAATAACAGAACCGCTAGATTACTCTTATTAATTAATTTACTTTCCAGTTATAGATTCTGCAAATCCCTTTTAAGGAGAATCGACATACTGATCAATTATATTATCATTTCTCTATTAAGTTAATCTGCTATTTTCAGCTAAGTATTAAAAATAACATGTTAATTTTTCATATATAAGACAAATTAATAAATAAATGAATTACTTTAATTTAACTCAGTTTAATTGTTGCCAAATGGATCAATCATCATTCCAATAGCTTAGTCATAAGGAAGATTAGCTCCACCATTTACCTATTAATCAAATTAAAATTGCATATGAGGCTAATGAACTTAATGCAAGTGATTATTTTCATATTCTTTTCTAGATGATTCAAAATCTTCGCTTTCAATTTTCTCCTCTATTTCTCCATTCATCAGCAATTATTTATTTGTTTCTATAAAAATAATTTAATTAATATTTTAATAAATGTGACTGTTAAAGTATTAAAAAATTAATTACTTGTTAAATTATTGTTTGTAGTAGAGTCATTCTTGCTTGTATTTAATTTTATTTAGTTGTATCTCTTAGCCAAGTCATCGTATTTTTATTTAAGAATCACTTTAGAAGTCTAAGTTAAATCAGAGCCATTAATTTCGTTAACAGTATGGATATCGCTTTCTTATTATTAGCTTAATTTTTGTTTCTTTTTCTTTTTTCCACTGCTATCTGAAGTCTTCTTTTGTTTCTTCTTTCCAGATTTAGAAGGAGTTTTCTTCTTCTTATTCTTTTTTAAAATACATAATCAAATAAATAAATCGATTATGTGAATGAATAATTCTTATTTTTATAAGATGAAATTTTAAAGTTATTTGAAAAATAAAGACTTTGTTTTATTGCTTCTTAAAAAAAAAACAAAATATTTAAAGTATTTTTTAACTTATTTTTACACAATAAATTCATTACAAAATCTTTATTTTTTAAATTATTGCCGTTTTTTTTAGCAATATTGTTGAAATTAATTTCATAAATGTTTATTTTTAATTTACCAAGATTTTGGAAGCAGTTGCTGAAGGCTAAGTATTGAGATTTTTTTATGATGATGCTCCTGTTCTGTAGAAAGAAGGATTTTTTTGATTGTTTAATGATTATGAAAACTATTGAGGAGAATTGAAGTAGTGCTCATCTTGTCCGGTAATGAGCTGCTTAAACTCTTCGTAGAGAGCGCTGTAGTCATCTTCCTCAGGTGTTGACTAATCTTGATAAGTGTATGGGTTTTATTAGGACATCTAAGTAGAATATTGCTAAGCAAACAATGCTTATTGTAAAGGATTGTTGATGTATTATTGTGGAATGTATAAATTTTTGTTAAAAGGTTAGTTATTGTTATGATTATAAATAGATTATTCTTCAGTTTTAATTTATCTCGATTTGAGATTGGAATCTGATTCATTGTTGTGAGTGTTAAGCTCGGTTTTCAGTTAATATTACTAAAATTCTTAGGTCTTTGTTGAAGGTGATTGGAACTTAGAATTCATCTATATATTTTAAGAACTAGATTGTCTGTTAAGACTTGCCTAATGCTACTAATTCATCAAAGAATTTTATTGCAATTAAAGCTAAAGTTGATTTTATTAATTTTTGTGCTTGGATTGGCTAGATCTTTTAGCCTTCTTCATTCTCTTAAAGATACTTTTAATACTTTCTTCTAAACTAAGCTTCTTATCCCTTTTATGCTACTCTTCAATTAACTTTTGCTACTTCTTAAGATACTCTTCTTTTTCAATTTTTTATTTTTTAATTTACATGTAGTTTTGAACTTCAACTGATTTCAGACATATTTATTCTTTTCTTTACACTTTTTTTACAAATTAAAAAAATATTTCCTTGCTCTAATTATTATTTTTGTAATAATTTACATTGTAAATATTATTGATAAAGTGAGAAGTCCTCTTCCTATTGACTTTCTTTCATTTTCTTTTAATTCACTAATTATTTTAAATGTAAAATTAATATCAAGCACTAAAAATTTATAAAACAATTTTAAAATAAAATAAATTGATTAATTTTTTCACTTTTTATCTAAAAATAAGAAAAATATTTTGATTACTTTAAACAAGTCTTTGAATCTCTTCTTCTGTTAAATTATCTAGACCTATTTGCTTTCTCCTTTATGAGTCATCGTATCTATTAAAACGATATTTTGAGTAAAATTTTGCACCAATTAAATAAAAAGTAATTTACTTAATATTATCAGACTAACTTCTTTATTCTTGATTTCTGTATTGAATAAGAACCTAAATTGCATAATTACGAAGCTTTTCTTAATTAATACCCCAGGGAAGTCTCCTGCTTAAGTCATTTGAACTCATTTTATTTCTAGAGAATCTGGAAGCATTTGTCATTCTAATGTTTTAATTCTTAGCAAGCATTTGTGATTATTTTTATTTTTTGAGTTCATCTTCACATTTTTTTTCTTCTAATTTTCTTTGTTTTTCTTGCAAAGCTTTTTTAATGTTTTCGTCTACCAATTATTTAATCTTTTCCATTCTTTCCTTCTTCTTTTCTTCTTGATGCTCAGTGTTTTCCTTGACACTGCTTTATTCTTTAAAAGCCTCAGAATCTCTACGTTTTGAAAGTTGGCTGTTTGTGTTTCTCTTCTTCAAATTAGACAAGGATCCATTTCCAACTGTTTATGATAGCTATTTGGATTTTTAATGCTTAGGTGAATCAATAGGAGAGTGGCTACTTCTTTATGTATTCTTAGAGGATTATCCTCCTCCCTTTTAGCTATTTTAAAGCTAATTCAGCTTTTAAACTGATTAAGAATTTTATAATTAGATATTCTATTCATTATTGTGATAATCCTATGATTAAAGCTAAGAATTTAGATATTAACCTTATCCTTATTAGCTCTTTTGAAGAGTGGAGTTTTAATCTTAAGAATGAGAGTTAAAATTTCCTTATTTGACTTTCTTCTTTGTTAATCCCTTTTTATTATTAGGAGAGTGAGAGTTTTCTGTACTTTTCTTTCTAATTGCATTAAGCTAATATTCATTCTAATCAGAAATGTCTTTTTCCTATTTCCTCTTATTCTCATCACTAAAATTATTTTTTTTAAATTTTATTAATACATTTCTTTTTAATTTTAATTAAAATTAGAAGCTAAAAACAAACCAACTTTATTTTGTTAAATATGAAACTAAATAATAATTATTCCATTTAATAAATCACTTCTTAATCATTAAATTTATTTTATTTAATTTTCTATCGGCATTGAAGAAAATCAGTGATTCTTAAATAATTTTTGATAATTATCAATTACAATTCTTTGTTGAAATACTTACTTCTTTCTCAACATTAAATTTATTTTTTTAAGATTCTTCTTTATCTTTAGATTTCTATTCAAAGTAGCTTTGAGTAATTTTTTTAAGAATAATTTTTTAACTAATTTTTGAATCTATTTTGATTTGCTTCCTTTTTGAATTAATTGATTTTTTATTCAAAATTTTCTTAATTATTCCTTAATATTTTTACTTTTGAAATATCATTTTAATAAATATTATTTATTTCATTGTTCTGGTAATTTTCAATAGAAATAGGCTTGCTTGGTTGCTTGGTTTATAAATTTTTTTATGTGTGAAAACAAATTGGTTTAAATTTTAAATAATTTGAATGGCAAACAGCCTGGAAGTAAGATATATTTATTTTATATTAAGAACTGAGTTGAATAATTTTTAAATAATATCTAATATAATTTTGAAAACTGAACGAACATAGCTAATTAACTCAAAATAATAATTTATGTTTTAATATATTTATTTTAGTTTTAAATGGTAATTTTCAGGTTTATTTCAAATTTTAAAACGAAATAAATTACTTCATAGATTTCTTGGTGAGTATTATTTTCTTTTTTGTACTCTTCTTGCTGTGGGAAAGGGTTTGGGAATGAGTATTTAAAGTATGCTTTGGAGTGTTTTAGATTTGATTTATATTTTTTAAGTGCTAACTATTTGAAGCTGAAAGTGGCTTGGTTGAACTATTTAGTTAAGAGGATGTCTATGCATGCCCATTCTTTTGCTTATTGGAAGAAGGACTAGCGAATTCTTTTAAATTGTTAGAATTTATGTTGTTTTCATTATTTCTAAAATTTGTCTAACTATTTTAGTTAGTATCATTCTAATACAAACCTGCCTAGTGCTAATATCTTTGAGTTGTTTGGTAGGCGGATTCAGCTTACTATGTATTCATTCTAGATTTTCTTATCGTGCTGGAAGGAGTGCTATCTACTATATAAATCTTTTGTGAAAATGACTAAAATTAGTTGCCTTCATCCAAAAGAGATGTTGCCATTTAATTTTTCACTGATCCAGCATAATATTTGTTCTAATTCTAGCGGTTTATTCTCTTTTCTGCAGTCTCTATAACAAGTGGAAATTTCTCTAAATTTTATTTTTCAAAATTAAAATGAGTTTAGCCATACTTTATGAAGTGCTTGCTTTGGGTATAAGCACCATTTGTTTAATTTTATTTTAGTTTTGGAAAATTTTATATTTTTAAGCAATAAGATATTGCAAACTTAACTAGTCAATTAATTAATTAATTTATTTTTACTAATATTAGTGGAATGTCTGTTGTCAAACACGTTATCATTCATATTATAATCTATTCTACGACCTATAATGCTGTTGCTGCTCTCAACTTTTTTACTATCACCTACTGAATTCGTTTTCAACCTTTTTAATTGATAATATATTTCATTTAGCTCCAATTTTAAATGCTCTTCTTGCAAAATTTATCATTCGGAGTTAAGATTTTTAAAAACTACAAAGCATTTTTCAAATTTTAAAATGCGAACCTAATTTTCAAAAGCAGCAATCGAGCAATTTAAAAGAATAGTATATCAATTTAATGAAGATTTATTTACCTTGGTGATTCGTTGGGTCTTGCTACATTAAAATAGGAAGACAACATTTAACTCTAAGTACCTCCTACTGTGTTCATTAATATACCTAACTAACTACTCCTTTTTTTGATACTAAATAACTTAGTGAAAAACAATAAAGAAGGAAGGATTCAATAAATTAATTAATTTATTTATATTTTAATTAATTAATTATGAGAGATACTTTGTTTTCTTTTTTATTATTTATACATACTTTTTACTTGATTATAATCCTATTCATTTATTCAATTAATCAAATCAATATCCTCTTTTATTTCTATTGATCTCACATTATTCATTCACTCATTGTTTATAAATAAATTCACTCAAAAAAACAAACATTTATCCAAATATTCCAAATACGCAAATAAAAAAGCAATTAAATTAAGCAAATTAATTAATATACAAATAATCAAAGATTAATTAAGTCATAATTTACTTTTTTAAAGATGAATATAAATCTTTTTCGTTTTAATTTTCAAAAATTGTCATAATTAAAATAAAAAATAAATAAATTTTGAATGATCTTAACCCAAAACAAAACAAAACAACTTTATGCATTTATTACTGGAAACAATCTTAATTATTCTAAACAAGTAAAAAAATTTACCTAAATTACAAATAAATTTTGGATTTAATATAAAATTTAATAATAATTCCCTCAAATATTTTTATTTTATATTAAAAATAATCAATTAAAAATAAATAATTGATATTATCATTTTTAGAATATTTTAATTTAACTTAAAAATTCTATAAGTTCTCCTAAATTAATGTGAATTTATATTAATACCCAAAATTTTAAAGGAGCATTTTTTATATTTATTTCATAATATTTGGAAAATTAATTATGGAATAATAATTAAAAGAATGAATTATATATTTTAATTAATCAGTGATAAAATTATTTGTTTGGCTTAATATTTATAATTATGCTTCTGTAATTAATCTTGGCTTAATATACAATATAAATAATATTTCATTTAATTTTTATTACATTAATAAAAATGATTTAGACTTTTTTATAATAAAAAAAGTTAATTAATTTAATTTTTTTATTAAAAAAAATATTTGAGTAAATGAATAAATAAATAAAAATATTAACTAAACTCCCATGATACATTTTAAAAATAAGAGAAATATAGAATATAAATATATATTAACTTATTAATTAATTTGCTTATTAGTATAAAATATTTACAAAATTTTTCAAAATAATTTAATTAAATTGTTTGTTTGTTTTTTGTTTGCTTGTTTATTTATTTATTTAATTTTCAAACATTTGTTTGATAAATGTTAACAACTCCGTCAGCACCAGCTTTTTTAATTTTTAATAAAAATGGTTTAATAAAATGTAATAATATCATTTATTTTGTTTATCTACCTGTTGCTATATAATCTGAAGTCTAGCTGCAATTTACACTATGAATAGCTTCATCGTATTTTGATTAGTGAGCCTATATTTTAAGAATTATTTATTTATTTATTATTGATTTATAAAAAATTTAATTTACTTTTATTTCATTTAAGCATTTATATTATCTTAAGTCCCAAGTCTTTATAAATCCATCATGTCCGACTGTGCTTATATAGTTTTTATCTTAATGGAAAGAAATACCTGTTACTGTATCGTTATGTCCTTTCAAGGAGTAAACAGGTTTATCTAAATTTATTTATTTTATTATTTACATTTGCTCAATTGGAAAAGAAAAATAAATAAATAATTAATTAATTAATTAATTTACTTTAATTAATATCGAAGAAACGAATATAGCTGTCTTCATGACCTGATATCAACATTCTTAGTTAAGGATGTGCAACAAATCTGTAAATTTAATCAATTTATAAATCACTTTAATACTTAATCACATTTTGAGCTTTTGCCTTTTAAAATAAAATTAACAATAAATAAAAAATTTTTCTTAAAAACTTAACATTAATTCATTAGCTTTAATAAAATTGAATAAATAAATCAATAATTTAATATTATTTATTTGTTTGTTTAATTAATTAATTTTTACAGATTCTTTATCAAATAAAACTAGTGAGTTAGAGTTTGCATAAGATGCTGCTATAAAATTAAGGTTTGAATAAACCCAGGCACAAGATGTTGGAATATCTAATTTATCTCCTTGAGGTTTGTAAATATACTATTGCAGCATTTTACCTTCATAAGTTTTGCCATATTCTTCACTAACACTCCACATGTGTACTTTTCCATCTGCACTAGCTGATAATAATTTTTTCTAATAAGCAGTTATAAAATATTAATAATTATTTATTTATTTCGTAATTGTTGAGTTGATTTACTTCAAAAGGATGGGCTATGATCTACCAAACAGGTTCTTCACTTACTTGCCATGATCCAGAACTATAGTTTTTATTCTCAGTCGTGCCAAAAGTATCTACTTTATCACTTGATTATATGCTCCAAGCTTTGATCAAACCCTATTAATTGTGTTAAGATTGTTTGTTATTTTGAACAATAAATTAAATAAAATCAATCTTTTACCTCTGAACCAGATGCAAACACTGTTTGATAATTTTAATCTGAGCATATCTCCTAAGAGAAGCCTGTAACAGTATAAAGACAGCCAGTATGTTCTAAATTGTTTTTGAATATTTTTGTTAATATTTTATTTTTAAAATTCATTGTAAAAGATTTTAATTAAATTTCTTTTCTTAAAAATATTATGAGTAAATTTTTAAAATTAATTTTGTTCTTTTTTAAATAAGTTAAAAACAGAAAACAAGGCGAAATAATAAATTAAAAAAGAAACATTCAAGTACCTCTAAGTGTATAATATGGGTCGATTTGAGTATCTGCATTTGCTTGAAAGAAGAAAGTTGTATCCCACAATTTAATCATGCAATCTTCTGAAACAGTAACTAAAATATTATTTCCAGCAAAATATGTGTCTCTGACACCATCTAGGTGACTCTTAAGTTGACTTTAGATAAAATGAAGTAGTTTTATAGAGAGAAATAAACTAAGTTAAAAGAATAATTTACCATTTTAATTAAACAATATTTTGTCTGTTTGATTTATAGGACTTAAATTTATAAATAAAATAATTAAATATTAATAAATAAATATAAATAATCAAAGAAATATTCAATCAATAAACAAATAAAATATGAGATCAAATGAACAAATGAATCAATCAATTAATTAATAAAATAAATTTATAAAAGAATAAATGCAATAAGTGTAATTGCAAAACTGTTATATAAGAATATGAAAATAAATAAATTACTTCAATAGTTTCATCCATTTTATCAAATTGTTTATTATTATTTACATTCTCTTACTATGACTACAAATTGTCTATAAATAAATTATTAAATATTTATTAATAAACTTATAATTAATATTTTATTATTATTATTATTATTATTAAATTATCTAATTTTCGATTAGTCTTGTTCAAATAACTAATATTCATTTTTCAATCAACTTATTTATCATTTCATGAATTTTATTTATTTGTTTATTTGTTTTTTATTTTGTTATTATTTATTTTCTATTACATTTTATTTTTGAGCATCAATTGATTGGTGTTATATTTACTTTACTATTGTTGTTGTTGTTGTTGTTGTTGTTGTTAATTTTATGCTAGATAGGTATGAATGTAAGTTGATTTGAAATCATGTAAGAAGGAGAGAAATTTATTTTGTATGATATTGATTTGATGGATAATAAAATTATTTGTTTATATATTTTATAATATTTTCTATGATTGATTGACTAATTTTGCTTGCTATTTGTTTTTAATTTTTGAGAGTATAATTTAACCAATCAATCAATCAATCAATTTTGTTTATTACTTCTCATAGTGTTAGGAATTTGTTGACCTGAATTTGATTTTTCTAATTAGGACTGTTACTATGATAGTTGCTGTTCTTGTTAAGCAGTAGCATTAAGAGCATTTTAATTATTTTAATTATTAGGTTGTGATGTGCTCTTGCTAAGATCTATGAAGGAACTGTCTGCTGCATTATTTGCCTAAAATGAAGATAAATCATTTTCCCTGTTAGATTATTTTCAAAGATAAATATTTGTGTTTGCTAAGATAAACTTCTTACTTTAATAATGCTGTTTAATCTTTTTATTGGAACTTTAAATCTTGAACTTTCAAATTTTAATTTGCCTTATCCAGTTCGTTTTCTTCATCAAATATATCATCAAGCCCGACTTCTTCTAGTATTCTATTTTTATATAGTTAGCAACTTAAATTCGTTTTTATAAATTTTCATTACTTTAAAAGGAGAGGTCTATGTTACTTGGCCTTTCTTTGAGGTACTTAGGGAACACTTTGGTTTTGCTTAACAATATTTGCTGTGTTTTCGTCTTGCATTACTGATTTAATAACATCCTAAGAAATATTCTATCCTTGAAGCAGCTTAGTATATCTAATTCTATTTTATTTAAAGAAATCTAAATATGCTTGGCTATTCTAAAAGAACAATTTTATTTATTTATTACCTTTCCTATCTCAATGCGAATTCGAGCATTTTTATTCTTTTAATCAAGTCTTTATTTATATTTTCTTGAGCCTTCAAATCAGCTTCTATCTATGATATTTTCTCCTGTAATTATTGCTTTTCTAACATTTACTCAGTCTCTTTGAAATTTTATTCCTTATATTGGTCTTGTAAAAATTTTAAGACACCTAGCCAGTTGTACTATGATGTCTAGGGAGCGTTTATTTGCTATGAATCTTCAAAACTTTCAGACATTTCCTAAAATATTGCTTCTTTATAATTATTTTTGTTATGAAATACAAATTCGGAATTAAATTATTGATTTATTATTATTATTAATTTTTTTTTTTGAAAAGTTAATTAAGTTTATTTAAATTTCAAAAGTAGTACGCTCACAAATTTTTATTATTATCAAGCTTTAGTAGTAGCTAATTAATACACTTATCGTTGATTTTATCATTCATTCATTCTTTTTTTCATTCATTTATCAATTTTAATATTTTATGAAATGAATAAATTCAATAAATAATTCAATATAGTTTAAATTTGATATAGAATATCTTTCTCTCCTCTTTAAAGCTTAAAATAAATAGAAGTTATTGCTTGATATCTTTCATTTATTTTTTACCATTTTATACAAATTATTTTTTATTTGCTTAAAAATTTAACTTTTTTGAATGAGATACCATACATACATAGAAATATATTTTTTGAGTAAAATTTTGGATTTGATTTTTAAAATTAAAATATGTTTTTGAGGTAGAATTTGAGCTGTTAAAATAAGATTTTATCTTAAAGATATTTTGACAGAAATTTGATGAGTTTTGCAAGAAATAATTAATAAAAATATTGATTGATTCTTTGTTTAATTAATTTGCAAAGAGAGTTTGTTTGTAGACAGTACTTTCTACTAAATTATATTTAATCAAAATTAAATTAATTATTAAGTTAGCAACTAAGTAAATAACATAGGCATTTTTATGGGTAGAGATAGAAAAGACTCTCTCTCCTCCGATGACTCTTTAAGCAAAAGCGATTCATTGAGTCCTTCAAAGGAAAGATAAGATAACAAAAACGAGAAAAATAATAAGCACAGGTAAAATTTGCTTTTTTTGTTGTGTCAATCAGTTAATTATATATTTAGATCGTCATCTGATTCATTATCTTCAGATGACAGAAATAAATCAAAAAAGGATAAAAAAAGCAAAAGCTCGAAGGATTCTAAAAAAGAAAAGGAGAAAGAGAAAAAGAAAGAAGAAAAAAGCAAGAAAAGCAAAAAGAAAATTTCAAAAGATGATGTAAAAAACCAGCCATTTATTTCAAAAAATGTTTACTTATTTTCTTATAATTTTTGTAGAAAAAAGATAAAAAAAAGAAGCACAAATCGGGAAAAGATAAAAAAAGTAAGAAGGAAAAAAAAGAAAAAAAGAGTAAAAAGGATTCGAAAAAGTACGTTTAACAACCAACTAGCAAGGCTTCTAAAAGATTTGGCAAATATGGCATCATAAAGTAAATTAACAATTTACTTAAATAAAAATTTTATTGATTAAATGAATAAACAAATAAAGTAAGGAACATGCATATGAAAAGAGAGACGAATTCTAATAGTGGTTAGCAGATGTAAAAAAATTGAACATAGAAGCATTGACTTAAAATGAAGAAAGAAGACTATTTGATGACTTCATTGAAGACTATAACACAGCATCGATGCCTGAATAAAAATATTATGATTTGGTACTATGGGAGTAATACTTGTAGTCTAAGTAAATGGGTAAGAAAGTCAAAACTAACGATGAAGTAGGACTTGATGATGAAGCATTAAAAAAGTAATTTCATCTAATTATTACCTCTTAAAATTGTTTAAATATCTCCTAAATTAAAAAGACTTGAAAGAGAAAGACAAAGACAGGCATATGAAACTTAAGCTACAGCAGCTGCACTAAATCAGATTTATACTCAAGGAAATATGGTAATATCATTTATCATGAATTTTATTTTATGTTAAATTATTTATTTATTTACTAACTTACAGGCATCAGAAATTCAAGAAACTGAAGCCAAGAGAGCGTTAATGCAATAGTCTTATAAAATTGGTGATATAGAAAAAGCTCTAGATATTCAAAAAGAACTTGTACCTGAAAAGAAAAAGCCTGGTTAACAAGGATAATGATGTAATTAACGAAATAATGAAGTAAATAAATAAATAAAAATATAATTAACTAATTAAGAATTGTAATCTTTATAATTATAAAACTATTTTTGCATGTATATATAGAGTTTAACATTCAATCAACTATAATCAATAAAAAGTAAATAAATAATAAATAGATCAAATATAATTAAATAATCTGACATTTTTATTTATATGAAGCACAAAAATATCATTCATTTCTAATCTAAAACCATAATGATTCAAATCGCTTAAATATTTTTAGAAATATTTGAATGAAGCTATTTTTTTGTAATTATAATCAATCAGAATATATTAAATATAAGCTATCTATATCTGTAATTAATTAATTAAATAATTTAGAAAATGTAAGTAAGCTTCAGCAAAAAAGTTCTAATTTTTTTGTTAATATTTTTATCAATCTAAATTTTTTTTTGAAATAATTAAAAAGGTATAATAATCTATAATTTCTTTGTACGCTAAAAAATTTGAATTTTTTAAGCTAATTTTAGTAATTTTTGAATCTTAATTTAGATCATAAAGTAATCCAAAAAAAAAATACCTTGAAAAGTAACAAAATGTGATTTACAAATCCATTTTTCATTAAAAATGTAATAATAATTTTATAAAATGACTTAATAAAATCTATAAAAATTAATGAGAATTTACAGTTTATAAGAAGTACCTTAAATTATTTAAATTATATATAAAAAGAATGTTACTCTTATTTTTTTAAATTAAATGTCTAATTTTTTATTTAAAAGTAAATATTAATTATTTTTTATTTATTTATTCAAAAAATTAAAGAAGAAATTAAAATTAATTTGTTTAAAAAATTATTGTTGAAAGATTTTAAATAAAAATACGTAACAATTATTTGAATATTTAAAATGACATTCAAGTATTAATACATGCTTTTATATTTAGAGTAAATATTAATAAATTGATTAGATATTATTGTATACAATAATCAATTTGTTCAAAGGTTAACATAAAGTAAAAAGAGCTTAAAGTTGGATTGATTAATATTTATTTAAAGGAAAAAAGAGCTAATAATAAATATTTTTTGATGAATCTATGCAAATAATTTTAGCTTTTAGCTTAACAATAAACATAAATACATTGCTCTAATTTAAATAATTTTTATATTATTAAATTCTTATTAATAGTGTAAGTATTTGTTTGAAATAAGACACTTGCTACTTAATTAAATTTACCATTCATTTTAGTTTTAGAAAAAGACATCAATTAAAATATAACATTGATCTTCATTTTTATCATTACTCAATCAATGAATAAATAATTAAATAAGCTCAAGCTACAGTTATAAGTATGTTCATGATAGATTCATACAGAAATTATTTAAGAAATCTAAGAAATAAATTTAGTTCGATTACAATTATTTTTAAATAATCTGAAAAACTGTAAAGAGGAAATTTATTAAACAAATAATATTATTAAAGTGGTTCATAATCATATAAAGAGATACTAATCAAATTAATTAAATAGTCACCACCAAAGATATATATCTATCTATCAATTTATTAATCTAGCACCAAGCATTATTTTATTGTTTAGTTCTATTGAAAGCTTTATAATATTTCATGTTGCTTAAGTATTCATTACAAAGCGCCACAAAAAATTTATATTATTAAGCAATTTGTGTTTACAATAATTTATTTACATAATAAGTATTTAGTTTGTTTCGTCATGATGTTATTCAATTTGAATTAATTTTACTTAAATAAATTTTGACATTATCTTTTAATATAATTTTTGGAAGTAATTAAATAATAATGAACTTAGCTTGCTTGCTTGGTAAAATACTTTTTAAAGAAAAATAATTTAGGTAAAGAAAATAAATAATATCGAATTTTTATTTAATTATTTATTTTAATAACAAATTTTTTTTCTTTTTCTTTCATTTTCCAAATTTATTTAATGGATCAATAAAAATTTTTGTTCGCCAGCCGGATAGATGAATCTAAATAATAAAAATACTCTATTTCCTAAATATACATTTTATAGAACCTAAAATAATTAAAATTATGACAAATGAAATTTATTGTAAGATTAAAATTAATGTGTAAATATTACTAAAAAAAGAAGTTTTACTCCATTAAAAAAACACTTTATACAATTATTTTAAAAGTAGAATCGCTCAGTAAATCTATTAAAAATAAATGAAAGAATTTTATTTTAGTGGAATAAATAAAACTTAATTAAATTTATACACAAAATTTATATAGTCGCTAATCTCTTCAAAAACTATTTATTTATTTTACATTTGTTTCGTATTTCTCACAAAAAAATAAAGATTTTCTCTTGGTTTCTTACCTAAAGTCTTTAAATTTGATAAGCTAGGATTGTATGCAGATTTTATTTTTGTAATAAAGTGGATTTAGCTGATTTTTTAGTTTAAAATTTGGTGTTGATGCAATAATTTGAGGATTACAGTATCTCATTTAATTATGATGTTATAAATTACATCATTAATGTCATCTTTAGGTATTATAATTATAATTTATATAAGATATAACAAAATATGTTGAAGCAAGAAAATGTTTAAATATTATTTTTCAAGCAGCTCAAATGGGTATTTTATTTTATTTTTGAAATATTTAAAGAATGAGAGCTGGTTTATTAAACTAGTTAAGACAAAAATAATGAATCGGGCAGCTTACATATAATGAATTATTTTGTTTTAATAGTAATTATGATTAGAATTTATCACCTAATAAATTTGCGTGAAAACAAAATTTAAATTGATAGAGTCTATTTATCTTGATGAAGAAGAATAATTCGATTTTTACCACTCAAAATATATTTATTAACTAAATCTATATTACTTTTTTGTATTGAAGGTGAGTATGATATTTAAATTAGTGAAATTTTTCTATTTAGGTAATAAAAGAAATTTATAAAAATCTAATTAAGGACTTCTTGATAAGATACTTACTTATTTACTTTTCATAAATTTGAATTAGTATGATTATTAGTTAATTAAAGTAAACAAATAATTCATCATACAATTTAATTCTTGATAATCCTTTTCTTACTCTGTAACTACGGTTGTTTCCTATATTTGTTATTCTTCACGCAAATATTTTAAATTCTAATTTGTATTTTTTATTAGTGGTTCATAAATCCAATTGATTTCTAGAACTATTCGACATATTCATAATCCATACATACATTTTTTGATCCACATATTTAAAATTATAAACTAAGCAATTCTGCTTAATATTATAAAAATTAATTAATTAACTATCAAGGCACTTAACTTTTATCTATTTTTTTTATTTACTTTTTGATTAATCACAAAAAGATAAAAATCAAAATTCAGTATAAAAAAATTCAGCAAAGAATTAAATAAAAAATTTGTGCAGCAAGGAGAAATTAATTAAATAATTAATTACCTAAGTAGGTCCTCAATAAAACAAAATAAATGAAGTTTTTAAAACTTTATATTTTATTAATTTACGCTCTTGATAACTTAGTTTAAAAAACATTCTAGTAAATATAAGTTCTTTAATCAGATAGAGTGTTAATAGTTAAAGAATAATAAGTATGGTAATCCACTTCAATAAGTCCAAATTCATACGCTGATTATACAATCGATCTTACTGCAGGATAATTCAAGAGTGTGCCTAAGATATTGTATGCACTGACAGTTTATAATGCTGATGACGAGAACTAGCAAGGGTTTATGATAGGAACAATGAATTTAAGCCAAACGAGTTTAAAATATAGATTGAGGTCTTTAGGAAGCACTTTAGCGCAAATAGCGTTTAATGTATTGGCAATTGATGATCCTAATGTAGAAGTTTAGTAGATCTAATTAATGTCTGGAGCTACAAGTGTCATCACTGGAACTAAGCCTATTTAATAAATCGCAGGATTTATTTACGGTTTCTAAGGAACCGACTCAAACAATATGGTTATAAGATACAACCTCATCAAGGTTGATAGCATGAATTACTAAATTAAGTTCTCGAATACAAATATTTAAAGTGTTTACATGAATTTTCTAATTGTTTATTAGAACACTTCAGATATGTTCTAGTAATTATATGGATATTAGATGGCATTTGATACAATAGGGAGAAATATTGGTGGTGATAATACAGTTTCATGGACTACTACCTCTATCCTAGATAGATCAAATATATTTTTTGGATTAAAGGATTTTAGTATTTCTTCTAATGATTTTTATGGTATAAAAATTCTTAGTGGCTAAAATCCCGAGGCTTAAAATAAGTAAGTTAAATTAAATTATTTCACATGGAATGGGTATTATGTAAATATGATTAATGGAATTTGGGTAGGATTATCTCTTGTAAATTGTTAAACAGGCAGCACTCTTTTTGTGAATTCAACATATTATGCATGTGTAAGCTAATGTAATACAGTAGATCACCATTACAACAATAATCCATCTAATACATATAATTTATATAAGTCTACTATATCATATTGTTAGTAATGTAATTCTAACTGTTATGGCTGTTTAAATGGATAACCTAATGTATGCACTGATTGCTATAATAATTAGTATTTAAATCCTACAACAAAAGCATGTGATGCAGTGTAACCACCAAAAACAGTATGTCCTCTTACAACCGTAAGTGGATAGAGTTTTTATAACTGCTAAAGCTGTCACTCTACTTGTATGCAATGCAGTTCTCCTATGAGTTCAAATTCATGTACTTCTTGCGATATAAGTTCTTCAAATAAATATTTTTATAATAATTCATGCTTAACTTCTCAGCCTAGTAAAACATACTGTGATAGTAATTTTATTTGTTAAAATTGTGATTCTACTTGTCTAAAATGCAGTGCTCCAAGTAATTCGAGTGCATGCACATAATGCGATGTAACTTCTGCAAATAAATATTTTTATAATAACCAATGTTTCCCTTCCAAACCAAGTTCTACTTTCTGTGATAGCAATTTTATTTGTCAAAAATGTGATTAGACCTGTGGGGAATGCGTTTCTCCAGGAAATGCAACCTCCTGTACATCCTGCAATATAAATTCTACCTATAAATATTTTTATAACAATTAATGTTTTTCATCAAAGCCGAGTTCTACATTTTGCGATAGCAATTTTATATGCTAAAAATGCAATTAAACATGCGGTGAATGCATTTCTCCTGGAAATGCAACTTCCTGTACATCTTGTGATATAACTTCCTTAAATAAATACTTATATAACAACTAATGTCTGCCATCCAAACCAAGTTCTACATTTTGTGATAGCAATTTTGTTTGTTAAAAATGTGATTTAACCTGTGCTGAATGTGTTGCTCCTGGAAATGCAACTTCCTGCACATCCTGCAATATAAGTTCTTCCAACAAATACTTTTATAACAATTAATGTATGATATCCAAACCAAGTTCTACTTTCTGTGATAGTAATTTTATTTGTTAAAAATGCGATTAGACCTGTGGAGAATGTGTTTCTCCAGGAAATGCAACTTCATGTACATCCTGCGATATAAATTCTACTTACAAATACTTTTATAATAATTAATGCTTTAGCGATGTACCTCCAGGAACTTACTGTGATAATAATTTTATTTGCTAAAAATGTGACCCGAGTTGCAAAACATGTTTAAATACTGCAACTAACTGCACGAGTTGCATAGATGTTAAATATTTAGACCATGGTAATTTATTTCTAAATTTTTTTCAATCCATTAAAATTTAAAAAATATATATAAAATTTTCAAATAAAATAGACAAATTTAATAAAAATGAATGAAATATTATTAGAATAAAATTTTTAAATAAAGTTTTTCATAATTATTTATTAATGAATAATAGGTACTTGCTTATGCTTACCTGGATATTTTATGGATAACTTAGGAAACTGCAATAGCTGTGCAAATAATTGCCTATAATGTTACAATCCTTAAACATGCAATAAATGTGTCATAAATTATGTGTTAAGTAGTGATTATACTACTTGTATTTGTACTATTCCTAATTGCTAGAAATGTAATAAAAGTGATGGTTCTATCTGTGATACTTGCAACAATGGATTTACTTCACAATACAATAATAAAATTTGTTAATGCGATAGCTAAAATTGTTTGTCTTGCGATCCTTCAAATGGTAATATTTGCCAAAAGTGTGAGTAAAATTATATATTAAATTAAAGCTCTCAATGTGAATGTTCAGTTTAAAATTGCTCAAAATGTAATGAAAAAGATGGTGCAATATGCGATTCTTGTATAAATGGTTATATTTCTATGGATAATAACATAACGTGCAAATGCAGTATTTATAACTGCCAGTAATGTGACCCTAATAATGGAAATATTTGTCTCAAGTGTTAGCCTAATTACATATTGAATTCAAGCTAGAATTAATGCAGTTGTTCTGTTCCTTATTGTCAAACTTGTAATGCTAATGATGGTTCTATCTGTGACGCTTGCTAAGATGGCTTTTCATATTAAAGTACTAGTAAGCTTTGTGCTGTTGAATAATAAAATGACTTTAGTGTTAAGCAAACTGTAATTGAAAATGTAGGTTATAACATTACTGTATAGTTTTAAAACTAAGTAGTAATGACTAGTTAAGACCCTAATAGCTTATTCAGTGTCTAAATTGCAGAATATGATAATCCTTTCAGAGTAAATTATATTGGAATGTAGAAATCTAATGTTTACATTTAAGTTAATATGGAAAATAATTGCAAAAACAAGAAATTAATTTTAAATATGAATGATCCTGTTTTTGTGGATGTAAACAATTTAAAGCAACCCTAAAAATAAGTGAAGTTAAGTGATTACGTTGTTCTAACATAGTCACAAATATAATAAGCAGAAGATACAAAACAAATCGCCTCGAAATCATCTATATTTTTGTATATCTTAACCCTTCTAATGACTATTCTAGGTAATAGCTATGTGCTATTTAGTACTATAGACTTAACCACGTTTATTTATTTTATGCTTTTCTTCGATGTAAGATATCCAGAAAATGTCCTATCCTTTTGCTCTATTTTTTAAAACTTCTAATTTGCATTCGTTCCAAACACTATCTAACTCTATTTACTTGAACCAAACTATTAATAGCCATTCACTCCTTAAAAATTTCTTGAAAATGGATATGATGCGTAAATAAATATATAATTAATTAATTTACTTCTTACTAATTAAATTATTAAACTAAAAATAGATATTTCTTTAATGGAGCTGGTTAATCATTCACTATTATTACTGGAATATCATGTATATATTCTGTGATTAAAATACTCTCATTTATCCCTATTCCTCAAATCAGAGTTTACATCTAGAGCAAAATAAAGAGTGGATGGGTAAATAATAATAATTTATTTATAAATTAATTTTAAATATTTAGAATAAAAATTTATATGTCTATTTATTTTTAGTTGATTTTAAAAAGAAAAATTTTTTAATTTAAAAAGGAATATTGTGGGTTTTTCGATCTAGTGGGTTGTGTCTATGTTTATGTGCTTGTATCAGCTCTTTCACAATTTTATTGTTTCTAATTTGACGAATCACTAGCTTTTCTCAATTACACTATGTTTTCACTGTGCTTTACATTTGTCATGATTTATCCTATTATGTTGACTATATTTATTGCGAAATGTAAAAATTTGAGGGATCCTTAAATATAATAATAATTTGGTTCTATATTTGGTGGCTATGTTCTACCTGAAGAGGAACAATCAAAAGAAGAAGAAAAATAAGCAATAGAAAAAGCATAAAATGATAAAAATAATGAAAGTATTATTTGTGAATAATAAAACGAAGAAAACTCCAACAAATCATTAGAAAACTCTAATCCAAAAGTACTTAGTAGGTAGCAATATTTATAATAAAAGTGGAGTAAATTTACAAATGTTTTTCTTTATTTGAGAAAAATACTTTATATTATGATATTGATGTTTTTACATGGATAAGTTTACTTTTAGGTAATTGTGATATGTTTAATGAATTTATCTCTTAGTATTTACTATTTGTATTTGAGACCCCAAGAGGATAAATCTGCTAACACCAAGAATGGAATAAGTGAAATTATATTAATTTTTATGTAATCATGCGTTTGCTTTTTAGTTAGTGATGATGAAGATGCTGATGAATAATACAGGTACAATGTTGGTTGGCTCATTATTGCCTCAGCTTCTACAATATTAACTATTCACATCTTTAGTGTTATTATTGATTTGCTAAAAGGAGTTTTTAACTTGATTAAAGACTTTATAGCTACTCTACTCAAATCTAGAGCAGAACTAAAAGCTGTTAAGTAAGAAAAAAGTGGAGAGGTTAATTAATCAGAGTTCAAAATATTAGGTGTCTCTTCAATGGTATCATTAGACAAATTAGAAAAAGTCAAAAGGTTGAATAAAAAATTTAATACTCTCATTATCTCTTAATTTGAACTCACATAAAGGTCTTCACATATGAAAAAAGATAAAAACAACCAATCTTTAATAATCCCCCAATAATTTGAAAAATAAGATCCAAACTCATTACAACAATCTTAATAAATTATCAACAATGATTATACTTAAAGAGAAAGACTTTTCAGTATGAATGATAAAAATTTAAATGAAAATTACCCTCCATAACAAACAAAAAACAAATCTAAAAATTTGTATGATGATAAGAAAAGCTATAAAAGCAATCAGTCATATTAACAGTCACTTCATCAAGATTAGCAACAACAAAAACCTCAAACTAAAAAATATTTAAACGTTTAATCTATAAACATTTCAAACAAAAACTTGCTATCTCCTAAAGATACTCAAATACAACTCTTTTGATAGTAATTTTATCAAATTAAAGATATTTATTGTCATTCAATTAATAAATTCTAATTTAAATTAATAAATAATTAAATCAACAAATAAATTAAATAAATTGTAAATTCTTTATATTTTTTTTAATAAATTTGAACTTCTGTTTTTAATTAAAAAATCAAGTCAAATAAGTTTTTTTAAAGTTTAATTTAATTTTAGTTTAAAATTCAAAATAATTTTACTTGTTTTTTTTATTCAAATTTGTTAATTTATTTTTTTAATTTTAAAATTATTTAAGAAAAATTTTGAAAAATAAATTTTTTATTTTAATTTTTGATTAATTTTTATAAAATTATTTTTTTATTTTAATTTATTAATTTTAAAGGCTAATAAATGTAAGTGAAGGATGATTTAAATTCATTTCTTAATGAATTTTTTAGTTAGCTTGTTTGTTTTTTAGCCTATAATTAAAATTGAAAGAATATTTTTAATATGGTTTTGATATAAATATATGCATAAATTTTATTTATTGGCTATAAAGTGAAATGAATGCTGATAAATCAACTAAAAAAAAATGAATTAATTAATTAATAATTTTGTAAATAAATTATCTTATACTGTTTAGTGCTTAAAGCACTTTAATAGAAATACTTTAAGTAATTTAAGCTAGATTAAATAAGTTAACAGCTACTAATTAATATAGTGTAAAAAATCTACTTTTTATTAAACACTCTACTAATCACAAAATATTAAAGTAGAAATGACTTCTTATCAGTTGAATAGCAATTGTAAGGGTACAAATAAAACAAAAAAACTAATTTATAATTGCAATATACATTTTTTATCTTTAAAAAGAATTCTAAATGATCGAGTTTGACAATGGATATTATCAAGGTGAAATGTAAAACATGAAAAGAGAGGGATTTGGCGTATTCTACTGGGACTCAGGATAAATTTATTTAGGTTATTATTAATTCCGATTCATCTTTAATTTGAATAAAATATGAGATAGAAAATGAAATTTCCATGTTTTTATTTAGACTAATTCAATTTACTCTTTATTATGGATATTAATTATATCAATAATTTATTTATTGTCAAGATTCATAAAATATAAAAATCAAAAAATAGGTAAATGGAGCAAAGATTTTATGGAGGATGAAGGTGTAGTTTATTTTAGTGAAGGTGGATGTGCCTATGGAAATTTTAGAAGAAATAAATTAAATGGATATGCTTGCGTTCTAGATCCTTTTGAAAATATGATAGTAGGTCAGTTTTCAAAGGGAATATTAGATAATGGAGTGTGGTACGAAAAATTAACAAATAAATGGTTTCGATATGACACTTAAAATTCAGAGCCAAATAAAAACTATGAGTTAACTACTAAATCATAAATTCCTCAGGTAGTTACTCTCAAAGAAGTTATTAAAAGGATATTTCATGGGTGCCAAGGGAGGAGCTGTATTAGATATATAGAGTATCCAGACACTACCTTTTATTTAGGAGTAGCTGGTGAGAGTGGAAAATAGCCATCTGGTTTGGGTGTTCTCCATGACTATGATAATAAGGTCCTATAAGTAGGGCATCACAAAGTAAAATAGATTTATTTTTAAAGTTTGCAACAAAATATAAAGAAAATGCTTTATATCATTTTACATAGCTTTATTTAACAAATCAATGAATTTCTAAATTAAATACATTATTAAATATTTTAGTTTGCTTTAAACTTAAAATATTTTAAAGCTTCCTTCAAAAAAATAGAATTAAAATCTATTTATCTTAACTATATGGCAAAATTAGAGAGTAAATTATTAATCTTTAAAAAGGGTAAAAAACTAAATGGAGTAGGTAGACAATACCTTGGGTTTATGATAAATGATGGGATCTTTGAAAAGCAAGAGTTTAAATATGGTAACAATAATTAATAATAAATTATATGAAGGACTTATTATTTTTTATGGCTAAAATAATAAAAGGAACATAATATTTCATTAGAGACAAGAAATTTTTCTATGGATTTTTTAACGGTAATTAAATCAAAAAAATTATAAAAAGTGGGATTGGTTATCCAGGCTATCTTTTAGGTAAATAAATAGAAATACTTATTTATTGATTAATCATATTTTCTTTGCCATTTTATAATAAAAACAATGAAATTTATTTAGTAAACTTTTTTGATGAATAAATCATAAGCAATTGATTTACAATAATTAAAATTATAATTTTAAAACTTAGAATAATAGTTATTTTAGTGGAGAAAATTGCTTCTGCTTTAATACTAGCTTATGTAGTTAATAAATCAATGATGAATCATCATTAAAATTAAAAATCAATAAACAATAACAAACTTTCTTTTATCAAATTAAATGGAAATATTTTGGAATCATTTTAAAAAAAAATATTTTAACTTTTGAGATATTTTTATTTTTATTGAATTTTGGATAAAAATGTTTTTTGATAGAATTCTTTATTTTGATGGCATAGAATTTTTTAATTTATGATTTGAAATAAAGTTAATTTTAAAACTATTAATAAAAAGCATATTATAAACACCCGAGCAAATATGCTAATGCTAAGATTGACAAAGAATAGGAATAGGAGGTAATGCATAATTATTAGAGTTAGTATGTTCATAATAGCAATATTGTAGGCTACTCTGAGATATACAAGTGCTCACCTAAGAAAAAGAATTTACTTATGTTTGTTGAGAATAAATTTTGTGAAGATTTTATTAGTCCTCACACAAGCATTTATCAAGAGGTTCTTGAAGCTGCTTAGTATTAAAGAGCTTAAAAGCAAAATAGCTCACTTTCTCCTATGTAAAGAAAGAAATTGCAATTATATGAAGATGATGAAAGTAACTTTTAAAGTAAACAGTTTTCTTCTAAAATAAGTCCTTCTTCTTCTCAATCTTCCTATATTCCTTCTAATTTAAGGATAAATAATTTGAAAAACAAACAAACTCCAAAGTCAAAAGACTTTTTCAATACTTCTACTGATAAGAAAAAGAACAAACAAGTTGATATTTAATAGAATGAATTTTAATCCACTCAAAAAAAGATAAAGAACTCTTCTCAAAACAGCTAAATGAAAGAGTCTAACATGAGTAATCAAGATAATTAGCATCATATATTTATTTAAGACAGTATTTAATTAGATTATGTAAACACTTAGCCTTAAGAATAACAATTTAACAGATAAATGGAAAAATAAAGCATGGATAATTCAAATTCTAATTAGAATTTAGCTAAGATATCTTTATTAAAGAATGAAAGGCTACAACAAAAGTTATTAAAAGGAAGCAATGAATTCAATAATATCAACGTGTAATGTCAAAATCCTTTTGATAATCAGTAAATAGAATAAAATATAGACTAATCTTTTTCTTAGAATTCTGGCAATCAGTCTAACTAAAATGAAATAATTTCTTCTAGTTAAAATAAATAAGAAAACAAAATATACAGTTTATATTCTTCTACAAATCAAAGCTCAAATCTTGCAGATAATTAAAATATGCAGTTTTTTTAGCCAACTGTTTCTATTTCAGACGAATTGTTAATTAAATAGTAAATTTTATAGCAAGAAAGAGAAAAAAAATCTTTTTAAAGTTCTTAGTTTTAATTAGATGAGCAGAATGATTGCATTGATGGAGAGACTAATCTTAATGAAGAAAACATGTAAATGTAGATTTAATAAATGCTTTAGACATTTAATGCTAAAAATTAAACAGGAAAATAATTTTCTGTAGATTCAAATCGTTTACATTTTAGCCATGAGAATCGTCTACCATTAGATGGAAAAATAAAAGAATCTTTTTAAATATAAAATAACAATTCTCATGCATAGTAAAATCAATTTAAGGAGTATTCTTTAGGAAGTTAACAAATGAATGAAATGCTAGGAAGTTAGTATTAAAACTCTCTTCATGAAAGTAAAAATATTAATGTAGATAATGAGTTATTTTTATGCAACAACTAACAGAACAATTAATAATTGCTTGAATAAATTAAATAATTCGCTTTTCCTAATGCACAATAATAATACGAAGAGTAATTTTATGATGAAATCCCTAATACTTTGGCTCCTGACAACAAAGTTGAAACTAGTTCTAGAAGAAATTCAAGCGAAATTAATTTAGATGAGAGCGACAATACAAACGATAAAAGAAAGCATGAAACTCCAAGATTCGATTTAAAATAAGCTAACAAGAGATTGCTAAACGAACTTGATAGCACTTATCAAAATGCTGCCAAAGAAGTTAGCAGTCTATTTAAAGATATAAAAAACTAAATTAATAACCAAGATGAGATTTTAAGTGAATAATGCAACTAAGAAAGTAATAAAAACTTAACCTTAAATCAAGATATTTAAAAAAAATTGTAAAACTAATTAAATCTGAAATAACAAAATCATTTAGATATAAGAAACTCTTTCTAAGAAAATAGCGTATTTGAAAGTGTTTAGAATGGCATTCTTAATTATCCTAATCAAATAGAAATTTAAGAATCTCAGTTGGTTGATACTTTTCAAAATTGTTAAGGCTAATAAATAAATGATATTAAATAGATGTAAAATTAGAATAGTTCTTAAGATAACAGTTCTTATTTAGCAAACATTTTAAGAAAATAGTAAATTGATTACAAGATAAATTAGCCTAGCTTTTAATTAAATGAGGAGAGTCCTGAAAATATTTAGGAAGATTTAATAGAATAAATAAAAAGAATGAGAAAAAACACAAATGAAAGCAGAGACAATTAAAATATCAATTAAAAAAATGTATAGACAGAGTAATAAAGTGTTTAATAACAAAAAGTATAGACAAATGGAGGTAATTCTCTTAGTGACTATTTGGTTTAGAATAACTAAAATTTTCTAGAGGAAAGCTTAGGGAAAAATAGCTTTGATGGCAGAAATAGATTAGAATCAATTTAATTACCAGTTACTCCTCCTAATTTGTCTTATAATTATTAAGATAAAAGAACAGAAAATTAACTAAATATGGATAAGATTAAAAATCAAAATAATAAAGAAGAGGCAACGAAGTTAGAATATAATAAAAACGAAGATTCTATTAGGTTCAGTGAGACATAAAATCAGCAAATAATACAAAAGCTTACTAATTTAAATTAGGTTAAAAGGAGAAAAGATACTAGCGATTCATTTGAGTGCAATATAAATTAAAGCCAAAACGATTTTAATTTTAACGACTCCTAAGCTTAATTTTAAGTGTAAAGTGTAAAAAATGAAGAAAATTACAAAAGTTTGATGCAAATTATACCTGAAAATAAAGAAACAGAATCTACTAAGAATTCTGACATTTAATAGCAAAATTTAAAAGACAAAATTTTAGATTAAACACGCTATAAAAGTGTATCAGTTGTTTCTTATGACCACTTTTCAAAGAATAACAATAAAATTAATCTGCATTTACCAAATTAAAATGCTTTCTTTGACGTCTAAAATAATGATTTATTAAAACAAAATGAAGATCTTAATTGCACAATCGAAGATGAAGATGAAGAAAAAAAAGTTAAATTTCACTTTATCAATTAATCACCCTCAAGACCATTTTTGACTCAGACTTCTGCTTATAAGAAAAGAAGAAGAATATTTGAAAATCCTTTAAATAGCTCGTTTTCTACAGTAAGTCCATCGATGAGCAAACATACTTATTCTCCCAATTAGAATTAGAGCATGAACTTGAATGTTTTCATTCCATCAAATAATGAGTAAAGAATCAGTGAATTTAATTTCAAGAAAGTTGCATAAAGTTAAATTTAAAACAAGTTAGAGTACAGTGCAAATGAATTAAGAGATATCAAGCAATTCAATCTAGAAAAAAATAGATTAGATACAAATAGCAGCTTTGATAAGCTAAATATAAGTGAAAATCATTTAATTTTTACAAATCCTTAGATAAACCAGATTCAGGAGTATTCAACATAAAACACTAATAATCATTTTAATAGTAACACCACTCATTTAAGAAACAAATCCAATTGTAGCTCTCATTAATTCATGTCTAACTAGTACAATAACACAAACCCTCACTTAATAAATCAAAATCAGTCCTAATAAAAATTAAGAAATATCCCTCATCATAATTAAAATCACCATTAACGTATACATTCATAGTAAGATTTTAAATCTTATTATAATTCTAATTAAACACTGTAGGATTTCAATAACCTGTCTACAGGAAACAACAACTTTGAATCTTTAAATAATATTTAAAATCCTCACCAATTCAACAGTTGCAATCCATAATCAAGTGCATTTAATAAATAGTAAATATCGTCTTTTGTAAAACCTGAAAAATAAAACTTAGAAATGAAATAGCCTAGCCAATCTTTAATAAAAACTCCTAAAGATTAACAAGAATTTTTAAAATATAATTTGAATTAACTAGGAAACTAAGTACCAATAAGATAAGAATCAAAGACTCTTCGATAAATAATTGATACAAGCATAGACAAAAGTCAGAGTCCAAAATACTAAGGATTTTTCAGCTAAAATGGACTTTAACAAAAGAAAGCAAGCTTTTTTACTAATTCTGGATGTGAGCCAATTATGTCATTTAAAGTTTAATAAAAAGAATTCAAGGATTAATATAACAGCAGTAAAATTGAGCTGAGTAGACATCTTTAACAATCACTAAATGAATTAAGTGAACAAAATCTTAGTTTTACTTATGCTTCTCATTAAATAAATAATTAAAACAACAGTTAAAATGATTTGGTATTTTATGATGAAGAAAACAACAAGATAAATATTAAAAAATATGGTTAGAAAGAGAGTACTTAATTTTAGCATGTGCAAGCAAACTCTTCTATCCAATCAAAAGAAAATAACTCTTTTCACTCAGCCTTTACTCATAAGCAAAGATAAAATAAATTTAATCTAAATCTAAATTTAAGCTCTATTAACGATGAATCAAACTTGCAAAAATAATCTAAAATTCAATCACTTAGCCAAACCTCTAAAAACACAATCTCTCTAAGCGAAATTTTAAAATAAAACTAAAAACAAAACTCAAACACATTTGAATAATTTAAAAGCTTGACCCCTTCTAATGTACAAAACAAGCAACCATAAATTTAATTCAAAGCTCAAAACCATATCAAAAGCCAAAACAATTTCAAAAAAATTTGAAATATTTCTTTCTATAAAAATTAATAAATAAATAAATAAATTAAAATAAAAATTAAATAAGTAAATATTATTGTTAAAATCTTTTCTTTTAAAATGTATATTTATTTAATTAAATTATTCATTTGAAATGTAAATAAACTTACCTTCTCTAAAAACTCATTTTAATGAATCAAAATTTGTATTAAAATAAAATTAATATTTGAAAATTAAACAATATTTATTAATAAAATAATTTCTTAAAATTAAATAATAATTTAATTAACAAAAGAATTCATTTCTTTTATAAAAGAAATATTTGCAAAATTTAAATTGTTCTAAGAAAAATTTTTGATTGAATTCAAAGAAAATTTGTAAAAGCAAATTAATATTTTTGTTTTTAAAATAAAATTCGAGAGCAACTTAAGCTAAATCAAATAAAAAAAATGAATTCATAATATTTTAATTTATTCAATTTGAAATATTTAAATTTATTTATATTTATTAATGAAAAAATGGCTTTAATTATTTTAAAGACTGTGTAAAAAATGAGTAAATAATTTTTTGTGTGTAAAAGAAAGCAAATTTCATTACTTTAAACCTTATTATTTGATAAAAAACATTTGACTTGTTTTAAGAAGAGAAAATTGTCTATGTACACACAAAAGGAAGCATATATATATATAAAGTTAAAGATAAATAAATAAATAATTTTTTTATCAGCAAATAATATTTGAAATGAGAGAAATTTAATAAAATTTTGCATTTATTATTTAGATTTTTTGTTTGATTTTTTGCTTGTTTATTTGTAAATTTTGGGGTTCTTACTTATTTTTTAAGTTGTACTTTAGGAATTTGATTTAATTAATTTATTAGTTGGTTGATAATTCATTCATTAATTCATTAGCCGCTATTGATATGCTAAGACATGATTTCATGTTTCATATAAAACATGTAATTATTGTCTTTGGAATCTGTAGGAGTTGAGAATTAGTTAGAATCCATATGACCACCGCTATCGGCCCTTAGGGAAGTTTAAATTGTATATTAATTGGTATTGCTGCTATCTGACCTTTATTTGCAGCAGCAGGTCATCACATTAAACAAAGGAAAGCATATGCTTGAATTTAGTCCATAGCAAAGAGCGTTCAGTCCTCCGTTGAGCGCACAAAGTATAAAAGAAATTGAATGCCAGTCATAATCACACCCACAGCTAAGTCCAGTTATAAGCTCATAGCTCTTTTAGCAAAAGAAGCTGCCAAATGCAATTACACAAATCATAGGGTAAACCAAAAGATATTTAGAGGATTATTAATATTCTTTTTGTTAAGCTTAGATAGATTTAAATATATAAAAGAATATTATTACTATCTCGATTAATAAAGGGAGTAGATCTAAAGCAATATTTGAAAAGTATCCAGAAGTCGTTTCTAAAGTAATAAAACAGATATCTCCTATATTTCTGTAATCCTCAAAAAATAACGGTCTATTTTTGCAACAAAAATAAAATAAAATACTTTTTAGTCAAATTTTAATTAAGTATTGTTGAAAATTATTCATATTTCTATGCTTTTATTAGAAAATTTAATTTTTTAAATACATTTTCTCTATAAAAGCAAAATATTTGTGATAGGATTTGTTAATAAAATGCTTATATTCCAGTGGTTTAAGAAAATGGAGTCAAGAAATAAATAAAAAATATTTTATATTGCTTAAAAAGAAAGGAATTAATTATTATATTATTTTACACAACAGCAAATAAGAAAGGTATTATATACGAAAAGATTAGTGCATATTTTTTCACCATTCTTTTTGTTTTTTATAGAACTGTCTTGCTTCCAGGATTAACTGTGTTAATGTAAACAGTATATGCGATTATGCTTCCCCATGAAAGAGAAGAAAGAGAACCAAATAGAGTTAAAAATGCAGATAGGTTGCAAATAAATCTATTAGAAACAATATCGATATATTTTTGATTACAAATAATTCCCAACGTGAAAAGAATATCACTAAAACAGATGCAAACGATCATTTTTGTCGCAAAGCTTCTAATATTTTTGTTGAAGAAGTACATTAAGATAATGACCAATGATAAAACAATACTTACACTTCCTGTTACCAAAATTATAAGAGGGAAGTGGTTATTATCATCATCTATTGATGGCATTTACTTAATTAATCACTTACTAAAACTATTTAAATGCAGTCAAATGCTTTGTGTTTTTACCAAATAACTTCAAGTACAATCAGCTATTTTTCAAAAATAATACTAAATCTTTAAAGCGCTATGAATTTTGCACTAAGTGTTATATAATGATTTTATTTTTGAGTATTTTTAGAGTAGATGATTAGGCAAGTAAGTATTTATAAATGTGATTTTAGTATTCTATATTAATTTAATTAATAGTAATGTTTTTTATAAAACTTAACCTTTAATCTGTAAATATACCAAAAAAAATCACAAATAATTAATTGAACTATATTTTAATGTTTAGTCTACATTATTTCTCAAAATTGTCCAATTATAAAAGATGTATGAAATTTACAGTATACTCAAAAAAATAAGAATCATTAAATAACAAAGTATAATTCTTTTATTTTAATTTACAGATTTAACTATAATAATAATACTTAGAGATTTTCATTAAAGTATTTTGTATTTTAGAAATTATATTATTAGTTTATTTTTTCTAAATGTTCTTAAGAATTTCTAAAAACATTAAATTTAACAGTATTGATAAATAAATAGATAATTTTTACTTTAATTTTTCTTTCCAGAAAATTAAAAGAAAATTAAAATGAAAATGATAGTTAGTTATAAGTATGAAATAATTTAATTAAAGATAGTAAATATTTGCTAGATAGATATACTTAAGCATAATTTCATTACTCAATTAATCTTTCAAAACATCAAAACAAAAATAAATTTAAATTTAAGCTAATTTAATATTCTTGTAAATTTTCATTTTCTCAAACCAATTAAAAATTTTTAATTATTTTTAAAAAATAATATTTATGATAAATATACTTTTTGAAACTCTACTAGCTATCATTTATTAAATATATGAGAACATAGAGTATTTACTTATACTTACATTTTAATAAAATTGCTAAATAAATTTATTTACTTAAGACATTAAATATTAAAAAATAATATCAAAAATGGGATATTAAACTATTTCACAAAAGCAAAGCTAATTAAAATGAAAAAAATTACTGAAAACTGATAATTATTACTTATACAATAAATAATTAAATAATTAAATAAATAAATAAATGTATTTGTTAGGTTTATTTTCAACAGATACTTTTTAAAGAAAATAAAAAATTAATTGCTTCTTTTTTTGTTATTTATTTTTTAATTGAAATATAAATTGATAACATTTAGATTATTAAACAAAATGAATGAAAAAGTTAATAGAATAAATTTTGGTATTCAATTTTCATAAAAAATGAGTTGAAATTTATTAGTTGAAATAATGATAAAATATTCTAATATATCTAATACAACCTAGAAAGCACTTTAAGCAAACAACAAAATATTAAAGTTTTATTATCATCACATAAAATTAAATTTAGTTTAAAAATGTGCATTTTTTATTTAGTTATTGAATTAATAAGTTTTGATTATTCAGATAATTTTGAATTTAAATAAATATTGAAGTGCTTAGAATTAGTACTTTTATCAGTATCTTAATACAATTATTATTTTGATTAGATTTTTATTTTTTTATATTTCACTGAAAAAAAATAGTTATTAAATAAGTTTATTTGTGTGAACAATTTAAAATTTATAAATCAATTGAGAGATCATCAAAAAGATTTTTTTTTGCTTGCAAATTTTCTTTATTCCTTTATATATAAATAAATATATGTATGTATAATATTTGTGCTTATTAGTTCATTGAATGTGAATTAATATAAAATATCTACCTTGATTTTTCATAGTAAAATGAATCAGATTATTAATAGAAATATCAATTTTTACAAAGTCAAATTCAATGTCAAAGCAAATATTATTTAATTATTTATTTATCTTTTGATTATAAATTAAAATAAATTAATTGCATTCAATTTAAAATTGAAATATGAATAAAACACCTTTTTCGCAAAAGGAGAATCGCAATTTTTAAGAAAAGTCAAAGCAGACAAATCCCTTTTCGTCATAGAATGCAGGAAAAGGGATGTCTGATTTATAAATTGTAGGCAGGAAGTATGAAGACGTTAAAGCAGGAAATATATTTTAAAAAGATACTTAATAAGATTAATATGTTAGAGAGGCAAAGGAATATGAATAAAAAAATGTTGTAAAGAGTTAAACTAAATCAGGTGGATTCAAAATTCCTGAAGATTACTTCGATAAGCCAAGATATAAATAAAGGGCATAGCAAAGTGAAATAACTCCATTAAAGAAAGAAAAAGAATTCGACAGCAATAAAAATTTTGTTGGAATTTCTAAACAATAAATTTTATAAAAATTGGGAATAACAGATGAAGATGAAGGTCTAGCATACGATACTTTGCAAGATAGAGTTTATGAAAATAAATTAAATGAAAAACTTTCATAGGTAGTTGAAAATAAAGTTCATGAGAAAATAGAGCAGATTCACCAATCAAGAGAAAGACTTTCAAAAGTAAACGATTCATTAGACAATATTATATAACTTAAAACATATTTTTTTTTAAATTGTTTAATCAATCAAAAGTCAAAGGAGTAATTAAAAGCGATGCAAGAAAAGCAAAACAAGTAAAAGCAAGATAATTGGGATAGACTCACTGGCAAGGATAAATTAAAATCAAAAAGCAAAAACATATTCGAAGTTGATGACCAATTTGAAAAGAAAAGTATTTTTTATTCATTCCTAAATAAATGATTAATTATTTATTTATTTATTTGTTTTTTTTAAATAAATGAATTGCTTAGATAATACTGTTGAATTTGAAGTTGTTGGTAAAAAGGTAGAAAAGTCAAAGTCTTACAAGGCTCTTTAGCATTTATCAAATACACATAGTGAAGAAGATCCTTATATCTTAGAAGCAAAAGAGTACGAATCTAAGCATGTAGTTAAGAGGATTACCAAGTCCGGAGGCTTTAAAATTCCCGAAGAAATCTTTGAGAAGCCGTAATCTAGGAAGAAAGTACCTAAACCTGAATAGCATCCTAAGAATGATGAAAAAGAGTTTGATGACACCAAAAATAATGCAGGAATTTCTAAAATGGAGATATTATAATAACTTGGAATTTAGGATATTGACTAGGGATTAACTTATGATAGACTTTAAGATAGAGTTTATGATAATAAGTTGAATGAAGAGCTTTCTGAAGTAGTTGAAAATCAAGTTTTTGACAAGATAGATTAAATACATAAGCTGAGAGAAAAACTTAAACAAGTACAAAATTTTTAATGAAAGATGAAATAATTTTATTAATTTTTTATTTTTGTTTATTTGTAAGACTGAAGAGTAAATCAAAAAGAACAAAGAAAAAGATGAAAGAATGAAGTAAGAAAATTGGGATAGATTAACTGGCAAGGAGAGATTCAAACCTAAGTATATCAATTAAAATGGAATTGAAGAGGAAGAATTTGAAGAAAGCAATAATTTAGAGAAGGAAGTAGAGGATTACTACACAAAGAAATACAATTTAGAATTGTCTGACAGAAAGAAAAAAGAAAAAGAAGATGAAGATGAAAGAAGCAGATCCTACAAAGACAGGTTCTTTGATGACAAAAACAGATTTTCTCAGCTGAAAATGTCAGGATCAATTGATGAAAATGTTAAACAATTCTATGATGCTTTAGAGAGCATGTAAAAACCTTCTCTTGAAGAGACTGAGCACACATTGGTAAACATCTCAGTTTAATATTGATAAAATGAAAATATTTTTTAATTTAAAATTAACTTAAAAGGAATTAATAAGCAAAAAGAACAAATATTTTAGAAAAATTATGTTGAGGAAATAAGGAATAGAAGTCAGTGATGATGATGAAGAAGAGGAAGAAATGGGAGTAGATTTAGAAGCAGATTAACATAAATTAAGCAAGTTGGGAGATAGAAGCCCTAGAAAGTAACTATACAAATCACCTAGAAGATTTTCTGATGTTGCCTCACCGTTGAATATTCAATCAACTGTTTCTCATCAAGGATTTAAAAGTCCTAAAAATGGTGAATTAAATGTTTAACATAGAGAAAATTAAGAGTTACATGATAGTCATAATTTTGACCATAAACTAAAAGGAGCACATAAATTTTAAAATCCATATAGAAGGGAATCTCAAACCAATAATGAAAAACCTAAATCACCTATTGGTCAACAATAACAACATAAAGTAGCAATAAGATCACCTCCAAAAACAGTGGAAGAAGAAATAAGAGATTATGAGAAGTGGGATAAAGAATTTAAAAATTATGTTGTTGATAGAAAGTAAGATCAAATTTCAAAGCTATTTTTTATATTTTGTCTCATTAAATTATTCTTTAAATAGAAAAAGAGAGCAAGTGAAGAAGTTAGAAAAATCTTTGGAAAAAAAAGACTTTGAATTATATGAGTCAACTTCTCCAAATCGCATTCGTTGGGAGAAAAAACCAACTACAAATTTAGCTAAGTCATATGACAAATCTCAAAGTCCAGACAGAATGGGCTAATCTAGTTTGAATAATTCAAAGGGAGACATCAACTAACAAAACAAATATTAGGAATTAAAAATGATTTAGACCATGTTTGATAAAATAGACAAAGAGCAAACTGGCCTTGTTGACAAATTAGATTGTGTTAAATATTTAATAAAGCAGAAATAGCTCCTCTCTATTTACGATTTAACTTCTTAGAATTTAAACAAAAGTGTTCAGCAGTTCCCCACTGAAAAAAAGGTAAGAAAAAATTTATATTGATCATCTATATCATCTAAAAAGAAATTGATTTTAACAAAATTTAAAATATTTATTTATTTATTTAAAAATTTATTTATTATTAATTAATAGGGATATTTTACTTATGAAGAATTTGTCAAATTCTTGCAAACACCTCGTAATATTTTAGAAAAAAGTACTACAAGTGGAAATTATTTTTATGATGAGATTAAAAAGAATCGTAAAAAAAATATTAAAAATGCCTAGCAAAGTCTTAATTAAATAGAAGACGAAGTGGCTGAACTAAATGAAAATAACAGCACTTGTTTACTTTAAGCTGAGCATTTGAGAATAATGAGAGAATTGTTTATAGATTTAGATAAACACAATGACATGATAGTTAGTAGAAAGTAATATGTTGAAAAACTTAGAAGTGATGTAAGAATAGTTAAAATACTTCATTTACCTGCACTTTATATGCCTTCGATTGATAAAACTATGAATGTAGATCGTGTTCTTTATAGAATTGAATAAGAGCAATTTATTGGTGATCCTGATATTAAATCTACTAAAGAATACTTAACTTGGCAGCAATTTTTAGAGTATTTCAATGATATAAAATCTCTTAAAAAAGGCAATGAGGCTGACACACAAGAAAAAATAAAATAAATTAAAGTGTTTTCATCAATAAAAGATAAGTAAAATTTTTTTATTAAGTTAAAATTAATACAATCAGATCTATAAACTATCTCCAATATTTAAAAACTCTTTTCATAAATTAAAATTTTTAATTCCATATTTATAAAATTGAGGTCTTTGTAATAAGGCTAAAATTTTGAGTTTCAATCAAAGTTTTTGGTTTGAATTTAAAGTTTTTATTTTACAGAAAATTATAAATTGGAAATATGAACGAATAAATAATATATTTATAATTAGTGTTGATGATCAGAATGAAGTCGACTTAGAGGAAGGAATTAAAAATATTCTTAAAACAGAATATGATAAACTTCCTAAGCAGTCAGAAGTTTATGTGAATTCCTTTTAATTTATTGAAGCAGTCAAAATGAATCCTAAATATCCTTAATATACAAATAACTTGTCGAGAAGAAAAGCAGATAAATTTGATTTGAAGGTAGATTTTTTAATTCTTTTTCGTGTGCATTAACATTTATTGATGTTATTAGGAAGAACTTTTGTGTGATACTTTAGATAGAATGGAAGCAGAATGTGATGAATATCTCGATTTTGAAGAAATTATGGAGTATTTTACTCGTAGAGGAAGACCAAAATACATCAACAAGAAAGAAGAAGATAAAGAATTTAAAGAAAAATTAGTATAAATTCATTCTTAAATGTTGAACTGAGAGAATATTAATTTAATAAATTTATTACATAGGCTACTATTCCTAGATAAAAAGATAACGAGAATTTATTTAATAGCAGAATGAAGGAAAAGAAAGAATAACAAATGCTAAACGATTCAAGCTTTAAACAATCTGTAAATAACTCCAATTATATGGAATAAGATGCTGTTGAAGAAATAGATGGTTATGATTCCGATCCTGAAACTCATATTTACAAAAGAGGCTATGAACCTGATAGGAAGGCTCTAGCAAGACCAAGTAAAATTTAATAAATATAACATTAACTCATTAAGGTTTATTAATAGAGAGTGCTTTTAACAGATCATTTTAGAAGTCTTCAGCCAAAGAAGGATAGTCTAGTGAAATAAAAGGACTCTCTCAAAGTATCACTAAAAGCTATTTAGTTGATAAAAGAAAAAGTGGTTATGGAGCTTTGGAGAGTGATGATTAAAAATATAAGCCATACACTAGTGATGAAGATTAATACTACTCAAGTAAATCTAGCCATAAAAAGAAAAGAGTTTATTAAAGTGACTCAGAAGATTTTAATTATAGAGATGATATTAATGAAGATGAAGATCATTATTAAAATCCCGATCAACATCATATAAAGCTATCTTAAACTAGAAAAAATAATTATTTAGATGAGCCAGCAAGAGAAAGCAATTAGCAATATTTTGACTCAAAAAGTAATTAATTTATTCATTCAATCTATTAATATTAAGTTTGAAATTTAATCATTTTTTCTTTTGCTTAAAAAAAATTTCAATAAAATTAAGTTTTGAAATAAATTTAAGAATTATTTATTTATTCTTCAAATAATAAAATCGTTTTTTTTCAAATTAAAACAATTTTTATTAATTTTTTTCTACAAAGATAAAATATTTGTTTAACTTTTTATGATAATTCTATTTTAAATTTAACAAAATGTTTACTTTTATTTAGGAAATTTACAAGAATAAAGAGGAGACTACAAAAAAGCTATGTTTGATTACTATGCAAGTGAAGTTTCTAAAGAAAAAAAGTTTAAATTGACTAAACCTGAGCCTTACCAGTTTGACGAAAGAGAAAAAGAGAGAAAATAAAAGAAGACCATAAGATAAAAAAAAGTGGAAGAGATGATTGAAGAAGCTAGGGAAAAGGAGAGAAAAGAATATAACACTCGCCCAAAGCCTAAAGAAATTCCTGATCATGTAAAGAAGCCTTTATATGAAAAAATCATGCATGAATAGGAAAAGAGAAGACAAGAAGTTAGAAAGAATTCTGTAGCAATCACAATATAGAGAGAAAAGCCATTTAAATTTTACATTCGTGATAAGAACCCTGAAACTTCTCTAAAAAGAAGTAAAAGAAAGACTTAGGAGGAAAGAGATTCATTTGTTTTCAAAGCAAATAAAGTAACTTCATTACACAATTTATTAATAAGATTTATTTGTTTATATATTTACTTATTTTTTTCATAAGGTTCCTTGGTTCTGCTCAATTAACTTGCTTGAGAAAATAAATAGAGATGAAGAACTAAAACGTTAGGAAAGAGTAGCAAAGCAAGCTCAAAAAACTATGTCCATGTCTAAATTACCTCCTCGTATGGAGAAACATGAGCAAGAGCGTCGTGCAAGAGAGCTTATGGAAGGATATTCAGGAGTTACAAAAGTATCAAGTAAGTTAGATTTAATTTGTGCTATATTTCATTTGTTGATTTAAAATTTTTGTTATATTTAGCCATGAATCCTCTTAAAAGAGAGATGTATGTAGAGCCTTCGTTTTAACCACCTAAGGCAAAGCCAATTCCTAATTTTAATAAGATGCACTAAGACTTCTAAGAACGTCTTGATAAAAAGAGAAGAGGGAAAAGACCTACAGAGGTTCTTCCATTTAATTTTTAAGAATCTCGTAAATTGCCTCCAAGAGATTATTTAGATTAAGAGAATGAACTGATGAGACTAACTAAAACTAAGCCAGCTGTTGATAAACTTTAAGAAGCTATGAAATGGAGAGATCACAAGCCTAAATACCAACCTCCTTCAATTTAAAAATGGGAGACACTAGTTGAAAAGAATAAAAAGGATAAAGAAGAGAAAGAAAAGAAGAAGCAGGAAGAAAAGAAGAAAGAAGAGGAAAGAAAGAAAAAGGCTGAAGAGGTATTTTATCTAAATAATTAGTTCTAAATTAATTTAATTTTTTCATATTAATTATAAAGATGGCTGTAATTGTAAGAGAAAAGTATTCCAAGAATGACCAAACACTAAAATTGCAGCAAAACAGAAAAGAGGCTGTTACTAGAAAATAGCAAGAGTTCAAAAAATAAGAGCAGGAGTGGTAATAAAAAAAGAGTGAGATTCTTGAAAAAGTTAAAAACAGACCTTTGTTGATGGAGCAAAGTAATAATTTATTTATTTATTTTAAATATTTTTATTTAAAATCAGTTAATTAAATAAAATACCACCAAAAAGATATATTTTAAAATTTAAAATCAACTTTTAGATTTTATTTTATTCAAAATTTCTAAAAGCATTAACTGTCCTTAAAATAAAATTTATTTTATTTGCTAAACTGAAATAAAATAATAAATTAATTTTTTTCGTGAATAAACCAATATTTTATTTTGATAATTTGTTGAAATTTTTTTGATAAAGAGAAATAATAATTTGGTTTTTTTATTTCAATCGATGTTTATTTTAAATGTGATATTAAACAGAATGTAAAGGAAGAGCTTATCTTGAGAAACTTAAAACTCTTGATAGGATAGATAATCGCTTGAGAGAAAAGGGAATGAGCTCTAAGGAGAGACTTAATCTCTACACAAAAGATGAAAGGAAAATGCTGGATGAAATTAAGGCTTTAAAAGCTAGAGGATTCAAGAGCTTCAGAAATGAGTTAGATGTAGGAGATGATGTCTCTATTTCTCCACCTAGAGAAGGTGAAGATTATGAGTAATTAGCAAAAGAGTTTGGCGAAGATATAGATGTTGGTAAAACTAAGCCTAAGACTACTGATGCAAAGAAGAAATAAAAAAAATAGGATGAAGATAGCAATTAAGATTCATATTTAAATAAAAAAGGTTCTGTGACATAAAAAGAATTAACACTTGATGAGCTAAGTCAATTACAAGATAGCTTTAGTGATTAAGAGAAAAATGCAAAAGAAAAGCCTGTCAGCAAATTTTCAAATAAAAATTATTTATAACCTTCAACTAGCAACAACAAATTTGGAACCTCAACTAAGAACGCTGATAGCTCTTATTCTGCTGCAGAAGATTCTTATTTAGATAAAAAGAAAGATGAATCATCTAGCATAATTGACTCTAAGAAGAACTCTTTAATGCAAATGAAAGAGAGCTCATTTGAAAGCAAAAAAGATTAGCCTTAAATAAAAAAAGTAACTTCTCAATTCCCTTCAAAGATTGAGTCTAAATAAGATACTGATAGCAAAAAGTCATTAGCTGACTAGAAAAAAGAAAGTTTATTGCAAATGAAAGAAAAATAAGAGGTAGAAGAAGAATATCAAAATGATTTTGATGATTTAGATTCACCTAGTTGATTTTAATTCAATAATTTATATTAAATAACAACGAACTCTGTAAAATAAAATTTAAAATATAATTTATTTCTTTGTTTTTTTGTTTGACAAAGAATATGTGTGCTTTAAAAAAACTTATCATATTAATCAATAAATTGCTCACTCACTCACTCTTCCTCTTATTCACTTTGTAATTTTTTTGTGGAGTTTGTGTTAAAAATAGTCAACTTAAAAGCAAAAAGAAATTTGAGATAAAATAATTACTCTTTAAATTCGTTTTTAGATTTTATCAATATAGTTATTGAAGGCGTAATATTTTTAATTATATTACATTAGACTTGCTTCTTTCTATTTTATTAATCAATACACCAGAAATTTAATTTAAATAAAAATTTGATTTGTGTGATGTTATTATCACAATAATATTAATAAATAATAGTTAATATTATAGCTGATCTAATAGCCTTATCTATTTTCTCTTTTTTAAATAATGAATTATTTCCTTGTCAAATTTGATGTGAGTTAATAAATTTAGAATATTTAAGAGTTTTAAATATATTCATTTATTAATTTTGATTACAAAGAAGATAGATTCGTGTTGTTTGAGATTATTTAAACTAAAAAGCTGAAATAAAACTTTTATTTTAAATTTCTATTGAAAAAGCTTTAAAAAAAATATTTTTTGATAATTTAAATTGATAAACAAGAAAAATCTCTAAATTTCTACTAAAGGGAGATTAATCAATAGTTTCTATTTTTTAACATCAAAATATCAAAAAAATTTATAAGATGTACAATTTATTTATGTGTATTAAACACATAGTTAGAACTTTAAAAAGTAATTATCCTTAATCTATATATTATGGATAGACTTAGTTAACTACAAAAAAAAGAAATAATAATTATCTAATTAACTTAATATAAATAATATACATCAGAAGATATTTATAAATTGCTTGATATTTCTTCAATTAAATTTTGTCTTTGCCTTGAAAATTATATTTTTTCTTTCGAAATCAGCAACAAGCAGATTTAGATAAGTTAATTTTCATTTTTTGTATCAGAATTTTATGAACTTTTTTTTTAATGGCTTACATGAATTAAAGGTGTTCTAAATTAATATTTAAATATTTATGTACTTTAATTTATCGAGCAGGAACTCTATCAGATATCAAAAAAATCATGATTATATTATATTTATTGATAGCAATAGCTCACAACAAAGAGTTGTTGTTTTGAGCAAAAGAGAATTAAAGAGTGGTAAATAAATAGGAGAAAGAAGTGAAAGAGATTAGATTATGTTAATAATATTTATTTTGTGCTTTTCTGTCTTTATTAAGGCAAGATAAATTATTTATGTAATGAAATCTAATTGAAAATTAATAGTTTTTTTTTTTCTATGATGAGTCATCTTGTAAATTAAGAATTCGCAAATTAATTAAACTTTTATTTTAAATTGATGTTAATATTTGTTTCTAAATTTAAATTTACAGTATTTCATTTTGATAATCATGGAAATGGGTTGATAAAGAATTATAAATAAATGAATATTTAACTAACTAGGCTATTAGATAGATAGATAAATATTTAGATAGTGGCTTTAGAAGCTTATAATAAAGCTTAAAGACTTGTTTTATAATAATTGCTCTTATGTTAGTCATTAAAAATAATAAAAATAAAAGTATTTTTTTTAATTACATTATGTTTAGGGCGTATCTTTCTTTTTTTAGTTAGTAAAATAGCAGGCGAGTCACAATACAACAAATTTTGATAATTTATAAAAAAAAAATAAATATTAAATCTTTCATTCTTAATTAATTAATTGGGCAAAAATTATTAAAGTTTAACATGAAAAGTTAACTTTGGATAGCAAACAACCAAAAAGAAAACTAGTCTGAGGTTAGAGTTAAGAATTACATAGAAGAGGACAGCTAAACATTTGACTCTATAGATCCCACTCACCATGAAGACAGTATTTATGAAGCACTTGAATAAACATCAAAGGATGATATGTTTGGCGATAAGGAGTTTTACTAATAAGGTAGAATTTCTGGTAACAAATATCAAAATTTGTTAAATAATTCCTAACTCTATTACAAATCTTGCTTTAGTAATCATAACCTCGATAGTTTTGACACTGATTTTTATATTAATAATACTCCGTTACCTTTATCTTCTAGCTATTTGTTCTCTTCTAGCTCAGAAAGTTCCAGCATAATAAATGAAGAGTAGTCCTCTGAAGAAAAGTGCTTAAAGCTAGTAAAAGAGCCAGAGTCTAGTTAAACTAACTAGTCAGAGCAGAGCGATAGCCTTTGCCAGGAAGATTGCCAAAGCTAGAGCTCAAAGCTAACGATGAATTAACTTGGCTAAAAGAGCTGTGAAGAGACTAAGAATCTATTCATTCTTGCAATCCCCTATATCATCTCACGCCTTAATGGTAGTTCTAAAGAAAAATGTAGATGGGAGTATGCCAGCTAGATTACTGGTCTTCAAGTCAAAAAGTTGAACTCCCTTAAGAAGTTCAATTCACTTTTATAAGAAATAGAAGAAAAGAGTGAGAGAAATCCTGAAATTTTAAAAACCTTTAGACACAGTATAGTAGAAATATTAGAACACGACTATATAAAATACGCTACTAACTAAAAAGATTATAAAACTCAAGCAATCTTATTGAAATATCTACAACCTATTAAGCTAATAACCCTATAAAAGTCAAACACCTTCTCATCAGTTAAGTATGTTAATAAGCTTTTAGAGAAATATCAAAAAAAAGCTGAGTGAATGAATGAATGAATAATCGTGCATATACAAATTATTACCCTATACAATCAGTTCTCCACTTTCTTTTTCTTCTTCTTCTTCTTCTAAAACTAACAAAATATAAAATTGCTAACCTCCCTACCTACCTACATAAATAAATACTAAATAACTACCAATTATATACAAAACAATAGTAAGTAATAATAAAAATATAAATTGAGTGATCCACTTATTAGTTTAAATTAATTTATTTTAAAGTATAAAACCTTGTTTATTTCAAAATTATATATAATATTTTCCATTATAATAAATAATAAATATTTTGACTGTAATTTATAATTTTCTTTTGTGATCTTTATAAAAGTTGAATTAACAAATACTTTCAAATTCATGCTATCAAGTTTAACTATATTATTTCAATAAAACTTTTGAATAAGCTAGTAGATTAACTCAAAGTATTTGAATTCTACCTCAAGCTATAGTCTAGTTACAGATAGTTGCATGTAACATTCACTTATCACCTTTTATAGCTATTCGTTCATTATAATTATCTTCATTCATTAGCTTAGCGCAATTTATAAAAAATTAAATAATTAAAAACTAAGAAAGAACTTTTAGTGATCAAAAAACACCTATCAATTTTTAGATTTTTCCCTACCTCACAATTATAAGAAAAGAGAAATAGTTAAGGTAATCAACACTTATAATAAAATTAACATAATATCCCTACCTATAGCTCCCTATAGGAGAAATTAACTACTTTTCATTCATTTATTAATTTAATTAGTGATCATCAATTTTCTTAATGATCTTCAAAGTTAAGCACTACTTTTATGAATGTTAAGTAATTTGATGAACAAATGAATAGATTGACTTATACCTAGTAATAAACTTCATTTTTAACATGAACAAAATAATAAAATAGTAAAGAAATTCATAAAAATTACAAAATTACTATTGTCCTACAAGAAATTTTTTTTTGACATTAATGTTTCAACTTAATATTTTTTTTGTTGTTTGCAAAATTTAATAAATTATTTTTTTCTGAAAAATTAATTTTTTGGATTAATAAAATAAAAGAAAATAATTTTAAACTAAAATAAAAATTACCCAAAAATTTAATCAGCTTCTGATGAGTAAAAAAAAAAAATATATTTTATGAGTAAAAAATATTTGAATCGGTTTAGTCTTTTTTAACAATAATAAATAAATAAGGTTATAAATATTTATTTTAAATTTATTTTTTAAAAATATACTTTTAATATAAAAGATAAAAAAACAAGTGTATGATATTAAAATTAACCAAATCTTGCTCAATTTTTTTTAAAAAAAAATTTGCATTTTATATTTTTTAATTATTATTAATTATATGGCAGATTTATTCAAATAAAATGATTAAATAGAAAAAAATAAATTTATAACAAGGATTCATTTTTAAAAAATACAGCATTTATGCTGATTCTCTCATTCAATATTCAATATGAATGTGAGCAAGAAGTTTATAAAAAAAGAAACTGCAACTATTAAATAAATAAATAAATCCTAAAGGATTATTAACAATCTTAAAATCAAATATATTTATTTATTTATTTGTTTGTTTATTCATTCATTGAAAATTAATTATTTTGAAAATAATTTATTTACTTGATACTTTTTGAAATTTAGAATCAACAACAACAACAATATCAATCAATCAACTTACTTAAAAAATAGATCAAATTTAGCATTTCATATAAAAATTAACAAACAATCAATGAGCTAGGTAAATCATTTAAAGGAAAAGGCTGATGAATACTTAAGAAAACATAGAATTAATGAATTATTTGAAGATATTTGCACAGCCATATGCTTCAAATAGCCTGAAGATATCGAAGGCTTCATAATTCAATAACTTAAGCTAAAGAAGGAACAAGGTTTTAAAACTGGAATTTTTAGTGATGAAGAAATAGATAATGTTTTTACTTTGTTTGATTTAAAGAAAGATGGGTTCATCGGAAAAGAAGCTTGCAAAGATGCCTTAAAAACTTTAGCCTCATCAGAATATTAATTTAACGAAATAGATGAATAAAATATTCCTGAAAAAGTAGATGCCGCTACTTTTACCAGACTCTGCTTCTCAGTATTGGGAGTTCAAAAGCAATGAAGGATAAAGCAAATTACTTAAATATCTGCTAAAATATAAAAATATTCAATTTAACCTAATGTAATCTCATGTTTTATAATAATATTTAGTTTAGATTTTCCTTCGTTGACTAAAACTGTTCAATCGATATTTTTATCAAGCAATTATTAATTCATTCAATCATTATTTTATATAGAAATAATAGCAAAAAAACAAATACATAATTTAAGTAAATCTACTATAATTATTATTTTAATTATTGTTAAAAAAGCATTATAATAACTAATAAAATTTTAGCTTTCATTCATGAAAACAAAAATAAATATAAAAGTAGTTAATAAATAAAAAGGGCTAATTAATTTTGCTAAGTGTTTAGAATAGCATAATAGCTCACTAAATATTTAAATTTTTAATTATTTTTTTATCAAGTAATTTCATTAAAACAATATATTTTAAATTTCATAAAATTTATTTTTAAATTTAATCATTATTTTTAGTTTATTTGTTCAAATTAACTTAAAAAATAGTAAATAAAATCCTGCATGATCATTTATTTTTAAAAATGTAATTTAAATAAAAATATTATATAATTTGTGTTTGTTTGTTCTATTTACTATAAATTTGAAAATAAATTAAATATAATATTTCTATAAAAAAATTATATTAAATAGAAGCTTAGAAAGATTACTTTATTCGCATTCCAGTCATTAAGAGATTTATTTTTTTTCAGTTTTTTAATTTTTATTTTTAATGGAATATATTAAAATGTATAGAAATTGCTTAATGCATTTACTTAGTTGTAAGCAAAAAGAATGACTGATATTAACAATACCTAAATATTTATCATTAAATTTTCTAGGATTTTTATTTTAATAATATACTATAAAAGCTCCTTTTAATAACTTCCAAATGCATATTTGAAATTAAAAAAATAAAGACATATATCAAACAAAGTTTTTTTAAATCGGGGGGAAGAGTGACATTAATTAATAAGAATTGGCAGTAGGTTGATTGCACCAGATAAAGAAAGTAATAAATTATAAAAATAGATAGAAAGAGTACATTAAACAAGTAGTAAAAAAGAAGTACAAGTCATATTGTTTGATTTAGTTTGACCATTCAATAATTTTCCTTAAATTAGTAAGTAAATAAATTAATTAAATAATTAATAAATAAACAAAAGCAGAATTTAGAAAAATCAAAAAATATAAAAATATTTAGAAAAAAGAGAGAAGTACTTACTTACTTACCTAAAAACATACATTCATACAAACAAACATAAAAACAAACAAAAAGCCCATAACTAAAAGATTGTTTGAAAGAAAACTCAATAAGTTAGCTTTGGAATATTTTTAATGGATAAAAATCAAAGTGGTATGAGCTATGAAGATCAAAATAGTGACAGTGGAAATAGAAGCGGCAACGAGAAGTTGATTGATTTTCCTACTAATGGTAACTCAAACTAATTTAAGATAGATAGCGGTGGTATTGTGCCTCCTTATTTATTTAATAGAAGCTCACGCTACACTGACTGCGTCTCTAACTCTTAGGAGGAGAAGACGATGAAAGTGCAAATCTACTTGAATATAGAATTTACATTTGATGGAAAGGTCGAAATGCTCAAGGTGACATAAGATTTACCTCCTAAGTAATTTACTATTGACGATGTGATAAGCTTAGCAATCAGGGAATTTAATGATATCCTTGAGAAAAAAAACAGCCAATATAGAATAAACACAACTTAATCTATTTGGAATCTCTATATGTCTAAGAAAAACGGAAAGCCAAAGTAAGATCTACCTGCTCTAGATAGAGATAATCTTCTTTAGGACACTTAAGAAGACATGTTTTCCTTAGATACAAAAGACCAAAATAAGTTATGGTTAGAAAGCGGTAAAGAGTGGTAAAATTATATAATTTAGCAAGATGAAGGAGATGAAGACTTCATGCCACCACCTGTAAAAAATAATAATGACTCAAAAAAAGATTAAGTTGAAAATAAGGAAACCCAAATTCCTCAAGAAATAAATAATTCAAAGCCTTAGAAATCTAGTGTACCAAGAACTTAAAAAAAACAGAAAGAAAACACTAAGACCTGCTTTAACAATTTATGCTCTTTTTCTAAGTGAAAGGAGACTTTACACTCTAATCCTTCTTAATTGATTTTCACATTCTATAACAAACATTAAAAATAACAACAAACAATTTTTAAAAGTAGTATTTTTAAAACACTCATGTTCATTAATAAGCAATTAAATAAATGAATAAATTAACAAAAAATAAATAAATAAAAATCAAACAAAAAAGTTTGTTTGCTTCTCCAAGTAGATTTGAGATCAGCTTCTTATATAACATGATTGATTGACTATTTATTTGTATTTTTACATGTATTCTAATTCAGAAATTTAATAATATAATAAAAAAAATGAGAAACAAAGTAAGTAAGTAATTGATCCTCACTCACTTGGTTCACTTAGCTGTTTATTGAATCTGTTAAGCACAATATCAAAAACTAATATTAAAAGTTAATAAAAATGTATTTATTTTAAAAATAAAGCAGTTATTGGTAGCTGCAGGAGAAGTGGATTAGAAATAAAAGTCTTTTGGATTTGGTTGTTAAAAATCAAAGAATAAATTATTTGTTCGTTTACTATAATATAAATAAAATCCTTACTATATTTATTAATTAAAATATCTATACAAATTTTATGTATTTAATAACTGCTATGTGGTTATACTATTAAAATATAATTTTTTGATCAAATTTCATGCTTAATTCCTCAAACCCATCAATTTCTGTCATTACTACCATTAAAATACCTATTTAAAAGCCATAAAAATTAAATATTAAAAAACTTGATTGATTTTATTCCATTAAAATTTTTATTTTTTTGTAAAAGAATTTCTTTTTAAACCACATCAAAAAGATCCTTTAAAATAATAAAATTCACGTATAAAACACGAAAATAATCCTATATAGTATCATTAAATTTATTTTCGGTGCTTAAATGACATTTATTTATTTTCAAATATTATTTGTTATAAAAAGTCTGAGACAAAAATTTATATATAGTTCTTATTGAATTAGAGTAAATTTATAAATGTATCAATATGCCTATGTAAATTAAATTTGAACAGAGACAAAATGACAAAACTAGCATAATTATTACATATTTGAGAATATTTTTTATGGCTTAAAACAGCGAGGGAAAACAGTCTGTAAAGCTAGATAGCTGACTAGATAATAATAATATATACTTTTAAATAGATATTTCTTTTATAATTAAAGATATTTTAGATTCTCATAAATATATATTTTTTTATGTATAAGTTTGTAATACAGTAAGCTATTTTATTTGTGCAATACAAAGAAAATTAGTAATAATCAATTTTAAACCAATTTTAAGAATAATTTATTATATTTATTCACTTTTAAACTATTTTTTAAAGATAATAATATAATAAAATTAATCAATCATGATGATTTCCTGTGTTTTAAGTGAGAAAATTCAAATTTAAAATCACTAAAATACAGAAATGAATTATTTATCAATTAGAAGTCGTTATTGTTGGATTTTTAAATTTATAATTAACACTTGTCAAAAGTTAAAAATGAATAGAGAAAAATATTTTTACAATTTTATATCATCAAAATCTTGAAATTCGAAACAAATTATTATCAAAAATAAAGAATTTGATAACTCTATCAAAAACACTTTTGATAAGGTCTTGGTTTCATTTTTTAAGTAAAAAATTTTCTTATTATTTACTAATTATGATATTTTATTTTAATAAAAAACTAATTTTAATAATTTTCTATTTTTATTTATTTCAAAAACGATAATTAAAAAAATTAATATTTTATGTATTTGATTTTGTCTTAAAAATTTAAATTCCAAATAATTTATTTTTTACTTTTAAAAATTAAACTCAATATTTTATCTATCAAGTATTTTAAAAAAATATTTAAATAAAATTATATAAGTGAATTTCGAAATATTTTTAATGATAAATGCCATAAATTTTTCTATCTTCAAAATAGAAAATCCTTTAATTGTTAAATTCTTTAAAAAATTTCAGAAAATGTATGAAATTTTAAATTTATATATTTGAAATATCAATTTTTTTATTAATTTAAATAACCTATGTTGTTTTTTTATAAATATATTTAAGATGTTTATTCTTGAGATAAATATAATAATAGCTTTAATTTTCAATATAATTTAGAAAGGGAATCTAATATTTAGCAATTTCATCTAGTACTAATGGCATATATACTAAATCAAAGATATTAAAAGGAGTTTAAATTGAAAGGGAGAGATAGAAAATAAATGTTAATTAATTTAGAAAAGTAAAATTAACTATTAAGTCTGTAATATCTACAAAATTTAAACGAAAGCTAATTGCTCGAAGATAAATATAGATTGATCTAATTTTTATTGTCTTAAAAAAAGTGTGCTAAAGTTAGTAATATTTTGTTTACTAGCTTGAGTTTTTAGTAAAATACAGTTTTTGTGAATTTATCTTTAAATTGAATGATGCATCATGTTTTGTCTATATCAAATAGAAGATAAAATTAATTTGTTGAAATTAATAAGCAAAAATTAATAGGAAAAATATTTATTTAGCTAGTAAATAAATTTATTTACTCTTGTAATTCTATTAGACTCAAAGTTTTTAATTTATGTATTTAAAAGCAATAGAAATAAGTCGATAAGAAAATATTAATCTCTTGAACACATAAAAAAATATATTGTGCTACGATTATAAAAAATATATTTGACTTATGTTTTGAAAGGAATTATTTCATGGTTACTATTTTCGATATAACTATCTTTGATTTTAAATCCTAAGGCTTTATTCTTGAAGAAAATTAATTTATATCTATCTATTAGTCTTTAAATATAATTATATCAAATTATATACTTTTACAAAGCATATATCTTTATTTGATAATTGACACATTAAATTTTTAGTTTATTAAATTTCATTGGATGATTTTCTGAAGCTGTTTATCTAATAATAAAACAGATTAAGATATTATTAACAAAGAAACACAACATTCTTATAGTACTAATCAAAGAACTTGAAAAATAATTGAAATTTTTTCTAAATTAGATAAAAGTAATTCAAAAACAAACATTTAGATAGAAGATTGAGGAGCAAGCAAAAATTAAAGTTACTTATCAATAATTTGTTTAGAATTTATTCACATAGATAGATAGAGAGAGAGTGTAGTGATTTATTATAAATTAAATAGTTTATCAAGAAATTAAAATAATATCGAATAACTGCGATTTATCAAGAGGGCTTGTTGGTTGATTTGTTTGATCAATAACACAATTTTTTAGTGATTAATAGCAAACACAGAAATATATTTATGTATTTATCAATGTATGTATAGATATTAATGTGTTTGTTCAGACATAGTTATTAATATATTGATGAAAGCAGTATGTTTAATTTATTGTGAATGTTAAATAAAGCAAATCATCAAATTTTAATTGATTAAGTAATTAATTTTTTGTTTGTTTTATTTGTTAAAATAAAAAGGAAATCAAAAAAATAACAAACAAATCAATCAATAAAGGAATTAAAAAATAAAGAAAGTATATATATAAATTGCATCCTTATCAAACAAAAGAGAGAGAGGCAAGCAATTATAAATACAAATAGTAGATTTTTATTTTTTAAAGAGAGTATCAAGTAGATAGGTTAGTTGTGGCTAATAACCAGACATCTAAGCATATAAGCAAGTTAATAAGCAAACAAGTTATCTTTAATTTCAAAAAGTTAAAGTGTTTTAGAAAATAGATAAGCGCGAGTGAAAGCAAACATATTAATCAGTCAGTCAGTCCAATAATTGATATATATCTGAATGTGGCCTTCTTACACACAAAGTTATCTCAACAAAATAGATTAAATTTTGAACAATAATCCTGATCGGAATTCAGAATAGGTTCTAAATGAGCTATTAGTTAATCAGGAAGATCTTATAAGTGAGTTTAAGCGCAGCAATCCCAAGTTGTTGGATTATTTTAGAGACAATTAAAAGTTAGTTCTCAAGCTAGTTGAATACGTATCTGTAGAATCTAGCGATATTTCAGATGTTGATAGATGTTTTAAGTATCCTTTAGTTAGTTCCGATATTTTTGATTGCACACCAGCTTGTATAATGACACAGTTCTTTGTTGAGTCAAAGGATGAGACTTCTAATCAAACCAGGACAAAAAATAAAGCAAATTGCCAAAGTGTAAAACCTAATTCTGGCGATTAGGATGATGATTGTTGTGATGGCGACACTTCACACAATGAAATATCTGTAGCAGATGCATAGGATAAAGATAAGGAAAGCGATTAGCAGCAGAAAGTAGCATCAGCCACATAAATTGAATTAGAAAATTAAGGTAAAATATTTATACAAATCATCCTACAAAGCTTGAAAAAAAGTTAAGCATATTTAGTGTTATAAAATAATCCGCTTACTGATTTAGGAACTTAAAAAAATAATTTAAAAATTTAAAAATAATCGGAGCGACTGCTTAGCTTTTAGTAAATAAATATGGATTTTGAGTTGAATAAATCAAGCAAAGCATGCAAATAGTGCACAAGATTAAACAGCAATATTTTTTAACATATAAAATAGATGAAAAAGAAGAATCAGTAAAGAAATCTACCAAAAAATAAAAGGTATTTAGTTGGCCAGTTATGAATAAACTCTTTTAGTTTTTAGAGCCTCTCACATGCATTAATGAAGTATTAGCAGGTTACTGGTCAAAGGTAGTTTTGAGCTTGGTATAAATGAAGCCTTAGGAAATGATTGAATACATTTTAACATCTCAAGGAGTTTTGGATGGTCTGTTTAGGCATATAAATAACTAATCAATAGGTAAATAAATAAAAAAAAAACAAATTAAAAAATACACACAGAGATAAATAAATAAATTAAGCTTCAAAAAAGTTCGTTTTAAAATATTTCATAAATGGATTTCAAGGAGCAAAAGCATGAATGATGTTATCAAAGGAAAATCGGAAAGAGTCCTTTTTTTGTAATTTGATTTTGCGTATAAATTTGATTAGAAAAAAAAAAGTATGTCATAGCTTGGGTCATCACACAAATGCAAATTATTTGAAATTAGTGCTAAATAATTTGAATATGCAATTAATTAAATCTTAAATAGAGTTTATTTTTGAATTTTTAATAATATTTTGAATTTTCTTTCTCCCAAAAATTTCTAATTAATCAATTTCTTTTTATTTGTCATTAAAACTGAAAAATTTTACCACTCTTTATTCCTGAGTTAATTAATATACAAATAATTCATGCATAAGATATTTTATTTTGCCAATATATCCTACCACTCCATATAATACCAAACAACCATACCTACTTTTTTAATTATTTTTTTCTATGAATTTAAAAAACGAAAGCAATCACATAAAATTTATTAATTAAGTTTCAAGTATTTATAAATTTTTTTGAATAGTCTTTTATATTTAAAATTTTAATAATTTAAATCTAGAAATACAAAATTTTATTAATTGATAATAAAAAATATTTTGAAATAGAATTTGTTTACTAGAGTTAAATATAAAATTCATTTTAATAAAATAGCTTCAGTTGTTTAGACTTTGTTAATACTAGAAAGCAATAAATTTAGTTCTCAAACTTAGGAATTTTTAAAAGATTTTACTGACATTAAGGTAAAAGCAATTGGTGAATTCATAGATAAATTCGGAGAGTATTGTTCAGAAGAGATTTAAAATTTAGCATTAATATTTACTGAAATTATTTCTAAGTATTACTTGATCCAAGATGGTAAAGAAATGCTTGAATATCTATGCAGTGAAGAATCTGTAGAGAAAATATTTAAATTCATGATTCATGGCAGCGATGGAGCAAAAAACGGAGCTTGTCAAATTATTCAAGCACTTGCTTAATATTATGCATTCAATGCAAATTCATTCATTAGTGGCTACCCAGAAGGTTCCGAATATTACATGATTATGTTACAATAATATGAAAACATGGCTTTCTTAAAGACATTAAGCAGTAGCTTTGATGCATTAGCAGATATTCTAGCTGGTAAAGACAGCAATGCAGCTGGTGGTAACTCCAGAGCAGTTTTGGGCATCCATAGATTGAAAATTATAGAAATTATGAATTAAGTTATTAGAATTCAATTTCCAAGTGTTTAAGAAGGTCTTGTCAACTCTAAGATTTTACAACACATGCTGGATTTATTTTTTAAATACGAGTGGCACAATATATTGCATTAAATAGTTTTAAATATTTTATTATTTATTATCTAAAACTGTGACAAAAGCAAGATAAGAGCTTACTTAAAACATCTTTTAGTAGATTAAAATTTCACACAGTAAATGATATCATATGTTGGAGATACTCTTTATTATTTTGATAAAGCTAAATACCCAGATCGTTGTACAACTAAAGGTAATCTCGGCTACATAATTAAAATTGCAGATGAGATAGAAAAGTTTTACTAAAAATCGGTTTAAAACAGATAAAATAGTGATATGCTTGACTGGCATAATCAAGAATGGATTAATTTTATGGAAATTACTCTTGATATCCATAAAGAAAGAGGATGCAAAGATTTAGGTAATTTCAACAAATACATCAATGGTCAAGTCCCTGCTGAAACAGCTGGAGGAGAAGACGATATGGCTATCTATAGAGAATATGAGAGACAACAAGCTGCAGATCGTATGAATCAACGTTAAAGTTATTTAGAACAAGTTGAACTACAAAAGCATTACGAGTTAAAGAAAAGCAAATCTGAAGAATCCTAAACTCCCAAAAAAGAAGAAAATCAAACAGCTAAAGGAGAGTAAAAAAAATACTTTGAAATTAAACACAAAAAATAAAACTTTTATCTTTTTTTGAGCTTTAAACATAATAAATATTGTTATTTATGTTATTTAATTAAGGAAATTTTATTTTTTAAGATTCAAAATTAAAAATTTTTTAGATTGAAGTAATATTTTTTTAATATTTAGCAATGCACAACCAAGTTAAACATTAGGAGTAAGCTCAATCAGGTTTTAAGATTCTTCATAAAAATAAAATGTACTATTTGTTCAGATGAACAGCAAAAAATTAGATGATGACATTTAAATGGATGAAGAAGAGGAAGATTCAATTAAAAAAAATAAACCTACTTCTGAAAATACAGAAGAAAACTAAGCTAACTCTTAAAATGTAATTGATCCAACAAAATAATCATCTTAATACAATAACAATTATATAAGCGATAACCCGATAATTAGAGAAATAATGGAGAAATACAGTCCTACAAAAGGATTGATTATAACTCCTGAGGGTAGTATCGTTTCTCCTTCAAAAATAGAGGAAAAAGACCATCTAATACACTTAAAACCAATAGGAACAGACCCTCAAATTGATGTTGTAATTGAGAGAAAAGTTATAGAGCCTTTAATTGAAGAGAAACATATTTCAGAGAGTGATCTTAATACTCCTTAAAAAGAGAAAATTGTAGAAGAGGCATAAAATAATAATAATGAAGAGTAGTAGTAAGGTATAGACTAAGATTAAAGCAGTAAGTAAGCTGCTTCAAATCTGGCAGATGATGGTGATGAAATATAAGAACGTAAATAAGAAATAGATTAAACAGAATAATAGGCCCATAAAGTTAGTTCTGCCAATAACTTAGACAGATTTAATGAAGATGAGGAAATAGATTAATCAAAAGTAAAATCTTCTGTAGAGTTAGGCACAAATGTTGATTAGGCAAATCCTCAAGAGATTTAAAATTAAGTTAAATCAAACACTGATGAATAAATTGAAAAAGAAGATAATGTAAAGCAACAAGAAGGAATTGTGGAGAATAATCCTATTTAATCATCACCAGAAAAGCCCAATAATATAATTGAACTTGAAAATGCAGAGATAAAAGAAAATAAACAAGACAGTGAGAGTTAAAATGTTGGGGTTGTTTCTGAGAGACTTAATCATTTTATGAGCTCCATATCAAATGCTTAGGTTGGAGATAGAAACAAATCATCTGAGTCTAACTTAAAAAAGGGATTTTAGAAAAAACCTAGCTCTTCCTATTCTCCCTCTTCCCATAAAAAAGAAATCGATTAAAATTTATTCTCACCAAAGAAAGCAAATGTCAATCAATTCATTCCTTCTGAACCTACGAAATAGGAAAATGAAGAGGTCAAGGATTAAGATTAGATTGAAGAAAAAGCTGAAGTTAAATAAGAAGTAAAAGTTGAGGAGCAACAAGTAGATGATGAGCAAGCTGATAACAAAGTAGAAGTAATTAAAATATAAGACGACCACGATTCTAGTCAAGACGAAGTTTCTAGTGATGTAAAATAAATTGAAGTCAATCATAATGAAATAGAAATCAAGAAAGAAGAACAAATTATTCAAAGTGAATAAACTGAATTAAAACAGGAAGCTAACTAGTAAGAATCTGAATAAGAATAGCACATTGAAATTATAAAAGATTAAGAGGATGATGATGAAGAAGAAGATAATAAAGTTGAATAAAAAACAGAAGATAGTTCTAATTTACAAAAACAAGAAGTAAAATCAGAATAAGGTCTTCAAGCTATGTAATAGGAATAAAAGGAAGAAATAAAATTACAATAATAAAATACTGAAACTGTGTAAGATGAGATAAAGAATGAAGTTTTAGAAACTGATAAAAAGATAGAGACAGAAGAAAAGCAATAAATTAAGGATATCAAAAAGGATACAGCTGAATTTTTGAAAGAATCAGGGGTTTAAGAATACTAATATGTATTATTCAATAAGCAAAATCAATAGTAAATGAGTTCTCCTTTGATTGAATAATTTGAGCATAATGTCCAAAATAAAAAGATTTCCCTTTTTACATCTTAGGAAATCCACAAAGAAACCTAAAATGCAAGTGAAAATTAAATTAAAAATTCATAAGACAAAGATGATAATATTATGAATGAACACATTATTAAAGTTGAAAAGTCTGAGTTCAAAACTTTTGTATTTTAAGAAGAAGAATCAAGCAACGAGCCCATAAACATAGAGTTAGACAGAGAATACGATAAGGAGGAAGCTGAATAAATACTTAAAACATCTCACAGTCCAATAAATTAAATTTCAAATATCGATTCTTTGAATTCGTTGAATAACTTCAAATATGAAATGAAATATGTTTCTCCAGCCTCAGATAACAACTTTGCAAAATCAGGTGAATTAAAGGTAAATAAGGAAAAAGAATAATCTGAGTAGTAATAACCTCAAAGCTTACCCAGCAGTCTTTAAAGCAGTCCTTAAGACTAAGAAGCACTAACTCAAAAAACTACAATAATCACAAAAATTACTTAAGGAGGAGTTACAACTACTCAGACAACAACTTCTTATAGCAAAGTTTAAGATAATTAAAAAGCCTCATCGAAGCAAGGATCTCCTTCATAAAATATAAATGCTTCTAAAGATTCTCCTTCAAATAATCTAGATAAACTTGTGGTAACTGATGAAGGATAAATCCCAGCTTTAATCTATGATGAAAACGATCCTTCCATTAAACAGTCAAAAAAGAAATTCGGATCAGAATAGACAATTGATAGCTAAACTAAATCATTACCTTCTGATGCTTTTAGATTAAAAGAAGACATGAGCTCTAGTGCTAATCTAGGAAATGCAGATCCATAAAGAGCATTTGGATCTTCTCCTATGAAATTTAAGCAGTAATTTTAAGAAAATTTAAGAACTAGCTTAGATTCGTCTTCTATTCAAAGATTAAATTAGCAAAATTCACAAAGTGTCGATGCAGCATAATCTAATTTAGGAGAAATAAGACTAACCACAACTTAGTCTGCTGAATCAAATGTTTCTCCTGTAACTTAAAAATCTCAGTTTCTGCAACAAAGCCAGCAAGAGCGCCTATTTATTTAACAAATGCTTCTTTAAAAGTATGGAAAAAATTCTACCAGCTAATCAAACTCACCTTAAAATAATAGTAATAGTCCATAAGAATTCAAACCAGCAGATCCTTACTCTTCTACTGCTCCAGCTCACTAATAATATAGCTTCAAGTTATAAAATCCTCACGAAACCTCAATTAATTAAGAATAACAGGCTTAATAAACAATTAATATTGGTGGAAGTAATTATACTATCATTGGTAAATCAGTTCACACAAATACCAATTCACAATTTTAATAACAGTAACAACAATAATAATAATAAACTTAATTAATTTCAAACAATTAGCAACAAGAAATTTAAGGTTAATTGTAATAAGGCCAAATAATAACACAAGCAGAGAAGATATCATATGTCGAATAAGAAAGTTTTTTGCTTCAGTAAAAGCTCTCCTCAAGCAAAGATTATTAGCTTATATAAGCTTAAATAAAAGATATGCAAAATGTTTATGATATCATAAGTGATGATAATACATTACTTATTGAATAAAGAATCATTACCAGTTAAAATATAAGAGAGACATTCTTAGAAGTAGCTGAAAGATCTAGACTTTAGCTTGAATCTACTATTGATGGCTTAGAATAGGATAAGCAGCGTCAAGAAAAGGAGTTGAAGTTACAATATTAAACAGAATTCGAAATGATTGAGAGATAAATGAAACAGGAACTAGATGAATAGAAGGCTAGAAAGAAAATTCAAGATTTCCTTTAGAAACTTCTAGTCGACAGAGTGAACAAACTTTACGAAATCCATTTAAAGTACTCTCTTTAATAAAAAATATCTTTAGAGAAGGCTATTATAGAAGCTAAAAATTTGAACGAAAAGCTTCACAGCATGAATCTTTTGGTTGCACCTGCCAAAGAGCTCAGTCCAGAAAAGCAACAACAAATTTTAAATACTGAAAAGCCTAATTTCATATAGAAAATCTAACCTGTTAGTTAACAAGAGTATATTTAATAGAAGCAAATCATCTAACCATAGCAACTTACTCAGTCTTCTGTTTCTTAGACTTAAGATGACAACGACTTAAATAAATATCTGGTTTAGACCATTCCTAGATAGTACAATTCTGTTCCAGCTAACAATTCTGACAATGCTAAAACTAATTTGACTGTGAATACTGGAGTTAAAAAGAATATAGAAAATAATTCAGAATAAGGTGGATCTAATTCTCCATGCTTTGGCAACAAAGATTAGATTAAAATTCCTCTTCATAAATAATCAGAAGATTCTAACAGCTCATCAGGAGCAGCTGATAATGATTAACAAAAAAATATGTACAGTTCATAGGGAGAGAGCACTTCTCCATGTTTTGGAAATAGAAAATCCTCACCTTAAAGAAAGAGCTCATTTTAGAGATATGGTGGTAGAAGACTTTCTGGAAAGGACAATTAATAAGAAGGAGAATTTTTAGAAGATCCTTATGACTACAAAGCCAGCTCATCAGCTAGAGATAAATCTCCTATGCCAAGCTAGATGTTCATGCAATCTTCAATCAATTCTAACACTCAAACTAGTGCTCCTAACTCTTCGAATGAATATTTGAGAAGGTTAACACAACCAACAACATTAACTAGTGTAACGAATTAGTAGTAGCCTCCATTTAGAATCAGTGGTTCTTCTTAGAGTTAACCTACACAAATACAACAGCAATCATAGTATGCTCCTCATAATCAGTAACATTAGCGTATATTTGATAACTATATTTAACCAAACACTTACTAAGGAAGTGAAGACCAACAATAAAACAACTCTCAAATTCCTTCAAACAGATATTCATAAAATCCTCAATTAGAAAGTAATAAGAATGCCTCATCTAAAGGACCAGAATAATACAATATCTAATAGCCTCGCACTTCACTGCAGCCAAGTTAATTATAGCAATAATAATTATAACCTAACAATTAGCAATAACCATATTAACAACCTCCACAATATCGTAAGATCTTTGGTTAAACACCTTTACAAAGTATTAACAAGCAACAGTAATCAAACCATACAACGATAAATCTTCAAAATCCTTCTTCATAATAGCCCCAATAAGTATAAATTTAACAATTATAGTAATAGTAATAAGTAAAATAATAGCAATAATAATTTGCTTAGTAGCAACAACTTAATCAATAACCCAACCAATAATAATAACTTAATTAGTTGTAATAACAGTAACAATAATAGCAACTTCCACAATAATAGTAAGGTCTACTCTATTATAACTACAGCCAACCTTAATTAACACAAAAGTAAAATATAACTTAGCCTGAAGATTAATATAAAAAGATTAGTGATAACTTAAAGCTTAGTGGATATTATGGTTAATAATAAGTAAAGACAATTCAAATAGACTTAAGCAATAACACAGATGAGAGAAAAATTTCTGATTATGTTTCTTCTTCAAGCAAAAGCAGTGATTAAGTTTAATAACCTCAAAGAGCTAACTAGTCTGCAATTTACATTAATTAAAAATAAGTTCCCTAACCTTCGCATTAGCAAAGAGGATCTTATGGATAGGCTAATTTCTAAAATAACTCAGATTAAAATGAAATAGAGAATCAATTGCAATTTAGGAACTACATTAGCAACCCTCAAGTTAAATCTACACACAATACTCCAGGAAACGGATCAACACCAGTTGGAAGTAGCTCTAATTTGTAGCCCATATCCTCATAGCCACAAAATAATTAGCTGACTTAAAAAGAGCTAAACCATAAGCTACTTAGTTAAACTACCTACATAGAATAACCTAGATAAAGACCTTTAAGTCATTCTGAAATAATGTATAAAAGTCCGTCTAACTAACTTCCTGTTGAATCTTAATTTGCTAAATAATTTAACTCATCTCAAAACAACTCTCCTCAAAATCCTTCCTATCAATAACAATAGTAACAATATGGTGCATCAAATTTCTAATAAGTTAATTAACAGTAGCAACAGTATCTAAGCAATTAATCAAGCAAACCTCTTCTCAATAACGAAATCTAACAAATTATTTCTAAATACACTACAGGAAAGGAATAAGCAGGAATGTATCCTAATTAAATTTCTTAATATTCTAGTGTTTAACCTCCTCATCAAATGCATACTCAAATTGGTGGAAGCGAAAGAAATATTTAATATAGTGATGAATTCAGTTACGATAAGGCAAAGAATACAAGCACAAACTACACCTCATACAGCGGAAATGGATCTTTCTATAATTAACAGCAGAGCGATATATCTTCAAGTCATTCAGAAATGGCTGATGAAATGTCAATCAATTCTTCTACTTCAGTTTCTTAATTCATATAAGAGCTAAATGGTAAAAAAATAAAGATCGTCATGAAAAAGCCAACTGTTTAAAAACCATCTCCAAACGATCCACATGAAATATAGAAGTAGCAAATGCAACAATAAGCTAAACAGCAGCAACAAAACCAATAATAATAATAATTGCTAAATTCTAATTCAGTAAACAATATGAAACAATCAAGGTAAATGAATGAATAAGACAAATAATTAATTTAATTGCTTAAAAAATGAAAAACATTCAATAAAATTTAATCTAACAATAATTTTATTTGTGATAAAATATATTCTCAATAACTTAGTAAAAATATGAATAAAGTAATATAACACATTAACAAATTAAATCAATATTTTCTTTCTTTGTTTGTTAGTTAGTTAGTTAATTAATTAGTTATTTAGTAAATATAGCATCATTATCAAATTTATGCCTTAATACGGTTAAATTATCATATTTGTGAAAATAAATCTAACTTAACTTTACAAGTATCTTGCTTAAATGGCATACAAGCAAAGCACAAACCAATAAATGAATGAATGAAACTATCAATCTATCTATCTATATAAAATTTACTTCTTTTTATTGTTCAATAATAAGTAACTAAGTAAGTAAACAAAGTTGAATAAAATATTGCTATTCCTATTTGCCATAACTAATTGAGAAACAAACATTTATATATATATACTAGCTGAAAACACAGTAAGTTTATAGAAAAATTATTTTTTCTTAGATATAAATATTATAATTAATTATTACATTTATATGTGAAATAGCTGTGTTTTCATTGTGAAATGCTTTTTATAGTAATAATAAATAAATTCATATGATTAATTCATATCTTTATTACCTTTATTTTTATTCTTTTCTCATTATTTATTATGTTTTATGCTTTATTAAATATTCATAAAATATATTTTAATATATCTATCCACTTTATTCAATATAATTTTTAGTGTTAATAAATCTGGTGAAAATAAAAAAAGTGTACAAAAATTTTAATAAATTAAAAGTTATTTTTTTTACTTTGAATAGTTTTTAATTAACTTCTATACATATATTTATAATCTATATAAATTTTTAATTTGCATAAATTTTAAAAACTTTTACAAGTTAATTTTTAAGTCATTCATTCAAAATAAAGACAAAATTTTTAATTTTTAATCAAAACAAGGTTTCTTTCTTAACTAATCTCTTCATCTTCATAATTTTGCTCTTAAATTTAATTTCTGATGTTTCTCTAATCAGATTACCACTTTTATAACATTAAAAAATAATTATAAAAAATTAAATCAAACTAAAAATTCAATCGTTTTCTATTATTGTATTTATTACCAATGATAAATAGGATTTATAATTAATAAATCAGATATTTTAAAATATTGAAAGAGTTTATTAATTATTTGCTATCTTTTTTTAATAGCGCATTGAAAAATTTTAAATGAATGATTGATTAAAAAGATTAAATTAATAATAAAAAACCTTATAAACTAAAAATTAAAAGGAATAATTAGAATAAAAATCTTATTTAATTTTTACATGAGATCAAGAGATAATATGGAGAGATTAATGCTTTGTTATAAACAAGAAATCAAACTATGCATGCCCTCGTCTGTAATCATATTAAAACTTTTTATTAATTATTCAATTATTTAAAGAATTTATAACAACACAAAAGTTAATTATTTTCATTTAAACAATTAAAAAATTAAAAGTATTCATATTTAAAAAAATAAATTATTAGCATGTAGAAAAATAACAAAGTTATCAAGAAACTAGCTAAATTAATAGAAAGTAATTTGTTATTTACGATAAATTTAGTATAATTAATAAATAAGCATTTGAATTAAAAAAAAGAAATCGGATAGCAATAATTTTTTTACTATAAATTGAGTTTCAAAGCTGAGAGATTAGTAATTTTTGCAATGTAAAAACATAAATCTTTAGCACCTGTATCTCTAATATTATTAAAACTTTACAAAATTTGTTTCTTGAGATAAGTACTTAATATTTAATTATAATTGTTACTAAAGTTTAAGCACTAAATTTTAAAGATAAGAACATTTTTCTAAAGAGCAACCTAAATTTTTGGCACCTTCTTCACCTATTTAATTCTCTCTTAATAAATAAAATAAATTTAACAAAAACAAAAAATTTTTAATCTTGTTAAAGCTTTATAAAAATCTAAGAGCACAAAAATAACTTCAATTAATAAGTATTATACTATTAAATTAAATACTTTTAACTTAATAAATTTATTTGTTTAAAAGGAATTTTGAAGAAATTAACTAAGAAGTCAAAATTTTAATTAATAATTAACAAATAAACTTACTAAAGACCAAGGGTTATATTTATTAGTTTGCTACACTTTTCTATTGCATTTCCTAAGCTTAAAACACCTTGAACTCCAATATAGTTTAATCTTTTCAAGTGATTAAAATTAAAATTTGTAAATAAATAACCATAATTATTACAATCATTATGATAAAAATCAAGCTGTAAAAGTAAATATATCCTTATAAATTTTTCTATTTATTACTAAAGGTTAAGAGTCAAATTTTAAAGGCTACTGCTACATTATATCAAAGAATTAGCTAAATCTTAAGCACCTTATGATCCAATTTAGTTAAGTCTTATTTTATTTTTAGATTGTATTAGTTAATTGATAGAAAAATAAAATTAAAATATCTAAAAGAAGTCAAACAAACATTTAATTTAAACAATTTTAAATTAAATTAATAACAAAAGATAAAAGAATAAAGCTAAGCTAAAATTCTTATGCTAAAGTCAAAAAATATATTTAAAATTTGAAAAATAATGCCAAAATAATTTTTTACTATAGATTAATCGATAGAGTTGTGAGATTTGTAAATTTGATGAATAATGTTTAACACAAAACAGATATTTCTTATTGTCTCATTTTATTTTTACTTTTATTAAATATTTATTAGTTTTTTAAATTAATGAATGATATGAAAATTTTAAAATAATAATTTTTAACATAAAAATTATGTTAAGTTAAAAAAAATACTTAATTAATATATTTAGCAAATAATTTTTTACTCTAGATTTAAATTTAAAGAGATGAGATCAACACAATTTGATAAAGCAAAGCTTAGATTTATTAAGTCTTACTATGAAATTTCATTCTAACTTTATTATATTTTTAAAATGAAAATAAATAAAGCAAAAATTATATTTGAAATATAAAATTTTTATTTTTAATAAATAAATAAATTTTTAAAATACTAAATAATTTTAGCAATCTTAAATATATTTTTTTAGTTAAAAAATCAAAAGTAATACAAATAAATGAATTAAATTAAATGATTGTTATTTATTCTTTAATTTCTTTATACCTAAGATTTAACTCAAGATAAGTATGAGATGACAAAGGAGATTCTAAAAACTTTTTAATATAAAATAAAATAAATTCAAATAAAGAAAGTAAATTAATTTATTACATCCTTAACATTATTAAATTATTTTGTCCTTTAAATCATTTTTATTTTTACACCTTTTTAGTTTTATTTACTAATTATTAAAGTATTCACCTTTTATATAAATTAATACGCATCTTTATATTATGATATTTATATTAAAAAATAAAATACTGTAAATTCTCATAAATTAAGATCTTTGTTAATTAAGATTAAATTTTGAAAAGTTTTTGTATAATCAAAAAAATTAGTAAATGTTTCTAAAATATTTATTTGTCACCTTGAGTGGTTGTAGTATATAGAAAAAAGTTCACAGTGGACATTTGAAATGTTAATAAATTTGATATAATATTGATGAAAAAATTTAATTAATGTTTTATATATGAGTACTTAAAAAAGATATTTAAAATTTCTCGCCAGAATCTGTTTCTGATTGATCTTAAAATAAAAAATTATTCAGCGACTCAAAAATTTTAATTGATTTAAATTTATCTTAAACAAAATTGATAAAATTGTATAAAAAATCATAGAATAAGTATGATGAATAATTTATTGTTTATGAATATTATTAAAAGTTTAATTATTTATATAATATATTTTATTTGGTGTTTTGAAATGTTGATTTATTTTTTGCTTTTTATTTTATAGCTTGTTTTTTTGTTTCTTTTCCTTTTTTATTTCAAATCTTTCCATTAAGTTATTCAACTTGCTTATTGTAGTCTAAGAAAGGGAGATTAGGGTTTCTTTGCAACCAGTTTCTGGAGTGCCATTTAATATTGTTAGCAGTTTCAACAAAGTGAAGAGTGAGAGCATGTCTTGGGTACTTTGATTTATTGTGTTCGCTATAATGAACGTAGTCTCCATTGAATACGAGCATAGAGCCTCTTTTAACTTCTAAGGGAACAGCCTTTTCTAATTCATATTTCTTTTCTTCACCTTCATATAAAACATCATCTCCAGCAGCGTTTCTGTACATAAATCTCTTAGTAGATTCTTTTTGGCTTCCGCTGACTCCCCACATGCATCCGTTTTCTTTAGTAGCATCGTGCAAAGCAAACCAAAATCCTACACAGCTTAACTTGGGTTCAGTGATCAAGTAGGTGTTATCAGTATGAGGACAAACCTATTATCAATATTAAAATTATAATAAATTCTTTTGCTAATCATAAAGGAGAACTAAGAAGATTTAATTTAAAGAAATAATCGTTTTTTAATATTAGAAATTAAAATGACAACTAAAACTAAATTTTTAAAATTTATTCTGCCATTTTATTTTTATTAAGCGCTTTTAATCTACAACTTTACAAAAAACCATTGCTGTATTTAAATAGCCTAAGTTTTAAGTAGATATTTATTTATTTGTTTGTTTGTTTCTATCTAAATTAACGAAATAACAATGTAATATTACTTGAGCTCCAACTTTAGGATTTTTGTAGATGTACATGCTTTAAACCAAGGAAGGAGCTTGGTATTTAATCTATTGTAAAATGTACTTATAAAGAGGTTAATAAGAGAACTTTTAGTAGAAAGGATCGAGATCGTGCATAGCATGACCAATTTTATTTAAGGCATGCTCCTTTGGTACAGTGAGATTACCATTCTTGTCGAATACATTTTCTTCAAAGAAAAAGTGGATTTTGTCTCCAGTTTCAATAAAGTCTAACCCTCTTGAGTCTTCACCACTCTTAAAGTAAACGATTTTCTTGAAAATATCATTTTGCTTGACGAGTCTTTCAGTTTCAGCAATCATTTAATCAACTTCTTGCTCAGTTAAGACATTTTCTACTAAGGTGGCACCATTCTCAAAATATTCTTTAACGTGTCTCTCAGTGAATACCTTGTCAAATGAGCTGGTAGCTATGAACATCTTCTACTTGCCAAATAAAGAAAAAGATGCTAATCTAAAGGATTTTGCGATTTTCAACATTTTATGAGCTATTTTTTTTTATTATTAAACTTGCTTTTTTAAGATATTTCTGAAGTTAATTTTAATAAAGAATTAATCTGTAATAAATGATTTATGTGTCTTTTCTGATTGCAGTTTTAGTCACATATAAATGATATGTTGGTTAAATTAAAAAATATTACAAAGCAATTTATTCATTTATATTCTTATTACTTCATTTATTCCCCCTAAATCTCTGAAACCCCTAAAAAAATTGAAAGACTTAACATTTTAATTTAGGGTCACTAAACCAATCAAATGATACTATTTTAAATTAATGTTGTGTGCTTGCTTAACTTATACTTTATTTATTTTTCTTAAATTACATGCTATTATAAAAATAAGAGTAACAAAATGAAGCAAAAAAATTGAACTTAAAAAATATTTACATTTTAAGTAAAGAGGTTAGCTACTTTAGGAAAATAATTAACAAAAAATATGTATTTTTTTGTTTTTTCTATTTATTCTTTAAAGGAGAAACCATCAAAATTTTTTGGATGAATAAAAAGAAGATCTGCTTAACTAATCAAAAATCCAAACAAAATTGTTCTAGTTGTTAAAAAGAAAGAAAGAATTTACTATGCTTAATTAAGTATTATAAGTCAGAACTATTTCTCCTAAAAATAATCTATATAGATATTTTCATCAAACTTTTTTGGATGACTTGTAAATAAATCTGCTTAACTTATTGAATGCCTAAATTAATAACTGTTCTAGTTGATTAAAACAAAGGATTTCTCAAATTACTAGTAAAAATATTTATCATTCATGCATTTAAATATTTTTTAGTCGTGATATTATAAACCCCCTCTTTTCTTAAATAAAAATTTAAAAATCTTATGAATTTTATCTATAAAATGTAAAATTATTCAATATAAAATTTCTTTTTATGAAGGTCTCTTTAAATCTTTTTATTTTAAATATAAAATAGTATTTTTTATTCTCTTAAGTATTAATTGCTTAAACTTTCATATTGTCTAAATTTATTAGCAAATAATAACTTTTATTAATATATTTTTGTATGTTAACATCATTAAAATTAAAATATAAATTTATTTAATGCTTATAAAAATAAAAGAGTATAATTGACATATGAAAATAATATTAAGATCCCTAATTTATTTACAGAACATTAAATAATAAAAAAGGTCTTTCAAAAATGTTAATGTTGATGCCTTTATGATTTTTAGAAAAATAAATTCAAAATGCGATTGTTTGAATCTATTTTTAGCTTAATTATTTATTAAAAATAAAATTAAGAAAACACTTAAGATTGTAATAATCAAATAAAACAGTCATAATTTAAAACATGTTATTGTTTTAACATTTAGAAGAAGTATTCATAATTCCATTTAATTTAATATAATTTTATATTTTTAATTTTAAAAAGTTTTAAAATTCTTCTCTCTCAACTCATCATAGCCTTGACATTGATTTCCAGTAATTTTTTATAAAATTAATATTTTAAAATTCCATAAAAATTATTTCTATTTGCTAAAAGTTTTGAGAACTTTCGTGATGAAAGAATACAATTATTAGTTTAACCATTATCTCAATGCATTAATCTTTCAAATTTGAACCTCATTCTTAAGTAATATTTAAATTAAAAATTTGTTTAAAATTAATCAGTTGTAATTAAAAATTAACTTATTTTAGCTTAATTATCTTTTTAATTCATTTATTTATTTTTAAGTCAATTGTATTTTATTTATATTTTAAATTATATTTTTTAGTTTAAATTTGCTTTTCACTTATCAACTCTATAAAAAATTAATTAAAACTAATTAATTTCTTTTTTAAAAAGTAACATGTATTTAACTGAATAAGGTGCTTTAAGTTTAGGTTCTGCTTTATCTAATTTAATCAACCTTCATAAAGTCACATTATCACTTAAGTAAATAATATTATTTGTTAAATTTTTAATGTTTCATAGTTTCTTATTCTATTATTGTTTGCTCAAGTAAAATTAATATTATTGAAATTTACTTTAAATTTTATTGATTTTTTATGTCTTTTTATTAAATTTTACTATTAAATAAAAAAGTAACAATTATTTAAGGACTACTGGTGTTTTTGGTTTATGTTCTGGTTTTTCCAATTGTCATAATCTCTAATATTTAACACTTAAGCTCAAGTAAAAATATTTTTTATAAATCTTATCAAATATTAGCTATCATGAATTTGATAAATCAATTTATTTATACTAAAAATTAAAATTAATTAATTTAAAGCAACAATTAAATTGGCGATGAGGGAGCAAAAAATTTAAGTTCTTGTCTAATAAATTGCTCATAAATCTTGCATTTATCATGCTACTTAGAGTAAAAGTTTTTTTTATTTAACTTGAAAATAGAATATCAATATATAATATCTTTGATAAAGAAAATAAATAAAACAGTAATTAAATCTAGAAGAGTTAATAGCTGTCCATTAAATTAAAAAATTTTTTTTAACAATATCAAATAATAATACAAAATTAAAATGTATTAACTTTCATTATTAATATAAAAAGAAGCAATAAAATAGGTGATGAAGGTTTTTATTACTTAAGTTCTTGCTTATTAAAATGTTAAAATCTAACTTATTTATCATACGAATTAAGGTAAATGACATTTAAAATAATTAATATATTCAGGATATGTTTTATAATTAAGTTCTTATCATCTATCAGTTAAAAAAATCTTAATATAAATAAATAATATCTTATTTACAATATCATTTATTTTATCCTAAATGATGGCAAAAACTATAATTTTCAATACAACTATTTTACTAGATTTTTATTAAATGCATGTTTATATATTCTAGATTTTAAAGCTAAAAAATTCTGGAAATTAAACCTAATTGAAGACATAATGAAAATTAATAAATTATGTTAAATAAAATTTTATTAACTCAATAGTCGAAATAATATTGGAGACTTGGGAGCTCAATTTGTTGCCAAAAATCTACCAGTTCAGACAAAACTCACAACTTTAACATTAAAATTAATGTAAAATTAGCTTAATATTAATTTTCTTTTTAATTAATTTCAAAAAAAAAAATTGAATCAAGTTAATATTATTTATTATATTTCGTGTTTATTTTTTAGTTAAAATACTTAATAGTTCAAATCTAATATATCTAATGAAATAATATATAAAAAAGGTATAATAGAATTAGTAATGAAGGAGCTTCAAAATTAGGCTAATTAATCACAAAAACATTGAATTTATAGAATTTGACACTTCATATTGGGTAAATATAGTCTTTTTTAAAATTTTAAAAGATTCGTTAAAAATATTAATTAATTAGTGCAATTCAAATCAAATCAATTTTAAATTTGTATTATTTCTCATTTTTTTCTTTTTAGCATATTTTTGTTTTAAATTTTTCAATTTTTATGAGAATTTTAATTGATTTATTAATCTTGATAATCTTCTTCATTATTTTTGTTTGATAATAAATTTAAATATTTATATAATTTATCTAATTAATATTTATTTATTTTTGTGTATGGAGATTAAATTAAATTAACACAAATGAAATACATAAAGCAAATAATTTCATACTACTTCAATATAAATATTCACTATCTTATTAAATTTAAAAGTTACAATAAAATTGAGGATACTGGTATTTCTCATTTAAGTTCTGCTTTAGAAAGCTGTGCAAACCTCTCAATTCTGTCATTATGGATATTGTAAAAATATTAATTTTATTAAATCATTTTATAAAAAGGAATTTAATTTAATTTTTCAAATTAAATTTAAGGCATTATTTCATTATCAAATATTTTAAAAATTAAAAGGTTTAATTAAATTAATGATGATGGTGCTTCAAATTTAGGTTCTTCTTTAGCAAATTGCAAAATGCTTTCAAATTTAATTTTGTCAATTTGGTATTTTAAAATTTATTTTTTATTTATTAAATTTACAAATAATTTTTCAAAATATTAACGTATTTCCTCATGAAAATAAAACAAAAAAATACCACTTTCTTAAATAAATTAAAAATTTTAAAAATTTTTGCTTGAAAATTGAAAACTCTTGTAAAATAAAATGAAATATAAATATATTTACAATTAAATGTTCAGATGATTTTTATGTATATTTATTTATGCATCTATCTTAAGTGTATTAAAAAATGTTTATATATTTAATTTATTAACTAATAGTGGAAATTAAATTAAAACATAAGGAGTATCAATTCTAAGCTTAGCTTTATCAAAGTGTGAGCATCTCTAAACTTTTTCTCTGAATTTAAGGTAAAATATTATAAATCGGATTTAAACATATTTATTTGAAAGATTTATGATATGCTTATCAATTAATCAATGAATATTTGTTAATTTTGAAATTGTAAACATTTAGAATTTAATTTATTAACTAACTTTTTGATTTACTCATTAAAGTATAAAATACATACTTATTATAAAGATTTATAAATACTTTCTATGTTAATATATAATTAAAAATGCATTCTTTTTCCTCATCAAACTTTGAATTTCTCTCAACGAAGAAAGTATAAAAATTAACATATTTTTAAAATAAAAATAGAGGGAATAATATGATGGCAGAAGGTTCACATAATTTAGGCTAAGCGTTATCAAAATTTAATAAATTATGCCAATTAATACTTACACTTAAGTAAATATAGCTTATTTCATTTAATATATTTGTCATAGAAATTTAATTATTTCAGAAATATAAAATTTATTTATAATTATTTAAATATTATTTGAAATAAAAATCATAAAAGTGGAAATTAAATTGGTGACGATGGTATATCAGGTTTGTGTTTTGCATTTACAAAAACAACAAATCTTAAGATTCTGAAATTAGATTTAAGGTAAAAATGTTTCTTTACAAATATATTTTTAATTAATTCGTTTTTAGAACTGTTTACTCTTTATTTAAATCCAATAAATAAAAATATTTAAACATAGTAAGAATAATATTGGCAATAAAGGTGTCTAAATTTTAGGTTCTTCATTATTTTCTTGTCATAAGCTCAGTATCTTGAATCTTGATTTAAGGTAAATTATTTATTTATTTAGAATCTTTACAACCTTTAAGTTTCTTTTAGAGATTATATTTATTTATTTATTTATATATATTTTTGTTAAATTTTTATTAATTTTAATGAATATTTTTTGAAAATATAAAAAGTGAAAACAATATAGACTATAATAATTAAAATAAGCTAAAGTAATAGCTTAAAAAACTAAAAAGATCTATCGTGATTTATACAAGTTTTATTAATAATATGGTTTGATGATTAATCTAAATTTTTAAGTTTGTTTTGTTCGTTCATAAAAAATATATTTAATTTTTATTTTTAATTCATACTAATAATAAGTAATTAATTCTTTAGATTTATATTTAATTTTTAAAATTATTTTAAGCTTACAAATAATTATTTGAAGAATATTAATATATAAATATATTAATTTGATAAAAATAAATAAATTATTTTAAAATTGGATAGCTAAAAATAGATTTATGATTATTTTTAGTAATATTATTTAGAAATTAAACAAATAATTCAGATGATTTATTTACCAGAAATTATATTTGCTAGAATTTAAAAAAACCAGAAAAAAATTTTTGGCAATTAAAAAGATTTTTACATTAAAAAGAAATTTATTAAGCTGAATTAAATACTAACGCAGATAAAAAATTGATATTTTTAGTAGTGTGAGTATATTGACTATATTATATATTATTACGCCAGTATCATTTTAGTCAAAAATACTATTTGATATCAAGCAAGTAATAAACCAATGAAGTGCATTAATCTTATTTCTTTTTTAAAGAATTTCTCTAAAGAATTTTCTAATAGAATAATTTTAATAATGATGCGATTTATTTATAATTTGATTTCTTCTAATAAGATAAACCATTATTAATTCTTTTAAAAGTATAAAAATAAAAAATGGCTTTAAATAATTAGCAAGTAACAAACAAAAGAAAGAAGTAAAATCTTTTGTAAAATATTTCTAGCTAGAATGAAAATAGTTGAAGACATAGAAAGAAAAAAAATAACTTATGTAAAATTGTAATTCAACTTTTCTTTAAAATCCAATAAATAATTCATTTATTACTTATGTGAAGAAAAAGGATTTTACAAAAATAAATAAAATATTTGTAAATTTTTATAAAAAAGTTAGTTTTCATAAACTTTTTTGGGAAATCAATGGTAAAATGTTTGTAAAACAAATTTAGGAAAGTAAAAATATAATTCAAGAAATGATTGTTAAACTATTATTTAAAAAGTAATTACCAATTTACTTATTTCATACTTAATGAAGAGAATTTTCGCAAAAATAAATAAAAAATCTATCAATTTTATCAAAAATCTGTGCTCGTAAATTTTTTTGAAAAATAAATTGCAATGTTTGATAAATAAAATTGAGGATAATAAAAAATGGAATTTGATAAATATAATTCTTATAATAATAGTACTATTTTAATCAATCATATATTTACTTAAATCTTTTATAATTAAAAGACAAATTAATAATAGGTTCTAGTTAGAGATGATAATTATTTTCAGATAGATTTATTAAATAACCAAATAATAATGAAATTTACTCTAAATAAAATTGGACTTTTTAAAAAGTTTTTCTTTACAATAGATTCTTGTAAGCGAGTTTTCAGTTAAAGATTTTGAGGTAATTTAAGCTTTGTAATTGTGTAAATATAAAACAAAATTATAGATGAGACTCTATCAAACCAAAGGCCACAAAAAAATTTTATATGATTCTCCTGCTAAATAAGCGAATCAATTAATTATAGCTATAGTTAAGCACCTGTCTAAATTGATGCTAATTAAATAGAATCAAATTTTAATTAATTAATCAATAATCTTTTTTACCGAAACTTTTTTTTACTTTCAATCAAGAAACAAAAAGATATTATTTGATAAGTATTTTTTTAATATGAATAAAATCATATTTAAAATGATTTATAAATTACTTTAAATTTCATTTTAAAGTAATAAATTAAATAAATAATTTTATTTTTAAGTACATTACTTATATATTTATCAGAGGATATGTAATCACGACTCAAATTAAAATGTACCAAAAATTGATTAATTTTTTGATCGAAAGATTTATTTTGCATATATTTTTTGTCCTACCCTATGAAACAAATAAATTGAAATGAGATTATGATTAATAGATATTATAAACATTGATAAACAGTTAATAATTAACTTACGTTTGAAGATTTACATAATGTAAATAAATTTACTTATTCAGTAAATTGGTAAGTAAAATTAAAATAATATGTTTATACAAATTGCTTAAATGAACCAATACTAACTTTGGTTTGATTTGAGATTGTTTAATTTAATATAATTAAAGAACACTTTTTGTTTAATATAAATTATTTTGCGGCAGAGCACAGACTTTAAGGAGAAATTTTGCGTTGAAGAGAAATATGATCGAAGAATTCGCTTATAGATTTACACATTTGATTTATCAATTGAGGACACCAAAAAATAATTACTTAAATATAATTTCCAATTGTCAAAATCCCAACTTTACCAAAAATTATGATGAAACAAATCTCTTCAAACTTAATTTAATTGCTACCTTCAATAAATTTTAGCTTACTATAAGCTTAAAATATTACACTTGATAAATAATCTTCAATCAAATGAGCCATTCAAAAAATCATAATTTTTACAATAAATGATGTCATTTATCAAAATGTAAAGGAAATTAAATTGAATTCCTTTCTTCTAAAAAGGTCAAATTATAAAATTTGATTTTTTGGCTTAATTTTTGTATGAATGTATGTTTGTTTGTTTGTATTTTTTATGGGGAATGCGATTCACAACAAAATATTTTGGGTAAAATAATAGCGATCTAAATTAAATAAATGCGAATGTGCTAATCAACATCTAGGCTGAGTTAATATCACTGAAATAAACGAGTCATTATTATAAAAAGTATAATTAATTTATGGTTGCCTTGCATGTATTTTGATACTGTTTAAAGGACAGATAAATAAACAAAGAAAGAAAGAAATAATAATAATATTTAAATTTTGATATCTGTCTAAAGGTATTTATTTTATTATGTGTTTTTGAATTCAAGCTTAAAAAGAAGTGTTTATTAAAACATGAAATTTAATTTATTTGAACTATGATTAGATAATTTAGTGTTTTTAATTTACACATTTATTAATTGATTGGTAGATTGATAAATTAATAGATGAAAATGTATGCGCATTACTAATTCAAGATATTATTAAGAGAACAATTACAAATGAAGTAAATTTTATTTGAAACTTAGTTTATAATTTGAAATTTGCATGATCTTTATTTTACTTGTGAAATAAAATTAGCACAAATACTAATTTAATTTTATTCACTTTACCTTACATTGATTGTATTTTCAACAAATCTTGAAAGAGATCTTGAAGATGTTTGCTCAGATAGTTTACATGTGAGGATTACTGCTGTTAATTAAAATAATTAAAATCTTTACAATTAGATAATCTTAGATAATAATTGCATTTAAGATCAACACTGGAAATCAATTTTGAACCAGTTAACCGACCTTTGCTTCTTATTTTCATTTTACATAGACATACATCCTTTGCTTCTCTTTTAGTAAATTAAAATAATCAATGAGATAGTTAATTACAGATTACATAAACCAAAAATAAAAAATTAGTTCGTTCTATTAAATTTATTGTTTTTATCTTGAATTTACTACAAAACCTTGTTTATTCATTATTAATTCACTTTAAAGCCTAAGAGTGATAAGGAATTTTCCTGGGAATCAAATTGCTCGTTCTGTTTTTTTTAATGGTTTTTTCAATAAATATTTTGAAAATATTTTGTTCTTCTAACTGAACTAATTATTATTTCTTTTTGAACAAAACCAAAGATTAATGAATACAAATATATTAAGGGTAAATTAAAAAATCCTACTTCAATCAGTTGAAGTATCTTTCAAGTATTTTAAGTGTATATCAAATAAGGGAGTAATTAATTTTAAGTAATCGTTTAAAGGAAAAAGGAATCATGTATCACAAACAAAAAAAAATCAATCTATTTTTATTACTCAGCCGCTAATTGGTTAAAAGAATAAAAGCATTATTATATTAATTAATTAGTTAATTAATTAATAGTTAATAATTCACTGCTTGACTTTTTTAGAACTATAATCTCTTTTTAATTGATTGATTTTTATCCTAAATTTAGATTGAAATAGATACATATATACATATAAAGAAAGATTGGCTGTTTTGGCTGGTTGTTTGATTTATTGGAAACAATACACATGATAAAAGAAAGATCTTGGACTTATTTACTTATTTTTTTTATTTATTAGAATAAGAAAATATTAATTCTTAACACTATGATTAAAAATTAATATGAATCAGACTGCATAGAATAAAAGCTAAATTTAGTTTTTTATCTGTTTTAAATGTGTCTGTTTTTAATAATATAATATAAATTTGTTAATCTTTTATTAATAATACGTACGTAGGTACCTAAAAAGTCTTCCATAAATCTAAATAATTAAGCAAGATATAGGCATATTTTTAAACAAGTTAGGCCTATTTGGATTTAATATTTTAAATTTTATAACTTACATCAATTCGAAATGCTTTGCTTTTGAATAATTCTTTTCGATAGGTTAGAAAATCTAGAGAAAAATAGTTTTCATATTGCAAGTCTGAGTGTAATTTTTATGTTGAGATAAGTTATGTTAAAGATAAAGGAAAATAGATTATTATAGAAGTGATTCCTGTTGCATAATAAATAAATAAACAAACAAAAAATATTTGTTTGAGAAAGATTTGGAATAGTTGGTGGTTTTGGAAGTGAGCAGATAATTAATATAATTGTGTAAGCTGATAATATTATTTGAAAATTGTAATCTAATAAAAAGCATTAAATTGGAAAAATTAATTAAGATAGCCATTTACTTAAAAATGAATTTTAACATGAAGTAATAAATTAGAGCACTCATTTTGAATAAAGTAAGTTACTCGTGTTGTTTGCAGAGACTATAAGAAATGAAAGGAAAATAATATTTAAAATTAATCAAAATTTGGTAGAAGAAATTCAATTTAAAATAAAATTTAATTGATGACAAGCAAACAAAATAAGATGCTAACGCACTCTTGGCTGATAAACCGAGATTTTATAATTTATTTGTAAAATTGTATTTTTGGACTTTAAAAAAAGCTTAATTACACTTTTTTTTGTTACTGTGAGTTAGTGGGATCTGTATTCATAGAAAGATTCATCTTAAAAAACAAAATATTAAAGTGTAATTTAATCTTTCAATATGTGAATAATAAAAGAAATTTTCACAAATTTTAGATTATACTTCACATCCAGAGTAAGCTCCCAAAAATTTGTATTAACCAATTTCCTTTGATTAAATGTCTTTTACTATTTTAATAAGATAATTCATTGAGAGACTGTTTGAATTTCTTTTGTTTGAGATCAGCTATTTGTTTTTTTAATTTCATTTTTAATAATCCATTTGATTTCTTAAATAATTAAGACATTCATTAATAATTTAAAACAAAATTCAATCAACTTGCAAAAAACAAAAGAATCTTTTGGATTTTATCAAAATTAAAGAAAACCTTTAAGGAATTAGCAAGAAAGTGAGTAAGTTAAGGCTGATTGTTCTAAATAAAGATTTCATAAGAAATGTATAAGTCTTTTGTAATAAAATAAATGAATGGGCTTTTTGTTCAGTATGTTTGAAAGGATCTAAAATTTAATTAAAATATTAGTAAAGAAAATCAAAAAAAACAAAACACTTAATTAATAATTCAAGTAAAAATGTAAGCTCGTTCGAAAAAAATTGACTTTTAATTTAATTTATCCATTAAAATTTTTTAAATATTAAAGTACTATTTATATAGAGAATTTTTATTTATTTATATATCTTTGTTACGAATATTTATTTTTTATTTATATATATATGTCTTTGTTTGTTTGTTGGTTGGTTGATTTGTTGCTTGCTTATATACTTATTTATTCATTTATTTTAATCTAATTTTGGTCATTAATATATAATTATTTATTTATTTGTATATTGAAGGAGAATAAGATTTTCTTGAGATGGTTATAATTCTAATATTTAATATTAATTAGTTGGTGACTTTAATCTTTTATTTCATATCTTTATGATGTGATCGAGGAGATTGTTAATAACTGTTTTGTTTGATTTGTTGGCTTCAAGATCATTTTTAATTATGTTTAATTCGTTTTCAATTCTATTGAGCTACTTGGGGTAGAATTTTTCTAAAAAATTTTGGATATAGAGATATTGACTGATTTTCAATTAGGATTGTTAGTTTTTGAAAAATTTGTCAATTTTTTATTTGCGTTTTTGCATTGTTGGGAAAAGAGTTCTGTAGCGGAAAGATTATCTTTTTTGTAATTTACAACGGAGGGATGCAATTTAGCTTTTTACTTAGGAATCTATAGAAATTTTTATTATTGTTACAAAGTTATCAATAAATTGCAGGTTAGGATCTACTTGACTTTGGAAGGGAATATTTATTTTTTGGAGGCTAAGTTTAGCAGGAATTTAGATTTCGTCAAACGAGAGAATGTTGTCACAGAATTACTTGTCTGTGTATTGAGTAGAAGAGCCATTAATTAAATTTTCTAAGAAATATAAACTGAGGAATTAATTGAAGTTAACACCGAATATTTCAGGGATGTCGTTTCTTAATGCGAAGTTTATGAATTCATGGGTGTTTTTATTCAACTTTAAGAGATTTAGCAATTCTCTAGAGTAGCCAATTTCTTTGTTTTCAACACTTTTTGACTTGTAGTTAGCAAATGTTTTAATGTAAAAGAAAGGAGTTGAATCATTTTTTGATTGGTTTTAGATTATATTTTAGACTTAGCTGTCAAAATTTCTCTTTCTTTCAGAATAAATGTCGTATTATGAGTAGTTTTATTGAATGAAATTGTCAGTTTCGATCATGTGATTAATGATTTAATTGACGGGCTCTTGAGCCTATACTAATTAAGAGCTTATTTTGCTGTTTTATAGTTTGTCTTCCTAGGTAGAAGGGCAGTTTTCTACAGCTTAGGCAGCGCAGTAGAAATTGCTTGAGGTCTCTTAGAGAGATTCGAATTCAATTTATAAGAAAGAGAAATTATTTGAATTATTACTGCTGTTTGTTGATGAAGTCCCGTTACAATTTCCTTCACTTTTGCCCTCGATGTCAAGAGACTCGGAGCTTTCAAAGAAGCAGTTGTCTTGTGTTTTTACTGGGTTTGAGAATTAAGATTTCAAAAGTTATATTTTATCTACCTTTTTATTTTGGCAAAAAACAGACTTAATGCTGTTAGAAGAACCCTACTTGATGCTGGAATGAGCAAAGTTATTGGCGTCCTTGGTGATTGCACCAAGAGAAATATCACCAAAAAGATGGCTGATATTGATGGTTTTATTGTCATAGTGAAGATTGTTGTTAGCTTCTTCAATGAACTCTTCCTTGTCAAGCTCTTTGAATTCAAATTCTTTGCTGACAATTTTCTCATCAGAAACCTTTTTGGATTTACGGATTCTGGATTTTTGCTTGGGAAGAGGTTTTAAATTTTTCTTAGATTCTGATTTCAAGTAAACTTAAGTTTCTGATTAACAAGAAATCATACTAGTTTATTTAACAATAGTGTTTTGTAAACTGGATTAGGAGACATTCAAAGCAACACTGGTATTGTTGCTCATTTGCATACTCAAGCTAGACTCATCAAAATAAATTGCAGAGTTTGAAAGAAGCATTGAAATAATTTCTGATATGTTTTGATCCAAGAAGATAAAATGAATTGTAAAATGGATTTATTATACCCTTTTTTCTTATTTTTACTTAATCTTTGTTTGATTGTTTAATTTATAAAAAATTTCACTGCTTCGCATTTAATTTTAATGTCCAAAAAATTTTGTTTCAAGAAAATAAGAAGTAAAGGAAGAGAAATAGAAAGTTTTACAATCTCATTAACTAGCTTAATTAAATTAATTTATTGATTGATTGATTGATTTGTTTATTTAAAACTTTTAATGATTTTAATTCCCACCCCATAAAGAGAGAGAGAGAAGTATAGAGTGAGAAAAATTAATAATTAATTAAAAATTGATTTGATTAAAATAAAGTTTGTAACAAATGGATAATTCACCATATATTACCATACCAAATATGAATGCACAATTACTTAATTAATTTATCTAAGCAGTCAACTAGTCAATTATTTATTAATAGTTTCAAGGCTAAGCATTTTAATTATACACTATTAATTTAAATGATCGAAAAAATAAGACACAAACATGTAAACACAGAAATTCAATAAAAGAAAGACAGTAAGAATATTAAATAATATATTGACAAAGCTAATCAATATAGCCATTTCAGATAAATTTACTCATTTAAGAAAAAGATTACTTTTTTCTTATCAAATTATAATCAGAGCAGACTGGAAAACTAGTTTTAATTATTAATTCACATTTACATTTACATGAAAATTATGTAAGCAGTGTATAATAGATTAAGTATTTTTACTCTAGTTTTGCATTATTTTTCTCAAAAGATTTTAGTTAATCTTGAATGGCTCTTTTAGATACTTTTTAAGTCTTAGTAATATGTGATTAAGATTTTTCATATACATTTACTTTTTATCACTTTCTTTCTTTCTGATTAATTACAAGATTCGAATAAGCTGGTCAGCTTGTGTTTAAGAAATGAATATTTACTCTTGTTTAATATCAAATATAAGCTTATTGTTCCTAAGTCTGAGTGGGATTAATTAGTATTCACCTAGCACAAATTAAATAATTGATTTTAAAGGCTTTGTGATTAAGTAAGTATCGAGAATAACAGTTTCTCTATTGAAATATCGATATTTTCTTGGATATTTTCTTGTATTGAATAAACGAGGCTAAAATATTTACAATAAATAAAAATTGTCTAAAACCTTAATGAAGTAATTTTTATTTTTGTTAATTTTGAATGCTTTTTGGTATTGCTTGTTTTTTCTCGCTAAAATATCATAGATTAAGTATAATAAGTATTTGCAAGCTAAAGATTTTCAATTTATCAATTCTTTAGTGGATTTAATGCATGTTTAATTACATCAAACAAAGAAACTTAATTAAGTATCTTTATTTAATTAGAATTAATCTAAATATCATGTAAAGTCTTTTTTAGAAGCCATAACCTTTATAATTAGATCATTGAAATACCTTTTATAAGCAGTATCTCATTCGTGTAAGTAAATAAGATAAGTATGAAAAATATCTCAAGAGCTTTCATCAAATATAATACAAAAAAGCTTAAATTTTATTTAAAAATATTAAAAATGAAAACGCTCATGCTTTTAAGATCTTTATAAAATTAAATATATTTTAGTTTTACTTGGGATTGTTTAAGTTTTATTTATTCGCTTAAAATAAAATAAAATAGTAATATTTATATGTTTAATACAGAACAATAATATTTTTAAATTATTATCACACATTTAACGCAAATCACCATAGTTATTTTAAACAATTTGATGTTTATTATATAAAGACAATAATATAGAGTCTTTTTTGCTGTAAATTTTGAAATATAACATGCGTGTAGATAGAAATAGATGCAACATATATGTACATGTATGTATATAAGATTAATAATTAATTCTTTATTGTAGTTTGATAATAAAAATTTTGATTTGATATTTACCTGAATTTAGGTTTAACAACTTAGTTTAAATTCTGATAATTTCAGATGGCTGAATACAATTATAATTTTAATTAACTTTGTTGCTAACGGGTATGTTTTAGTTGTAAGTCATAATTTATTTATTAATTAACAATCAAAAATTTATTAAACAAATAAATATAAATTTATTCTGAATATAACACACTTTATTTTTCTAAGTAAGGGCAATTATAAATTAATATTTATGATATGTCATTTTATTCTAAATTTTATTTTTTCTCTAAATCTTCTATTTTCTATTTAAAACAAAAGTTGTTTTTTTAAAATTCTTAAATCTCTTTTCCAAAAATTCCATCTTCTATTTAACCCACAAAAATTATTGGTTGAATACTTCCACTTGAAAATTTCAATTAATTGTATTCTAGCAATATTTAGGGGGACCATTATGTTTTAAATAAAATATTACAAAAAATATTTTAGCGTTAAATCTATCTAAAATTAAATTCTCAAAGCATCAACAATTGGAACCAATGAAAATATTTGGCCTACACTCGAAAAAATGTTATTCAAATACTCAAATATATTTTAAAAAAATATATTAACAATTAAAAATCTAATGATCTTGTTGTTCTTTGTATTTTATGTATACTGATCATTAAATTCACATAAAAAATTCACTAAAGCTTAACAAATTTATTTCTTAAAACTTCATGTTTTCATACAATTACTCTCTCTCTATAACATACAACTATTTAAATCTTATGAACATTATTCACGCTAGCCCTAATTTTGTTATATTTAATTTTTTATAATAAATCTATTCTATTTAATTCTTACGACAATTTCAAGCTCTCTAAGATAAATTTAAGAGTAAGAAGCTTAGTATTTTAAGGAATTCATATTCATTTTCATTTAAAACTCAAATAGTTTCATTATTTTGAGTATTTAAGCAAAGATTTGTCTAGAAAAATTTAAATTTAAAAACAATTTTGATTAAATCTAAGGTCTTTACATTTATCATTTAGTGAGCGGCTATCATTTAAATGTTATACTAATCTTTGCTAAATTATTTATTTTAGCTGAATAAAATAGATTGAGATAATGCAAATCATCAACTCTTGTTTTAAATAAGTAAACAATTAACTAAAAACAATAAAAAAATAAATTGTACAATTAAAAAATTCAAATATAAAATGACCTCAATTCAAATCTACTGACAAAAAAATAAAAATTTATTCATGCACAATCTTCTACTCACGCTTTTTACTGATAATTAATTTGAATACATAAAAAGAATACTGAAAAGAAGAAAATTCCAAAATAATTGGGTTATAAAATATTTAAATATAGTAACTTAGTTAAATTAAATAGATAGAAATTAATGGATTTGGTTTAGACATGCATGTTTTTATAATTAACAAAATTAATTTTTTTTAAATTTAATGCATTTAATAAACAATGAATCGCCTTTTATAATCTATTTTATAAATTATTGGTCAATTTTATTTATATTTTATCGATTGATTTCCACTAATAATTAATTTTCAACGCTCATCTAATGATTGCTAATGCTTAAGTTATCCTGCTTTAATAATTTATAATTAATTTAGTTCTAGGTATAATAAATTCTAATTACTTAACATTTTTTTAATCTATTTTCCTTATTAATTCTAATTAACATATCTATTTCATATTATCAAATCAATTTTATAAAACACTTTGCGGATGTTTCAAGCAATTAACCAAAAACATGTTTATATTTTGATGTCGAATTCTTTAAATAAATTAAAGCAATACAAAAAACATATTCAAAATCTTAAATATAATATTAAATTAAGTATTCATAGTTCAAATAAAATAAATAATGGCAGTACATTTAAAATAAATCAAAATATCAATTTTTAAATAGAAAATTTTATTTGGGGAAATGAATGCTTGTTTGTTTTAACGAAATTAAGAAAAGGGAAGAATTTGTTTGCTTTTTTCATAATTAAATTAAATACAAAAAAATTAAGTCTGTTTAGATCTTTTTCAAATTAATTGAAATAAGATATGCGGTAAACGTCTTAAAGAGACCAACAAGACAGGATTTATTAAGAATAGAAATGCTAAATAGTTTATGAATAAAAATTAAAATAGTTTTTAAATTTAACCACTTCTTCGGCGGTTGGTATATAAATTTGAGGCATGGAAGCGAAAAAATCGATGTGAGTCTGAAAATTATACATTGCAAATCGCAAAAACTTCCCGGATGTCCATGCATTCAAACCTCTCCCGGAAATTTAGCAACAAATATATCTATTCTAATACTTCCGTCTGCATCTCGAAAATCTCCAAGCTCATCCCACGCTGGAGATCCTTTTCTTCGTATAGCGACTCTAAAAAAAAAAACAAAAATGAAGGAAAACATTTAAAAAAACCAAATGTAGAAAACATTTTAAAAAAATCACGCATGTTTAATTGAGAAATATATAAAAAATATTGTTATAAAATACTAGGAAAATAAATAAATAAATGGAGATGGAGACAAATAAATAATAGCAAATTAAAACTACAGAAATAATTTTAAAAACTACAGCAAATAATTTTAAAAAACTACAGCAATTTTTATAAATCTTAACTACAGCATATCTAATCTAATCTAATTTTTTAAAAATTTAAGAAAATCAAATAACATCAACTGAAAAAAAGAAAAAACAAATAAATAAATCAAATAAAAAAATCAAATTTAAATTAAATAAACAAATGAAAATATTTAAACTAATTAAAAAAAAATTAACGAATAAAAAAACTAATTGAAAAATCTAATAAAAAACAAACACAATAATAAAATAAGCAAACATACTACTTCATACAAATACTTTAAAATATGCATTAATTAAAGTTACTATTCACAATATTTTAAAACTTATTTATATTGCTTGATATTAATAAAGCATTTATCTATTATTCCTCTATTGTACACCTTATTAAACTTTAATTTTTGATCTAAAGATTATTTTATATACCTCTAATCAAGCTTTTGTTTAGCGCTCATTTTTAAAATGCTTCTTTATATTTTGAAGACTTTGAAAACTAATTTAAAAATTGTTATTTCATTAATTATAAATCCAAATGATTTCTACTTCTAATTTAAATATTTTATTTTTATGATAAATCGAATTCGTGCGTGAGTTTAATTACTTGAATATTTTCATAATAAATCTTTCTCATTTTAAAATTTGCTGCATAGTTTTTATAAAATCTAAACTACTAAATTGATAATCAAAATGGAAAATTTAATGTAAATCTATTATAAAACTTTAATTTTTATAGAGATAGTTTAAAAATTGTTTGAATCATAGTTTTTTATATATAAAATGATAACTTTTACACTATTAGATATTTATTTAAAATGATAATACTTTATCATAAATAAATTAGTATTTATATGGCTACCTCGCAAAAAAAATTGGATATTTTATTTTAAAAATATGCTTTTATGATAAGATTTATATGGCTAAAAATATTTCATTTCATATTGACGAAAATGTTTAGTTTGGAATGGCTTCAATTTAGAAGAAATGAGATTTTTAATTATTTTTATGGGGACAATAACATATTCGTTGATATTTTTGTATTACTTTTAATAAGCCTTTAATGATAAATATTAATATTTTGGTATATGATACAAAAATCTAAAAAGAATCTTTAGATAAAAGATTTGAATTTTTCTAATGATAATTAAAAATAATAATTTAATTCGTTTGAAAAATTTATTATTTCTTTTATTTATGGTATAAGAAAGACATTAAAAATCTAAAATCTAAAACAATAAAATGCATCATCATTTAGTTTATTTAAATACTTATCAAAGCTATTAAAAAAATAATGAAATTTATTTGTTAAGGAAAATTCTTGAGTTTTGTTTGATTTTATATGAAATTTAGTTTAATTCAGATTTTATTGAAATTTAATAAAAAAATTGCCTCATTTTAATATTAACTGAATTATTTCTAAATTCAAATCTGATATTAAAAACAAATCATTCCAAGTAATTAATTGCAGCGTTAAATACATATTGTAAAGTCAAAAATGAGAAAAAACTTAAATTTTTAACAAAAATTCTAAAAAAATTAAAATTTAAAAAATAAATTTAATAATTGTAACGATTTATTTATTTGAATACATTTATTAAAGTGAATGTTAATAATAAATTTCAATAAAATTTTTTAAAACTAATAGATGGTTTTCTTACTATACTTTTAATTAAAATTGTGAAAATAGTCATTCTAAAACTGTTCAAGCTATAAACTAATCAATTAACCTGTTAGTCAAAACTGATAGCTTAGAAAACTAATCTCTTGATTTTGTTTGTTTTATTTTTGAATTGCTATTATGGTATCTCACTAACTTAATTAGAACTATTATTTAAAAATCATAAAAAATGGTTTTATATTTTTTTATTATGCATGGTAAAAATAAAGCAAGATAAAAAAAGAGAAAAATAAATATTATTTTAATGAAATAGCAAGAAATAATCGTTTAATAAAATTAAATTAAATATCATTAAGAAGAATTATTAAGCATTAAACAATTTTTACTTTAAATTTAGGGTTAAAATTTCTAGATTTTCAAATCTCATTAAAGCAGAGCCTAAATGTGAGGCACCTAATGATCCAATATTGTTTTAACTTTTAAAAATTTTATTAATCTATATTTGAAAAATATATATATATATGGTTTTACTATAAATCAATAGCTAAATGTTAGAGTTTATAGAGGTTCGTTAGTGCTAATCCTAAATCTTAAACACCTTTTGTTCCTATTTTGTTTCCACTTTTAATTTGTAAAAATAAATTATTTAATGAATAATATTGCAAAAAAATTATTTTGTAAAATTAAGCGAAAATTTAAAAATATTATTTTTAATCATTTTAATAAAGAATTAATTTAGCATTATTAATTAAATTTTAATAAATTCAAAACAAATCAAATATCTTTAATAAATAAATAAATAATAATTTTACTAGAGATCAAGGTTTAAAAATTAAAGATTTTTGCATTTTACTATAGACTAGCCTAAGTGTAAAGCGCCCTTTGATCCAATATTATTGTTTCTTTTTATATATTAATTAAATTATTAAATTAAGAAAAAAAGCAATCAAGAAAGCTAAAAAAAATATTAAAATTTTTTTAAAAAAGCTTTATTTTTTTTCAATAAATAAAATATTTTTTATCAGGCAAATTTATAAAAGAAACTGATTAAAAAACGAAAAAAATATTTACGAGAGATCAATTCTTAGATTCTGTAGATTAGTGCAGTAATCAAAAGCAGAACATAAGCTTGCTAAACCTTTATCTCCAATATTATTGTTGCTTTTAATGTTATAAATTTGATTTTAGTTTTGATAAAAATAGAAGATGATAGTTATTATATCCAATATCCAGTATTTATTTATTTAAAATTAATTGTTAAATTTACTTCAAATTAAATTAATTAAAATAAATAAATAAAAAGAGTTAGTTATCTTGATTTTAAATAACATAATTATTGAGAGATGAATGAATTATTTTTACAAGAAGTCTAGCTTTAAGTTTAAGAGACTGCTGCAGTTTTACAAAGTAGGGCTTAAAATTTATGAAAGCTAATCATCAACAAAACTTCCACTTTAAATTAATAATTTATAAAATAAAAATTATTAATTAAATTAGTTTGTTAAAATTAAAAAAGCAAGAAAGAAAAATAATTTTTTAAATAACTTAAAGGCAACTTAGAACATATTAATTAAATGGATTATTAAAATAAAAAATGAAATTTAGAGCATTTATATCTTTAAAAAAACCTTTCACTTAAATAAAATATTATTTTATTTGGTAAATTAATGAGTAAATTAATTAAAAAGTAATTAAATAATTTTATTTTAGGTATTAAATGTTTTTACCGAAGATATAAGGTCAAAGTTGAGAGATTAGTGCACTTAGAAATAGCAGAGCTCAATTTTTAGGCATCCTCTATTCCAATCTATTTTGCGCTTTTAGTATATTTTTAATCATTATTTAGAAAAATAAAATATTAAAAAATAAAAAAAATGATATTAAACATTTTAAATACGAAAGAATAACAAAAAATAGGAATGTCTTAATATTATGTATGACTTATATCAATCATATTATTAAAGTTTTATTTGAATTTATTGTGTTAAAATTAATTACTTGATACTAATTTAGGGATCAATGAGAGACGATAATGAAGAGTTGTAAAACTTTTTTTATTAAAAAAAATAAGTTTTAGTTAAGTGAATGTAAATGATGATTACTTCTTCAAGGTTTTTAAAATAGTTATTTTTGTTTGTCATAGTTATTTTTTATTTAATATTAAATTTTGCAAATATTTATTTTTTATATTTTATGAAGAGATGAGTTTTATAATTGATAATATGAAAATTTTTAATTAAAAGAACAAATAATTATGTAAGATAAAAGAATAAATAATTATGTAATAGATTGATTGCTTGCTTATTCGAAATTATTAATAATTTTCTAGAAACTACTTATTTTGAAAATCAGTCAAATCAGATATATTAATTTTATGTGATTTCTAATCAATTTTTACTGTTCCCATCCCTGTTACTGACTGTATAATAAATATTTCAGATTAATATGCCTGTGTGGGCCTGGGGCATTATATTTATTTTTTGGAAAGAAGAATCTCATACAACTATAGATAGATAGCTAGCTAGCTATTCTAATAGGATAATTGTTTTGTGAGTAAGAAATACATACATATTTAGTTAGTATTTTTATTTATTTTAATAATTTTTATATTATATTAAATAAAATTTATTATTCTACTAATGTGTATATTTCTAACTCAAGAAATAATTTTCTGATAATAGCTATAAATTTATTAATATGTACCTTCCAAACTGTTGATTAAGACGGGTATTTTAAATAATTTTTTGTAAAAAAACTCGCTTAAATATTTTATAATTATTTAAAATATGTTCAACCATAACCATGCTATTATTAACGAACAGTTAGTAGTATTTAAAATGCATTAAGAGCGATAAATTATATTTTTTAGATTAAAAATATTCAAGAATTCAATTTCTCTAAATATCTATTAATTAAATAAATGCTTAATATTTTTTAGACAGTACCTTTTAAAATATATTTCAATATCTTCAAATTTAGGTATTATTGAAAAAAATGCTATTTTCCCCTACTTTTAATAAAACAATCATAACCATTTCTGAATAAACTTGAATCCAATTTTTGTTTTTTTTACACTTTTTTATCCTTAAACGATATAACTAATTAGGTAATTTATATTTAAAGAACGAAAAAAAATGTATTTTATTTAAAGATATTAAAAATTAAATTGGCTTTCTTAATACAAACAAATTATATAAAATTAGAATTATATATTTAAAATAAGCTCTAATTAAATCAAAAAAGCATTGATAATATAAAGATAATTGTTGAAATAAAAATTATCTATGAGCTAGAAGTCATTATTTAAGGAGTAGATGGTGCAGAATAACACTCGCTACCATCCTTAGTAGCCTTATTTTTAGTTTAACCAAAACAAGCAAGGCATTCACTATCTGTCCAAGTAAAAGAAGGTCTGCCAATATCGCAAGTATATTAAGAAGCAACACATGCAGTCATATCAAAATTTGCGTGCACAGCTTTAATTGAACCTTTAGAAGTACCTGGGCAAGATTGACAGAAGAGATCGGATGCACCTTAAACACCTGAATCTGTACCGTTTAAGGGGCAAGCTCTAATAGAGCATTTTCCATATACTGAACCAATCTACCATTTTAAACCTGTAGGAGGTTTGCTGCAGACTCCACTATCTGGACAATTTACAGGTCCATTTCCACAAGTAACATCAGCACCAGGGTTTGCAGGAGGAGGAGTAGCTTCACAACCTGTTCCATCAATTTAACCATATTGCTTAGTTGGACCAAAGCAGGCAAGGCAGTCAGCGTTTGTCCAAGAATTACCAGGTCTCTTACTATCTATACAAGGAAAAGAAGAAGCAGCACAGCCAGTCATTTCTTCATTAGCGAATACAGCTTTCAAAGATCCTTTAGAAGTACCTGGACAAGATTGGCAGAATAGATCTGAAGCACCAACAAGTCCTGAATTAGTACCATCTGGGGGGCAATCATAAATTTTGCATTTTCCATTTGTACTTCCATTATCCCATTTTAAATTTATTGGAAAAGTGGGAACTTATGGACATCCTCCTCTAGCATCACATGACCAAGGAAGAGTAGAAGAACAAGTAATATCATTACCATAATTATTGGGTATAGTAGCTTGGCAACCTGTTTAATCTGCTCTAGCATATCGCAAAGAGGCACCAAAGCAAGTTAAACAGTCATTATCACCCCATGAATTAGGAGGTCTGTTCTTTCCACAAGTATCAAGTGATGCCACGCAAGCTGTCTAAGCTGCATTAGCGTGTACGGCTTTAATTGAATCTTTTTCAGTACCTGGACAAGATTAACAAAAAAGATCAGTGGCACCAATAAGTCCGGAATCAGTACCACTTGCAGGGCAGTTACTTATAGCGCATTTTCCGTTTGTCGAACTATTCTACCAGCTTAAACCTGAAGGAACAGTAGGTGGAGCCCCACATGCTCCTGGAGTAGTACAGGTTGTATCAGAACAAGTAACATCCAAACCAATAGTAAATATTTAATTTACTAATAGCAAGTATAATATCGGTTTTATAGATTTCATTCTTTTTAATTCTTTATTTAAAATTTACTTTTTTAATTAAATGTTATAAAAAAATTTACTTTATTGCAATCGATCTATTTATAAAATTCTTTCTAATATATTTGCCTTTATTAAAATTTTTTCATTTCTATTTAATTAAAATTAGGCCATTAAAATTTTTTAATTACTTGTTTAGTTATATAAACATACTTAAAATTTACTTTAAAGCTTAAATAAAAGTTTTTAAATCTAGTCTTTTTTAAATAAAAGTCTCAAAAAGAGAATTTAAATATTCAGATGGGTAGAAAAGAAAATTATTTATTTTTTGAAAAAATATTTCAGTTTCCAATACATTTTTAAAAATTTCTTTGTTTTTTTTAAAACTTACTTAATGATTACTAGTAACTATCGTAACGAAAGTATAACTAAATAAATAGTATCAGGTTAATTTTAGTATATTAAATGATGATTAATTAAATTAATAAATTTTGTCATAATATTATTTATTTCTCAAGTCTAAAATTAATTGGTAGAGTAACATTCATATAATTTACTTATCAATATAAAATTAAGCATAAAGTCTCTAAAAACATCTTCTATTTATTTTACCACAATTTTAAATTAAATTTATTTTTCAAATATGTAATAAATGTATAATAATTCACTCATTTTGAAAGTTAATAATCAAAAAAATTTCATCTAATTTTTGCAAATTTTTTAAAATCTTTTTTTTCATGACAGTATTTATTTTTTCTCTTGTATTGCTTAATAGATTATAAAAAAGTCTGTTAAAGACAAGTAAAAATTCTTAAAAAGCTTGAAGGCAAAATTAATTATTTATTTATTCAAATCATTTGTAAAATGTAACTCAAGAATTTTTTAATTGTAATTCTTCACATGCAATATAGTTTTGAAATTTTGTAATAGTACAGTGTTAATTAAATAAATCATTAATTTTTTATACTATAAATTGCAATTCTCTTCATCACGAAGTTCATTTTTTTATTATTATTTATCTTCAAAATAATTTACTTTAAATTTTATAAAGTGATGAAAACACCTAAATTTTAATAAAATTATTTCTTTTTAAGCGTGGCATAATAACTTCGGTGATAACTTAGGAATATTAAAATACATCTTTTTAGCTTCTTGCAAATTTAACAATAATTTATAAAAAATGTAAAATAATGTAATAGAAATGAAAATCAAATTACTTATAGAATCTAACAAGACTTACTTTAAAGTTAGAAATTAAATCCGTCTAATTGGGTTGATAAATAAGTAGCGGTGATAATTCTTTTTGTAAAATAAGATATTTCTAAAATGAATTAAGGGATTAAATAGCGCTTATTTAAACTATTTATTTTTATTGAATTACTTTTTTTACTGATGAAAATTATTTTAAATTTAAAAAAAAAACATTTATTGACTATTTGAGATTATAAACATTTAATATTGTAAGAAATTTAATTCATATCAGTAAAAAATTAAGAATTTCGATAGCCTGTAATTTAATTTAATTTACTATTTATAGGTTTATTTACAGTTCTTAATAAGCATAAATTGTGCTTGCCTATCTAAAAGAATAGTTATAAAATTAAATGTAAAAGCAATGAAATGGCTTCAAGTAAGCAAGCGTTAATAAAATATTTAAGCTATATATGAGTTTTTAAATTGATAACAATCAATTTATGAATTACAAATTACATTCAAATATCTATTTATTTTTATCTCTTTTACAATAATAATATCCAATAAAAAAAATTCCTAAAACGAATTAAGGGATTAAATAGCGCTTATTTAAATTATTTATTTTTATTGAAATATTTTTTTACTGAAGAAAATTATTTTAAATTAAAAAAAACATGTATTGATTAATGAGATTATAACATTCAATATTTTAAGAAATTAAAATTCATATCAGTAAAAATTTATTAATTTCGATATCTATTGTAATTTAATTTAATTTACTATTTATAGGTTTATTTACAGTTCTTGATAAGTATAAATTGTGCTTGCATATCTAAAAGAATAATTAATTATAAAATTAAATGTAAAAATAATGAAATGGCTTCAAGCAAGCATTACTAAAATATTTAAGCTAAAATTAATTTTTATATTATAACAATCATTTTATGAATTATATAAATTAAATATAATTTTAAAAATATCATTCAAATATTTATGTATTTTTATCTCTTTTACAATAATAATATCCAAAAAAATTTCTAAAATGAATTAAGGGATTAAATAGCGCTTATTTAAACTATTTATTTTTATTGAAATATTTTTTTACTGAAGAAAATTATTTTAAATTAATAAAAAAAACATTTATTGATTAATGAGATTAAAGCATTCAATATTTTAAGAAATTTAAATTCATAACAGTAAAAATTTATTAATTTAGATAGCTATTGTAATTTAATTTAATTTACTATTTATAGGTTTATTTTCAGTTCTAGATAAGCATAAATTGTGCTTGCATATCTAAAAGAATAGTTAGTTATAAAATTAAATGTAAAAACAATGAAATGGCTTCAAGTGAGCATTACTAAAATATTTAAGCTAAAAATGAGTTTTTATATTGATAACAATCAATTTATGAATTACAAATTAAATATAATTTAAAAAATATCTATCAAATATTTATTTATTTTTATCTCTTTTACAATAATATCCATAAAAAAAACATTAAATATATCAGATAAGATAGAGACTGCGCAGTAAATAAAATTAAAAAATTATATAAGTCAAAAATTTAAATATCGCCTTTTAAAATTTAGACAGTTTTGATAAAAATGCCACCCTCCCTCCCTTCTTTTAAAAAGTAATCACATCCATTTTTTTTTCTCATTAAATTTGGATTCAGTTTTTTTTTTCATTATTCTTTTAAAAAATACAATGAACAATAAAGATTTCATAATAATGAAATTTCTACTCTTTATTTTAAATAATGAAATAAAGGAATAAATTTAGCAAATATTTAAAACTAAAACAAACATATATTAAATACTTTGTTTAGTTTATAGATACATACAAATAAACTGAAATCAAAATTATTAGTTTAAACTGTCTTTTAAAATTTTAAATTATCCCTATATAAATCAAAAAAGTAATGATGATGATATTAAGATAATAGTTGAAACTAAAATTTTCTATGAACTTTATGAACTTGAAGATGTTGATGGAGTAGATTAGCAACGACATTTATCTTCAGTGGCATACTATTTAGTTTAGCCATAACAAGTAAGACAGTCATTATCGTTCCAAGTGCAAGAAGGTCTGGTAAAATCGTTACAAGTAGCAGAAGAAGCAACACAGGCAGTCATATCAAAATTTGCATATACAGCTTTAATTGGACCTTTAGGAGTACCAGGGCAAGATTGGCAGAAGAGATCAGAAGCACCTTAAATACCTGAATCAGTACCAGCTGAGGGACAAACTTGGATATTGCATTTTCCTTATGTTGAACCAATCTACCAGCTTAAACCTTTGGGAGCATTAGGGCAAACGTCTTTACATTCTGAAGGTAGAGTTGAACAGGTAACGTCAAAACCAGGAATTGGAGGAGGATTAACAAGGCAACCTGTTCTATCAGTTTTAGCATATTACACAGATGGGCCATTGCAGATAAGGCAGTCAGCATTTGTCCAAGTATGATCAGGTCTACTACTTCCACAAGTATAAGAAGAAGCCACACAGGCATTCTTTGCTGAATTAGCATATATTGCTTTAGCTGATCCATTAGAAGTACCTGGACAAGATTGGCAGAATAGATCTGAAGCACCAACAAGTCCTGAGTTAGTACCATCAGGGGGGCAATCACCAATAACACATTTTCCACTAGCCCCTGCACTCATCCATTTTAAATTTGCTGGAACAGTAGGAGGATCTGGACAGAATCCTTAAGAAGAGCATGATGCACCAGGAGAAGCTAAACCTGCACAAGGAACCTCATTACCTTTATCCATGGGAACATTTGCTTGGCAACCTGTTTTATCTGTTCTAGCATATTACAAAGAGGGTCCATAGCAACCCAAACAGTCATGATCAGTCCATGAATTAAGAGCTCTACTATTTCCACAACTATCAAATACTGCTACACAGCCTGTCTAAGCTACATTAGCATATTTTGCTGGAATTGATCCGTCAGGAGTACCTGGACAAGATTAGCAGAAAAGATCTGAGGCACCAGTAAGACCAGAAGAAGTACCACCTGCAGGACAGTTATTTATAGCGCATAATTCGTTTGTCGAACCATTCTACCAGCTTAAACCTGAAGGAACAGTAGGGGTAGCCCCGCATGTTCCTGGAGTAGTACAGGTTGTACCAGAACAACGAACATCCTAACCAATAGCAAATATTTAATTTACTAAAAGCAAATAAAGTATCGGTTTTAGAGATTTCATTCTTTTATTCTTTTTTTAAGATTTTTTAAAAAATTAATTACTATTAATTAAATTTTACATTTTTGCAATGATTTAAAGAGATCCATTCTTATAGATAGACAAACTACTGTCTCTATTAAATTTTTTACTTTTTTATTTAAAATTAGACCATTGAAAATCTTTTAATTTCACGTTTAGAAATAAAAACATGCTTAAAAAATACTTTATGCAAATACTTTCCACTTAAAACATAACCATTTAAATTATCTTTTTAATCATTATATCATTCATTTAAATTGATTTATATTAATTCATAGATGATATTATAGAAAAATCTCAAAAGAGACCAGTAAAAATTATAAATAAAAATTCTTAAAAAGCTAAAAAGCAAAGTTATTTACCCAATTCTTCTTTAAAATTCAAACTTTTTTTTATTATAGTCCTTCGCATATAATCGTACATAGAAATTATGAAATGAAATAGTACTATGATAACTAAAATAAGTATTTAACTTTTAGACAATACACTTTCTTTCTTATGAAAATTATTTATTTATTTTATAAACATATACATACATACCTTCATAATAATAAAAAATAATATGAATTTTATAAAATAGTTTTTAATAAAAATATTTGTATTAAGTTTGAAAATGTTTAATAAATTTGATATTAATGTTTATTTCAGTAAATTAAGACTATTAAAATATATTTTCTTTTTAGCTTAAAAATATTAAATTAATTTTGTAGAAAGGAAGATCAAATAGATTATTTAATCTAACTAATTATTTAAAAGTTAGTAATTAAGTACCTGTAATTAGGTTGATATATAAGTAGCAATTATTATTGTTTTTTAAGATAAGGTATTTTTTTTGATGAACTAATGGAATTAAAAGTATTTATTTAAGGCATTTATTTTTATTGAAAATATTTTTTATTTCTGATGAGAATTATTTTAAATTTAACAAAACTTTTATCTTTATAGATTATAGAATTAAAATTTTTATATCCAGTATTTAAATAATTTAAATTTATATCAGTAAAAATTTTAAGGTTTTGAATGACTATTTTAATTTACTATTTTTTCGTTGATTAGCTTAATTAAAGTTCTAAGTTAATGTAAATTGAGCATATATATCTTATAGATTAATTATATAATTAAATGCAAAGTAATCAAATAATTTTCAAGTAAACATTATCTAATAGCTGGTGAAACAAAATAATTTTTATATTAAAATTAATTATTGAGTTATAAATTAAAATACTATTTTAAAAATACCTATCAAATATTACTTTTTTATCTCTTTTACAAAGAAAAATTTACAATAAAATCAATATAAATAAATTAAAAAATATCAAATTTAGAGCGATTAGCTAAGAAAATGCTTTAAAATTTTATAAAGCATTTATTTAAATTTGGATTCGAAAGATTTATTTATTTAGCATACATTTGTTTTTGAAATTTTTCTTATTTAAATAATGCTTTAGCCTTTCTGGTGTAATATAGCCAAATGCGATTCAAAAATTTAGTAAATTGAGATCATATTTTTTTGAATGACTTCACAAACAACAACTTATTTTAGGTCAATTTATATGATAACAGAAATATAAAACATATTATATTAAACTATTCAAATATATTTATATTTATTAGTATTATTTTACCACTTTTTTATCACCAACCTTGTATTATTAAGGCTACTAATCTTTTTGATTTTAGGCATTTTACTTTCAATTATTATGATCTATAAACATAGTTGAACCTTTTAATATAAGTTAGAGTAAATTACTAAAAAAAAAATATGTTAAATCAATAAATCTTCTTAATTTTAGCTAAATATGAAATATAATAAATAAATTAAAAGAATTAGTTAGTGAGTATTATTTTAAATTCATTTTTATATTAAAAAATCACAATCCAAAACAAATAAACTGTTTTTACCTTAAATCAATTCTCAAATTTGAGAGATTATTGCACTTTCCTAAACCAGAAACTAAGCCTGATGCACCTTCGTCACCAATTTAATTTTTCCTTTTTAAACATTGAAGAAAAAAAATATTTATATAGAGATAAATAAATAAATAAATTAATTAAAAGAGTTATTTATATTATTTTAAATTCATTTTTATATTCAAAAATATCACTATCCAAAACAAATAAACTCTTTTTACGAAAGAAAAAGTGTCAAATTTTAGAGATTAATGCACTTTCCTAAACCAGAACCTAAGGTCAATGCACTTTCATCACCAATTTAATTTCCACTTTTTATATTGAAGAAAAAAAAAAGTTAATTTTTTAGTTAGAAGGAAAAAAAGAAAAAAAATATGAAATAATAAGAAATTAATTAATTGTAATTAAAGTGAAAGTTGAAAATGAAAAGGCAAGTTAAATTAACAAACAAACAAGAAATTAAAAATCAAAAAAACACAAACAAAATAAAAAAATATAAATAAATCTAATAAATAAAAAGTTCATAAGTAAATAAATTAAAAGAGTTAGTTATAATGATTTAAATTCATTTTTATTACAAAAATATTACTATCCAAAAAAAACAAATAAACTCTATTTACAAAAGACCAAGTGTTAATTTTGAGAGATTAGTGCACTTTTCAAAACCAGAACCAAAGCTTGATGCACCCTGCTCGCCAATTTAATTACCACTTTTTAATATTAAAGAAAAAAAAATAGTTATTTATTACTTAGAAGGAAAAAATAAAGAAATTAATTAATTGAAAAAAACAAAAAATTAAATATGAAAAAATGAGTTAAAGTAGCAAGCAAACAAACAAAAAATAAAAAACACAAGTAGAGTAAATAAAAAAAAGAAAAATAAATAAAATGAAAAGTTCATAAATGAAATTATTTTTTTTATATTCAATAATATCAAAATCCAAACAAATAAAATAAACTCTTTTTACCTTAGATCAAGTGTCAAATTAGAGAGATTAGTGCACTTTCCTAAACCTTAAACTAAACCAGATGCACCTTCATCGCCAATTTAATTAGACCTTTTATAAATTGTAGAAAAATGAATAGTTAATTTTTAGTTAGAAGGAAAAAATATTAAATAATAAGAAATTAATTTATCAAAAAAGCAAAAGTTGAAAATGAAAAAAAAACAAGTAAAATTAACAAATGCACAAACAAATATATAAAAAAAAGAAAAAGAAATCAAATAAAAGCTCTTAAAATAAATAAATTCAAAAAGCTAATAATTTAGTTTTAAATTCATTTTTATATTCAAAAATATCACAATCCAAAATGTATAAACTGCTTTTACCTGATATAAAGTATCAAATTTGAGAGATTATTACACTTTCCTAAACCAAAACCTAAGGCTGATGCACCCTCATCACCAATTTAATTTTTACTTTTTAAAAATTGAAGAAATAATAAATAGTTAATTTGTTATTTAGAAGGAAATAATGAATTAATTTATTGTGATTAACAAAAATTTAAAATGAAAAAATGGGTTAAATTAACAAACAAAAAAATAAAGAAATAAATAAATCAAATAAAAAGCTCAAAAAGAAAGAAATAAATAAATAAATTAAAAGTATTTGTTATAATGTTTTAAATTTTTTTTTATATTCTAAAATATAACAATCTAAAACAAATAAACTGTTTTTACCTTAAATAAAGTTACAAATTTGAGAGATTAGTGCACTATGTTAAACCAGAAGCTAAGCTTGATGTACCAATTGCACCAATTTAATTCGAACTTTTAAAAATTGAAGAAAGAATATTTAGTTAATTAGTTAGAAGAAAAAATGAAAAAATAGTATGTAATAAATAATAAACAGTGATCTCAGAATTTAAATATTCTAAATTTTTTAATTCTATGCTTTTTAAAATTCTAAATTCTGCTAAATTTTAAATTATTTAATCTCCCATTTTCGCCCTACCTCGGTTGACCGATCGATGGGTCTTATCGAGGGAATACGGAGTAAGTTTTTTTATTTTTAAATTGATTTTTTTATTTAAAATTATCACAATCCAAAACAAATATACTATTTTACATAAGATCAAGTGTCAAATTTAAGAGATTAATGCATTTTCCTAAACTAGAAACTAAATCTGATGCACCAATTGCACCAATTTAATTCTACCTTTTTAAATATTGAAGAAAAATAAAGAGTTAATATGTTAGTTTGAAGGAAAAAATGAAGAAAAAATATGAAATAATAACAAATTAATTAATAATAAAGTAAAAGTTGGCAAACAAACAAATTATAAATAAATAAAAAACAAGCAGATTAAAAAAAATAAAATAAAACAAATGAAAAACTCGTAAATAAATAAATTAAAAGAGTTAGTTAATTTGTTAAAAATTGATTTTTATATTCAAAAATATCTCAATCCAAAACAATTAAACTGTTTTTACTAAAGATCAAGTGTCAAATCTGAGAGATTAATGCAGTTTGCTAAAGCAGAACCTAAGCCTGATGCACCTTGATCACCAATTTAATTTTCCCTTTTTAAATAATAAATAAAAAATAGATTGTTAATTTGTTAGTTTAGAAGGAAAAAAAGAAGAAAAAATTTAAAATATTTAAAATAAAAAATGAATAATCATAAATATGAAATTACAATAATTAAAAAATATTTGTAGAAATAAAATTGAATGAATTAGATGATAGTTTTAATGTGAAAAATAATTTTATAAATCATATAAAAATTAAATAAATCAAAAAAATAATATTATTATTAATAAAATCTAATATACTATTTATTCAGATCAATATGGAGAGCATAAAATGATTAAAGTGAAGAGCTTAAAAACTTTTATTATTAATAAAAATAAATTGATATAATATTAGTAAAATGTAAATATTTACTTCTTCTAAATTGTTAAAATAATTTTTATATTATATCATTTATTTTTTTTTCTTTTCAAAAATATTGAAAATAGGAAATTTAATTAATTATAAATATATTAATAAATCAATTAAATTTTATATCAAATTAGCTTAAATAAAAGAAAAAATATATTTTAAGAAAAAATTTGAAACTATTTCTAATATATTTTTAATGTTATACATACAAACACTCATATTCAAATATTTAATATTTATTCATCCTTTTTTAGCCACTTTTTTATCATCATAAACTTTTTTTAAAGACAACTAATCTTGCTGACTTAAGATACTTGCTTATTACTTTGAATTTTTATGGTTCAGACATTTAGTTAAAACTTTTATTATAAATTTGTGTAAATTTTAAATAAAATAAAATTTTAAATTAAAAATTATTTCATAAATTAATAAATAAAATAATATTAGCGGAATAAAAAAGATAATAAAAAAAAATCAATAAAAGCTAACAAATAAATTCAAAGTGTTTTTAGTTTTATATTCATTTTTATAGTTTAAAATATCACAATCCAAAACAAATAAACTGTTTTTACCAAAGATCAAGTGTTAAATTTGAGAGATTAATGCACTTTGCTAAACCAGAACCTAAGCATGATGCGCCCATTTCATTAATTTAATTGCGACTTTTTAAATATTGAAGAAAAAAGATATAATTAAATAGTTAATTAAAAGGAAAAAATGAAGAAAAATATGAAATAATAAGATTAATTGAAAATAAAAGCAAAACTTGAAAATAAAATGATCAAAAAAATGGAGAAATAATATGAAATAATAAGGTTAATTAATTAATAATAAAAGCAAAACTTGAAAATAAAATAATGAGTTAAATTAATAAAGAAAGAACAAAAAAAAGTAAGCAGAATAAAAAGAAAAAGAAAAAAGAGCTTTATTGTTATAAATTTGTTTTTATTATTAAAAAATATCACAATCCAAAACAAATAAACTGTTTTTACCGAATATCAAGTGTTAAATTTGAGAGATTAATGCAATTTGCTAAAGCAGAACCTAAGCCTGATGCACCAATTGCACCAATTGTATTACTCCTTTTTTAATATTAAAGAAAAAATACATTATTAAATAGTTAATTAGAAGGATAAAAAAAAATATATTTAAATAATAAGATTAATTAATAATTAAAGCAAAAATTAAAAATAAAATGATGAGTTAAATTAACTAAGAAAGAAGAAAAAAAAGCAATCAAGTACAATAAAAATAAAAATGAGTTTTATTATTTTAAATTAGTTTTTATAAATAATAAATCACAATCCAAAACAAATAAACTGTTTTTACCAAAGGGAGAGTGTCAAATTTGAGAGATTAATGCAATTTGCTAAACCAGAACCTAAGCTTGATGCACCCCCTTCACCAATTTAATTGAAACTTTTTTTATATTAAAGTAAAAATATATAATTAAACAACTAATTAGAAGGAAAAAATGAAATAATAAGATTAATTAATAATTAAAGCAAAAGTTAAAAATAAAATGATTAGTTAAATTAATAAAGAAAGAAGAAAAAAAAGTAATTAAGAACAATAAAAAGAAAAATAAAAATGAATTTTATTGTTTTAAATTAGTTTTTATAGTTTAAAATATCAAAATACAAAAATAAATAAACTGTTTTTACCTAAGATCAAGTGTCAAATTTGAGAGATTAATGCAATTTTCTAAACCAAAACCTAAGCATGATGCACCCATTGCACCAATTTAATTGAAACTTTTTTAATATTAAAGAAAAAATATTTTAATAAATAGTTAATTAGAAGGAAATAATGAAGAAAAAATATGAAATAATAATAATAAGATTAATTAATAATAAAAGGAAAATTTGAAAATAAAATGATGAGTTGAATAAATAAAGAAATAAGAATCAAGAGCAAGCAAGCAAATAAAAAGATAAAGAAAAAAGAGCTTTATTGTTTTTAAATTAGTTTTTATATTTAAAAATATCACAATCAATACAAATAAACTGTTTTTACCTAAGATCAAGTGTCAAATTTGAGAGATTAATGCAATTTGCTAAACCAGAACCTAAGCCTGATGAACCCTCATCACCAATTAAATTGCTACTTTTTAAATATTGAATAAAAAAACTATATAATTAAATAGTTAATTCGTTAATATAAGATTAATGAAATATAAAAGCAAAATTTGAAAATAAAATGATGAGTTAAATTAACAAAGAAATAAGAAAAAAAAGCAATCAAGCACATTAAAAAGAAAAAGAAAAAAGAGATTTATTGTTTTAAATTAGTTTTTATAATTAAAAAATATCATAATTCAAAATAAATAAACTGTTTTTACGAAAGATTTAGTGTTAAATTTTAGAGATTAATGTACTTTGCTAAAGTAGAACCTAAGACTGATACACCCTCATCACCAATATAAAAAACTTTCCAAACATGTTTTGGTATTGAAATATCCTAAAATCCTGTTTGTGATATTTCAATACATGAGCAGCTATATAATCATAAAGTTATATATTTAATTCAATTATTAATAATACAAAAAACAATTAAATAAATTACTTAAGCGCTTCCAAGTTTATTATTTTTGCGGTAGCGCTACCACAATAATTTTAATCCTGTAAGTTCTATAATTCATAAAATTTTTAATAACTATTTGATCTAATTACCTTATTAATATTGAATGTGACTGTTTAATTTTTGACAAATTTGTTGATCAGAAACTTTCTGCTAATATACAAATATAAATTTAATTTTTTATTTGATCCTATTTTATATTTTTATATATTCTTTTATGATTTAATAATCAAATTATTAATTATTTGAATTGTAAATGACAAATTTGTTGATCAGAAACTTTCTGCTCATATACAAATATAAATTTAATTTTTTATTTGATCCTATTTTATATTTTTATATATTCTTTTATGATTTAATAATCAAATTATTAATTATTTGAATTGTAAATGACAAATTTGTTGATCAGAAACTTTCTGCTAATATACAAATATAAATTTAATTTTTTATTTGATCCTATTTTATATTTTTATATATTCTTTTATGATTTAATAATCAAATTATTAATTATTTGAATTGTAAATGACAAATTTGTTGATCAGAAACTTTCTGCTAATATACAAATATAAATTTAATTTTTTATTTGATCCTATTTTATATTTTTATATATTCTTTTATGATTTAATAATCAAATTATTAATTATTTGAATTGTAAATGACAAATTTG